GGCGCCTCAACCAAGAAGGGCTTGTACCTTATGTGTAAAGACGCGGCGCATTGTCAGGACTTCACTTTCAAGGATATCACCCTCGTGGCAGCTGTAAGTTCGAAATCAACCACTTGATAGAAGAGAGTCCTTCTTGCTAACAGTACGCAGGATGGAAGTGCAGGTGAGATGGAGTGTGTTGGACTTGAAGGAGCCACTGGTCTCGGCATCCCATGCACCAATGGTACTTTGACCGGGGGTAAGTAGAGGAACATTGAATGGCGCTTGAAGGTGTGTAGTCTTGCACCATTTCGTCGAACGAGACGCGATCAAACTTGATATATACATCATCAAATACTTCAGTGATTCCCAACATCGGTGTCCTGTCTGCCTCCACAACTTACACTTGGGACTGAGGTCACGGTCCATAACTTCAGCGAAGTATACGTCTTCTACCTTACACAGAGTTTGTATCATGGCCTAGCCCCCTCAAACTTTTCAACGATTCATAAATAGGCATCAAGGTGCTGGGCGTGTGAACGTCGGCATCTTAGGTCTGGAAAAGTGACAAAAATTTGAAATTGAAGTAAAGTGTAATCGCCTCATGCGAGATCCGTTTCTCTTCAGACACGTGCAGACACGATACTTTAGTTATGATCATCGAATAGCCATTGAGCTATCTTAGAGCCGTCACCCTGTTTCAATATAGACCCTTGAAGAGAAGGCGATTATACATGAGTCTACTTAGGTATATACACTAAAGCCGGCCCCTAACTCCGTGCTTGCCACGTCCATCATCGTCAACTAAGATTACGTTGTATTTACTTCTTGCACAGGCGATCGGTCTGCTTGATGAGCCAATCCTCCTGGCGGGCAATGTACCAGTCCTCACTACCGACGGCAGTGGGGGCGTAGAAGACGCCCCAGGGGTCAATCTTCTTCTTGAGAGCGTACAGCTTGGCGTAGTTGGAACCGAAGAAGGCCTGGCCAAAGTCGGGCTCCATTACGTCGCCCTCGTTACCGTAGCCACCACCGCCGGGGGTGATGTCGCGAAGACGGCCCATCCAGTCTTGGGTGATGCGGACGTTGGCGGTCTTGATCTCCTCCTGGGTAGCGGTGGAGCTCCAGCCGCCACCGATGATGGCGAACATGAGGGCCTCACGCCAGGCAGGGTTGGCGGAGCTGGCGGTGACGTCTGAGGGGGCGGCGGCGTTGATGTTGTACTGGATGAGCGCGGAGCCCTCGAGGATGATGCCCTTCAGGGTGGCGATGGTCTCGTTGAGAAGGGCAGGGTCCTCCCAGTTGGCCTTGGGGATGAGACGGTTAGCGGTACGGACGGTGTCGGTGCCAACGCTCTCCATGGGGAAGTGGTTCTTCCAGGTGGCGTAGAAGTTGTCGTGCTCAAAGTACTCGGGCTCGACGCTGAAGCCGAGGGCAGCCCACTCGGTGAAGAGAGGCTCAACCATGGCCTTGAAGTCGGTCAGGTTCATGCCGGGAACCAACCAGGGGCGCATGCTCCAGAGGTAGGCACCGTTGCCGGCGGGGAAGAGAGTCGAGTATCCGTACGTCTTCTTGGCGGAGAAGTCGGGGAAGCGGCGCCAGTAAGCCTCCATGGCGGCCCAGAAGACGGTGGAAGAGATGTTCTTCTCGGCGGTGTTGAGGCTCCAGGTAAGACCAGCGAACTGGGTCTTGGGGTAGACTCTGACGGTCATGGAGGTGACGACGCCCCAGGTGGCACCACCGCCACCACGGACAGCCCAGAAGAGCTCGCTGTTGGTCTTGTCATCGGCAGTGATGTGGCGACCGTCGGGAGTGACGATGTCGACGCTGAGGACCTGGTCGGAACCAAGACCGGCGACGGGGCTCATGGGAGAGTGACCACCACCGGCGATGTAGCCACCAGTGACACCGACACTGCGGCACTCGCCGCCAATAGCAGTGTAGCCCTCCTTGTCGGCAGCCTCGTACAGGTCAGAGACCTGGATACCGGCACCGAGCTTGAAGGCGGGACCCTCGTAGCCACCGGCAGACTTGTAGTTCTTGATGAACTTCAGACCCTTGAGGTTGTGGGTCCAGATGGACAGAGAACCGGCACCGGTGTTCTTGCCCAAGAAGTCGTGGCCAGTGTTGCGGACAACGAGACGCAGATTAAGGGTGCGAGCAAAGTTGACCGCAAGCTGGATCTGGGCCACGTTGGTGGCCTTGACGGAGTAAAGGGGGAAGCCACCAATCTCGCAAGTGCGATTGTTGGCGGCGTTTTGAGGCTGGCAGGTAGAGCCCTGGTAGAGAGGGGACATGACCGAAGTAGGGTCCTCATCGCTTTGATATGTTAGTTCGAGGTGCCAGTATTAGTCTGGGCAAGACAACTTACTGAGTGTCGGAGTTGGTCCAGTTGTCGAGAAGGTACTGGCACTTCTCGGCATCGTAGTGCTCACCGGTGTAGCAGGCAGCTCCGAGGGGAACGGTCTTGATGAGGGAGTTGCCAGTCAAGAGGTTGAAGACCTTCCACACGGGCTCGGAAGGGTAGAACAGGTCGCCGGGGAAGAGCTTGCACTTGTTATTGGGCTCAGTGCGCTTCTCAATGTTCTGGGCGTCAGCGAAGGTAAAGAGCGAAATGTTGCTGAGCTCGAGCTGGGTGAGGTTGGCCAGCACGGCATCAGTCAACTGGATGGTCTCCTCGGGGATGTCTGCCTCGGGGAACTCCTCGGCGGCGGGGGCAACAGTGGCTGCGGTGGCATCTGCACAATGTGGTCAGCATGGATGGTGATGAAATCGCCAGGCCGGGGGAGGAGGTTGCTTACCGACAGTCTCACCGTCGACGACGAGCTTCTGGGCCCCGACGAAGTTGGCCAGCGGCATGGCCGCGGCGAGCAGCAGAGCTCTTCCGAGAGAAGGCATCTTGACAAGAAGGGAGATCTGCTTGTCGAAGAGGATTAAAGATCCTTGCAAGTTGGGTGCAAGTGGGATGAAGAGAAGGACAAGAAAGAGAGTTCACGATGGACGTGCTCCTCATCTGTAGATATATACGTGCAAGATCATCAACGGCCTCGGACCATTCCTGTCAGTTCTCTCCCCCCCCCCCCCCCCCCCCCCCCCCCCACACGTGGCTAAATGCAACATTTGCAAGCTATTGGTTATCAGCCGCATGATGCCTCCCAGGTTGCCGGGATCCACGTTATCGCCACGAGGAATATGGCCTTGGCTACCCGATGTGCATCTTATGTCCGCACAGGCAAAATGAAGACTCCATCGCCAGGAGTTGCTATCAAAGAAGCGGCACCTGGAGAGACCAGAGAGCAGGATGATCATCCTCGAGGGACGGTTTCCCACCCCCAGCCGAGCCGATGGAGAATGGGATTTCTGCTTCCTTGGGGCTTCGCAATGGCCTAGCAAGGATGCCTGCATACGAAGACTTGGCAGGCCAGGGTTTGGGCGAAATTAATTACTGTCTAGCCCCCAAGTTACCCCCAACGTGTTCCCAGCAAACCGCCGTTTCCGTCGACTCACAACGGCATATTCACGGCACTCGCGGCAGTTTGCTGCGGGTTGGTCCAATAGCGGTACCTGGAGCCGCGCTGTAGAAGTTGTGCTTTATTTTGCGGAGGTCAGCCTTTTTTCAACGTCTGTGGTCGGTTTGGGTATGGGACGAAACTAGCACACACAACTCCAACTCCCAGAATTGCAAAATCGCCAACACTATCAGAGCTCCTCCCGCAACTGCAAGTAGCAGCCGAAAGTCCAGTGTCGGAGCGAAATTCTCGGACTCTTCAGTGGCATTGGCTGTCTATTGGCCCCTCCTCGGGGCACAATGTCCCGCCGGTCCTGCATCATCTCAGGGGCACTAGCTTATTCCCTTGCCACTTGCCAAGCCGCCTATTTTGACACCCACGTCAAAGAGAAGTCGGCAACGCAGGGAAGTTTTTTTGAACCTGGAAGCGAGTGTTCTGGGGCTTCTTATCGTTCTAGAATGCACTTGTGAAGTCAAAATCACGCACTGAGGGCCCCTCATCGATACCAAGACTTTCGGGATAGACCCGATCAGAGTAATATCGTCAACAACCGTGCGCTCTAGACAACGACTCGAACACTTCTTTTAGCCATGAGCAGCCCAAATGAGTCTTACGGGACCCAACGGTGACCACACCGACTGCCCACCGGCCGTTTGGAAAGTCTGCGCCGCTCAAGGCAGTCGAACGGGTGGGAACTCGGAGGATTTGTGCGCCGCCGGTCTGCTTTCTTCAACGGAACGCCACGGCTGCTAGTCAGGCTCGGCGTAGCTAGGTTTCGTCTTCCTGTTCTTTGTAGAAAAACACACCCCAACCGTAGTCGTACGCATAGCTCCAGTGTCTGACTCTCTGTCACCTTTAAACTCTGTTGGTTCAGCTTGGGAATTGGTTGGTCGAACTTGGCCCTTTTGTCTGCCCTCTCTTCATCTCAAACCACTCTGAGTAACTTTCTGAACCCTGCCCACTGCAGATTTCGGATCCCGCCAGACAATGCGTGTCTTGGAGTGTGCTGGCAAACCTCATTGGCCCGGGGAAGTGAGGCGCTCTGCATAACAAGCGAATATGGGGAATGGAAGGGCGATCCTTTTTGATCAGAGATGATGAAGGGAGAGACCGAAGAGGGGATCCTTCCGCGGGTCAGCCGAAAACTTTGACTTGCTCAGCTCCTCCGGGCGGCAGGCTTTTGGATCCGTGTGTCGAGATCTGCCATTTGTTGCAGGTTGGCTAATATAGAGGAAGGTCGTATTTCGTCTTGGTGCTATTAATCCGCACGAAACGAGAAAGTCTTGGGCAGCAAAAAGATTTCGGTATAGAATATTAAAAGATTTCCCATTTCTCATAAGGCTGCGATGGAACCTGGTAGTTCTTCTCCGGATTTCCTCTTTCGCTGGTGATCTTAGTCCCAGTCGCTCCGTCCCGGCTGCCGCAAACCTTCAGTCCCAGTCCTTTGCAAGCTCTTGCAACTACTCCGTAATCGACCTTTCCGAAGCCGACACCGTCACAGATCTGGCCGAGATGCCATTTCATCTGCTACCTCGAGGCTCGCCGCCGCATCCCGATGTTTTAACGATACCCACACCTCCACTTCAAGAGACTGCAATTATAATCGTCTTCTTCTTCCCAGCCCTATCGATCTGCACATTTGGCCTGCGAGCATATGGTCGGATAAGTACTCGTCAATGGGGACTAGGTAAGGTGTCAGCATGACTGTGTTGTTGCTTGGGGCTTACAATAAACAATTAGATGACTGGCTTTGCGGCCTAGCCCTGGTATGAGCCTTACTCTTTGTTTTCTCGAGTGTCATATAGGGATGTGGGCCGGAGCTAATAGCTGAGCAGCTTTTTGCAGTCTTAATGACACCTCCTCTGTTTATGTGTAAGTGGCATCAGAATCCAGGAATTTTCGCCTGACCAGTAAGCTGACAATATCGAAACTTAGTTATCAAGCTCAATTATTTCGGATGGAGAGCTGAAAATGTCCCCAAGGATTTAGACAACAAGGCCGGGCTGTGGTGGAACTTCTTGGTACAGATGGCCTATAATCCAGTTCTCGCTTTGGTCAAGGCATCGGTATTGGTATTTCTACTCCGACTAGGTGGCCAAAAGCGAGGCGTTCGAACTGCCATTATCGGATTGAACATCTTCAACGCCTGTCACGCCGTCGCCGTGTTCTTTACCGCCTTGTTCCAGTGCCTACCGATGGAAGCCAACTGGGACTTCTCTCTGCGAGGCCAACCAGGAACAAAGTGCGTCGACAACTCGTTCCACGTCATTGCATCTTGTATAACGATTGTCTCGGACGTGCTGGTACTCGCTTTGCCTTTTTGGATATTTCTTGGGCTTAAGATGCCATTGGCGGCAAAAATGGCAGTCATTGGGGTTTTCCTAATGGGTCTTGTGTAAGTGACTGAATAAGAATAACCTTGGACAAAGCTAATCGAGTTCGGATCAATAGAGTTACGGTTGTTGCAGTCATCCGAGTCATCCAGATTTACAAGCTATTCTTCGTCCCATCACCTCCAGGAACCGATCATTTTCACAACATTGGCCTCGTGAGCTCTACCATCGAGGTTAATCTGGCTATTTTTTGCGCCTGTATTCCTGCATTGCGGCCTTTGTTCCGCCGATGGATGCCGAAGCTGTTTGGTGGCACGACCAAGAAGACTACCGGGAAAGGATACTACGGGAAATACGCCACTGGCTCGTTACGAAACCCAACAGGTATACAAGAGGGCAACGATATTACGCTCAAGGAGATGCGCTCACGCGCGCACTGCACGGAAATACGCAGTGTTTCCCCATCAGGTTCTGAAGAGGAAATCATGACATACAACGGAATCGTCAGAACAACAAACGTCAACGTCCAGTACGAATCAAATACCAGCGTAAACGACATGGAATCTCGTCACTCGAGCGAATACAAAACGGCCGATAAGCCAACGAAGGGGGCAGCTTTCTAAGCTGAAGAAGATGCTTGACACTTTAATCGGTGTTCTTGGGCGTTGTGGATCGCGGGACATCCCGCCGGGGTTTCAATAATACAACTTTTTGGATCTGCCGGGTGCGGGCAAGGAATGACCAACTAACCCGCACCATGCACATTTGCAGTTCACTGCCATTTTTTTTTTTTTTTTGAGTAACTTGGATACCCTTCTATAATCTCACTTTGGTTTAATGTTGGTTTGCTGAAGACTAAGACGCAATCGATGATCGTGTGATCTTGCCTATCAGTGGACCTGAATCTCTCGGCAGTCTACTTACTCCGCAAGAACTGTCTCTCAGGAATTTGACTGAATCGACTGAACCAGGAAGCGCATTATGAGTTGCCTCTCCCATGCAAAAGAACAAAAATACGGAGCCCAACTCCATTCCATCCCGAGTACAACTCTAATTCTCGATTTCTCAGTGGTTGTTCCTTTGCTATCCTGGGCTTGTTCTTATTAGGTTGAAACTCAACTACATGATGCGGGCTTGGCGTCGGTGCCTGCGAACGCTTAGTGGAGAGATTGTTGCAGGGTCTACGCGTTGTCTCCATTCTTTCCAATCCTTTCATGTGCAGTCAGCGATTTTGTGAAAACTTACAAGTACAAAGTGTATCTGGGTCGCACTCAGCCCGCGCCGGCAGAGCTAGGAGCTACATAGTTCCGGCAGAATGGTTTCCAGCGGCAGTTTCAATATCACTAGATAAGACGTGAAAGAACCAGACTGTCTGAGTTTTGAAGCGTTCTAGGAGCTACTCCGTAGTCCGTACCAAGTCTTCACCTGAATCGTAGTCTTTGGCTTTCCACCTTCCCACAATGGAGAGATTTTCTTCTCGACGAGGAAGACGCGCTTTCGGCCCCATCCCGCCCAACTCAGAGAAAATGAGGCGATGGAGATTCCGCAAGTGAAACTCCTTATGGCAGTGATTGACATGGACATGGGCAAAGGGTCCTTGTTAAGCGTCGGCCCAAGGAATTAGCCAATTTTGACAGGCAATGATAGCTCGCGTCGAGACCTAGGACCCCGACGCTAGAAGAGCCGGCCCCGCTGTGGTCTGACACGACTAGCGGTCCAGAGATCCTAGATCCTGGGATTTAGAGGAGTGGAGTTCCCTGCCTGCCGAATGTTCTTCGGGCTGTCCACTCATTTTCTGCTGCCCAGGTGGGCGGGCGCCGACGTGGGCAGACGCTCGGTGCCATTAGGCCTTTGGGGAAAGAAGGGATACTACGACGGGGTCGACGGAGACCAAGTTAATCTTAACCTTGTTCAGACGAACTACTCGACAGGTTGGCCGTGATGCTTCGAGCGCCCGCATTGCGTGGTTGCATGAACTGCTGAAACCTGCCTGTACTAACACGACCAAACGTCCGGAAGCCTATTGGGCCTCCTCTCAAGCAGCCAGCCAAAGAGACAAAGAGAACAGTATGCGTAGTCGGTCCCGGCGACCAGCTGCCGAGATTCAAACCTGCAGTTGAGGATCGATAGTCTCCATTATCCGTACAACTTACAAGGTTGCGATGCAGGCCAAGGCCGCTGATCTTTCCCTCTGTTCCCTTCCCACGGATTCTGGGGGATCGGTGCAGACTGCAGAGACCTCGAACTTGACCGCTGAATGGCTTTTGCATTTGCGTTGTCCAGAAGCACAGGACTCAGGGCAGATCAGGACGCGAAGCGAATAGCCTTTGGTTGATCTTTGCTTGGCTTGATCAACGCCTCAAGGGCATTGAACCGAAGCTTTGGTTGGGCGATCCGGGATACATGGGCTTTATTCATCGATTTCCAACTGTAAAGTCTATCCCCACAGATTTGAGATCTAGCACCGCCAGGACTGGTAGAACTCAAGAGCTTGGAGTCGCGTTTGTTGATGGATCCCCAATTACCTTCCCGCGAGCGAGATAGAGAATTTCTGCATGTTCCAACTTGCCATGATTTAGCAAACATAGACTGGTAGTTTATGATTTACGGGGCTGGTAGGGCAAGCGAGCCTACGGGTATTAGGCGTGGCATCCATGATACATGCCGTGCACGATATTTTACGGTAGGTGGGTATTCTACAGTCACATCGGTATTGTATCTATTTTGACGATCGACTTCACGAAATGTCCCAGCAAAGTCTACATGTGTTCCACTTCTACAGAAGTAGTCCAATGTTGGCAAATCCAGGCACCAAACATACATGTACTTCTGCATACGGATTTCAGATGTGTTCGTGTGCCATACAAAAAGCATGTTGTCTTTAGTCTCTAGCGCAATCACCTCCACACGGGCTTCACTGTTATGTGTTCTTATCATGAGGCAGGAGATTTATTGGAAGCAAACGAGATGCCAGGAACTGTCTCACTCGTACTTGAGCCAAACAGATGGCGTGCCTGCTACATTGAGTATCCTGTCTAGGTGAACGTTTTTGGACTTATCCGTTTTCTCAATGATCACTGCATACCACCTTGTTGGTCAAGACATGGATGAAAGACCCGCAAACGCAGAATAGCCATCAGTCAAGATTATTTATCTGGTGGATGTTACTTGTGTGGCGCCTCGATGTCCTCCGGATACAGGCAAGCTCAACCGCCACATTCCTCTCAATCAGTGTTGACTGATGTTCCCGCGGCACCACCGAAAGCTACCGAGCTCACACATTCCTGTGGTATTTGGTTGATGGTTTCATGTCGACCAAATACTAAGTCTAGAGCCTAAGCTACGTGGAAAGGGAAGCATGGAAGGCTTAAGAAGACCGGGTTCCTCCTAAGGGGAATAGCGACAAAGCTTCACAACATTGTCAATTACTTTCCTTATGCACAATGCGTTCTTTTGCTTTGGTGTCAACTTTGCTCACTGCTCTTGCAGCAGTTTCTACTGGATCATTTCTATCTCCTCGAAGAGAATTATCACTATGTCTCTGTGAAGACGAAGCCTGGGATATTACCAGGCAGTGGCTCGGCATCTTCTCAACCCCCGGCGTTTCTAGCAAGGCGGAGCTGGCCACAATCGTTTCTCAAAACCTCACAAGCTACGACGACACGTTCGGTTCTCCAACTATCGGTATTGATCAACTCTGGGCCGCCCTTACAGCAGGCGGCAACGCCACAACAGCCAACGTGACGCAGGCGCCCAACTTTCTGCTTCATACTTGCGACCAAATTGCGTACAACTGGCAGTACACAGCCGTGACAACTGGCTACAACTCGTGAGTCTGGTGCTCTTGCTTAGTTGTGGGTATAGACTGCTGATATAGCTTCAAGAACGGTACCGGTGGGAACTCCAGTTACTTTTACCGGGAATGATATTATACGAGTGGATCTGGCGACCAGGCTGGTGTCGAACGCCACGTCTGCTGGCAACTGGATTCTGCTCGCTCGCCAACTGGGAGATTCATGTAATGTTTGATGAAGTTCCTTTCATCGGCCTGAGAGAACTCTCCATTTCTGTCAAACAACCCTCCCATGTTCCGAGAGACTGATTTTGTTTTCGTCGCGCTTGATGCTTGAAATTCAAGTAATCTTGCAAAACGACAAACCTTTCATCTTATTAAGATAAGATAAGAACCGGGCCTGATTGTCCGAAATATGTATGAATTTCGTGAATGGAAACTGTCCTAGCGTTCCTAAGGGTGATGTTGTCCACTGGTACTGAATGAATGGTGAGTGCCTTGATTCACCGACACTGACTTTCCGAGGCGTAAATAAAGTGAGTATAAAGACATAACGCACGACCGAACTCAACGGTCACAACAAAAAGCACAATTTCTTCAAATCCGATGGCAACAATGAGCGTATGGCTACCCGATTACCCCGGCCTGGGCCACAGAAACGATGACACTTCTTATCGTCCTCCTCAACAGCAAGAACCCGACGACCCACCTCCTGCTTATGCAGAAATTCAGACCTTCTCAGCCCGAGATGCACCCCGGGAACCGCCGATTATAGAATCGGTGACGTTCGGCGTGACAACATGGCCGGATAGCATAGCACCATATATGGTTCTCAACACGCACCAGCCTTCAAACCCAGAAAAGAAGAGAATGGACATGGTCTACAAGATTCGCTACGGCACTAATACTTACGATTTCATCCTCTACTGGTACCCGCCTCCAATCTTAGGCCTTCCGGTTAATCGCGTCAGACGGGCAGAGCAGAAATATCTGGAGCACTTTGAAAACTTGTGGATGGGGTCTCGGACCCCTGAGACGTCTCCCTCCTTCTTTCCAATGCTAAGGCAGCTTGACGAGGCCATTCTCCACAGCATGTGTGTACAGAAAGTTCACTTGGAACAGTCAGGTAGGCACGGACCTTGGAGGTGCCAGATTGTCGATGAATATGAAGACCTGGATAACTCACTGCATGCGATGGTGTGGGCCGAGGGATGGGCTGACCATCGTCACCCTGAGGTTCTGGCGGTTGCAGTATGTAATGGGTCTGATGTGCAAGTCATCCACGAGGATCGACCGAGTCAATGAGGCCAATTGATTGTAGGTGGGGGAAAACAAAGCTACTACTGGTAGTGAATCAAAGTCTAGCTCACTAGCAGGGACAGCAAGGTCCAATGTGATAAAGCGGCAGAGAGTTCCTTAGATCTTGATACTTCAAGACCCAAAGATCCCAGATAATGTACATGTAAGTTGGCACCGTTGCGCGGTGAAAGTTGAGACATGAGCGATTTTGTGAGAAGATTGTTTGTATGTACATATATTTGTTAAACCAAAACGCCATGAACGCTGAATATGCTACTTGATGTGATGCTCTTCTCATTACCTGATCAGACTAGCCCATGCCCACTTGATCTCAAACCTCCAACTCCCTGCAGAGCGCCTCAGAAGATGGGCGAGTCAGTCTCATCTACGATCTGAACTTTGATGCTGCCGTTTCTGTAGTCGGACGCGAGCGTAAGGGCGTCGACGGCCTTCTCGAGAGGGAAAGTGTGAGAGATTAGGCTCTTGAGGTCAAGAATGCCACTGCTCAGACAGGCGATGCCCGCGGGCCACGTATCGCGGTATCTGTTGATGAACTCGAGCTTGATCTGGAGAGGTTTGTTGTCAGTGAATGTCCGCTGCGAACATTGGCGTGCATATGCTCACCTCTGCAAGAGAAATATGCATGAACGGCAAGTTATTCATTATCTCTCTTCCAACACCAATAACCATAACGGTACCACCGCGACGAACAGTGAAAGCGGCAGTGCAGATACTGCTCTCGACACCCGTGCACTCAAGCACCGTCCTGGGCGCGCTATACTCGTCGTCGCCGAACAACTTGCGTATAGCCTTGCCGTTGCCCTCATTGCCGAGCGCCGGGTCAATCTTGTACGTGATGACGCTAGGGACCAACGTCTTGGCGAAGGCGAGACGGGAGGGCTCGATATCGGTGATGACGAGCGGGTGAGCGCCCGAGGCTCGCGCCGCGGCGAGAGTGACGAGGCCGATGGGGCCTGCACCGCATACGACGGCGCCGACGCCGAGGGAGAGGCCTGCGGTGCGGATGCCGTGCATGCCGACGCTCAGGGGTTCGAGGAGGGCGCCTTCGGCGTAGGAGATGTTGTCGGGAAGTCTGTTTAGCCAAAACGTTAGTCACATGTTCTACCATCAACAGAGATGCATGTTAGATCTCATTGCGTGGATAGCTTGACTTACTTGTGAAGCCACTTGGCCGGGTGGCACTTGTACCGCTGAATCGTGCCGTGGTATGGGTAAACTCCAGAGAACTGAACATCTTCGCAGAGGTTGTAGCGTCCGTCAACGCAGAGAAAGCAGTCGCCGCAGGGCACGCCTGGCTCGATCGCGACGCGGTCGCCCGCCTCCAGGTTCTTGACGCCCTCGCCGACGCGGATGACGACCCCGGCTGCCTCGTGGCCGATGATGCAATCTCCTTCGAACACAAGCGTTCCGATGCGGCCCGTCTTCCAGAAGTGGATGTCGGATCTGCGGAGTGATTTCAAAGGTCAGCTCTTGCCTTCGTGTTTATTTCGCAAAGTGAAGTTGAGCTCTGGCCGAACCAAGGAGGGCCGCCGTTCGACTTATGAGGACGAGGCTAGGAAGACTTACCCGCACACGCCAGTAGCCTTGACGTGGACCAATGCCTCTCCCGCCTTTGGTGCGAGAACGGGTGCTTCCTCTGCCTTGAGCTGGTGATCGGCCGTGACCACCAGCGAAGGGTTTGGTAGTGGCGCCTGGATGGTTTCTTGCTCCGTGCTGACGAGGGGAGTGTGGTGATGGTGGTGGTGCTGCTTTAACTCTGTCACGACGACGACGCCATTGGCTTTCGCGGGGGCAACGCCATTGACTGGCGCCTCCGGTGATATCGTGGTGGCGACCATGTTGAAGGTGAACGGCGTTTGGGAATAGTTCGAGACGGAGATGGCAGTGACTTGGAGAAATGGCCGCGTTTTCGAGTCGACAGGCACCTGTCAGCAAAGCAGTAACAATGTACTTGGGATCAACACGGCATGCGGAAGGAAAGAAACGAAATGTTCAAGGACCGTCGCTGGAAGAAACGTGTTATGGAAGAGGGAGGAAACAGCTGGGCATTCCGATCTGACAGGATTCGTCGAGGAAGCGCTCCTATCCTATAGTCCGCCATGCGTCCCGTCCCGTCAAACAATTACTATTTTTTCATCGTCGTGTGATACCCCCTCCGCCGGTAGCAACGTCCGAATTTCCAACAGCTCGACATAGCTAAGGGTCTCGGCAACATGCGGGGAACAGACCGAGCGACTATGAATTCCTCTTCTGTCGAGTCATTGCCCGATTAAGAAGTTTTAACCACCCGCGGCAGTTCTAGATCGCTGCGCCGGGGAACATGCCGGCTGTGCGTCCAGTTCGTGTAGTTCGTCGAGATGATTGGACCCGGATTCCGGGAGGCGGTCCATCTTGTCATCCCCGAAGCCGCCGAGTTCCGAGCCGTCATCGATGCGGGCACATTTAGTTGGGGGAAGTGAGTATGATCACCTCGAAGCAATCGCGTAAGTTTCAGAGGCAAATATGACTACCGTTTTGGTGCGTATAGATATCACCCAGTCACAGACGCATTCAAGACGAATGAGGTCGCGATGGTTGGGAAATTTGTTTCATTAATTCGTAGCAGGTTCCGAGACCACCAATTCTATCCAAGCCTTTTTTTCTTAAATCCAGGTCTCTATAATTCCGTGGCTATTGATGACACTCTGCTTAAGCAAAGATGCGCAGAGGGCGCTGGGGCAGGTAGAAACCAGGGTCGTTGAAGCGAAGACCACGGTCAAGGTCAGAGATGGACTCGATCTCCTCAGCCGTCAAATCAAAACCGTTGACCTCGAGGTTCTGCTTCAGACGGTGCTGGCTGTTGCTCTTGGGAATGACAGCAACGCCGCGCTGCGTAGCCCAGCGCAGCAGGACCTGCGCGGGGGTAACCTTGTACTTGTCCGCAATCGCCTTAACAGCGTCGACCTCGAAGAGGCCCTGGGCGCCGGTTGCGCGCTTGTTGGAGATCTCGAGGAAGGACTGGGGGCCAAAGGAGGAGTAGGCCGTTACGGCGATCTTGTTCTCCTGGGCCATGGAGATGAGGTCGGGCTGGACGAGGTAAGGGTGGTGCTCGATCTGCAGGGCGGAGATGGGGTGGCGGGCGTAGGACTGGATGTCGTAGAGGGACTGGGCCTGGAAGTTGGAGACGCCGATGGACTTTGCGATGCCCTCGTCTGCGATCTGCTCCATGCACTCCCAGGTCTCGCGGATGGGGACGTTGTCGGGCTCGACAATGGTCTGCGCGGAGTCCATCCACCAGCACTTTTGTGCCTCAAAGTCAGCAAACCGTTGATTGAAGATGGGAGAATCCTGGACTACATAGAGAAACTTACCGGGTACTCGAGCTTGGAGGGTTCAATGTACTTGAGAGCAACGGGGAAGTGAATGAGGAATAGGTCAATGTAGCCCAGGCCCCAGGTCTCGTTTTGCTTCTTCGCCATGGCGACGGCATGCTCCTTGCGGTGGTAGTTGTTCCACAGCTTGGTGGTGATGAAGATGTCCTCACGCTTCACCAGGCCATCGGCGATAGCGCGGCGGACACCCTCGCCAGCCTCCTTCTCATTCTGATAGTCGTAAGCGCCATCGAAGAGGCGGTAACCGGTCTTGATAGCCTGTTGGAAGACATTCACGGGTTAGAGAACATGGCTAACTGGGTGTAGAGTTGAGTGCTTGGGTGAAACTGACGTTGTAGACAGTGTCGGCGCAGGTCTCGCGGGGAACCTTCCACAGACCGAAGCCCACGAGGGGCATCTCACGGCCGGAAGCGAGAGTGATGGTGTCCTTGCCCATTGTGAAGATTTTGAAAAGGGGGTATAGATACTAGAGTAACAGGGAGAGGAATTGGGTGATGTATGAGATGAGTTTGTTCTGGAATGACGAGCTTTGAGTTCTAATATTCTCTATCACAAGATTCTGCTTTTTTTTTCCTTTCGCCCAACCCCGCCCTCAGTCTAAAAGCGCACACAACCCCGCCTCTGTCAGTAGAATGCCATCCCTCCCTCCGGCTTGCTTCTGAGAATCATCATGGAGGGGTTGAGACTGAGAGTCTAGGTGGTAGGGTTTACCGAATATGGAAATCTCAAGCACCAATGATTCAGAAAAGGGCATGCATCCCCGCGCTTAGCGTCCCCCGGTTTGACTCGTGTTCGACCGGGTTCCACGAGGGGTAACAAGCCCGCTTCAAGGAGATGAGCTTCTGCCGTCCACCTCATGATCAAGTGGGAACTGTGAAGCTGAGAGCCCAGTGATTATTGCCACACAGACTCAAGGGAAGTACACGAGTAGCATCGGAAGTTCTCCGGTGAGAGTTAGCTTTCACATTGGAGACCCGTGGTCTATTATCCGTAGACTCAGCTAGTATCCTCCGAATCGCCAAAGCATGAAAATCATCCCATCAGTGATCAAACCCCATTGGCAATATCCACAAACAACAATGTCCCTGCAAACGCTTACCCCGAACCGCACTCGTGTCAACTGAACCCCAACTTGTCGCTGTGTACTACGTAGTAGGTATTCGTCCTCGCCCCTGTTCCACACACACCAACTTTCTCCAGAGACTCCAGCAAAGCTCTGTCTTCCCCGTCCATGCTCCCAGAGTTCCAAGAGTCGAGACCGTATAGACCGTACCTCGGGAAACCCTCCACCATTTATTGGGGACCTTTTCCGCCTTCCCAATCCGACAAGATTATCCCCCCCCAGCCGCCGTTGTCCGTCCTCCAGCCATGGGCACACAACAAGCACACCAAACATAGCAGCTGCTTGCGATAATGGCGGAGGATACGGATTCAGTATCAGCAAGCGGCTCTGGAGCTGGAGCTGGTCCGGGAGGTTCGAAACAGAGACACAAGAGGACGCGGACGGGGTGTATGAAGTGTCGGGTCCGACGGCGCAAATGTAAGCCTCTCTCTCACGTTCTTAATGTCTTCTTTTCGTACCTTATTTCTCGTAAAAGTTGTCGCAGACCCACTGAGGAAGCATCTCACCGACATGGTATGGGGTGACGTTGTAGCTCATCTCTCTCACTCGGTGACGCTCATCAAGTTGCCGTGGACCTCTTTATTGACCATATGTAGGCGATGAAGGAAAGCCGCGATGTCAGCGATGCATCGATGGAAACTTCGAGTGCCACTACGGCCCCAGACTTACATTCTTGAATAAGAATGCCCTGACTGTGTCGCCCTCGCCCAAGGTGGCTGATGCGACAACTCCAAAATACTCGCGACTTCAGGTCCGTAAACTACTACAAACCATCACCCACTTTCACGTTCCGCGACTCACACATAGGTGTAGTTCGTAGGTGCCGGGTCTTCCAAGCAAGCTGCCAAAGACCCATCGTTGCATGTATCTTCACCGCCGCACGAGCAACATAGAGTCAACGGAAGCTTCTCAAATGACCTGAACCACAACCACGGATCTCTACCACCACCGCCATCGTCGCAAACATCAACGCCAACGGTAATAGCCTTCCATGCAAATACCCAGCCCCCAGAGCCATCGCCAACAGCGACAACAAAACCGCTACCTCTTGAGCCGAGCCTCGCGCCCCTGAATCACCACCACCACTCACCGCTTACGCAATGGCGGCCGCCTCAGATTCACGAGAGCCTCTCATCGCCGGTGCGAAACCTTGATATCACGGGGAAGCTAATGGGTCCATCGCCAAATAACGATGCCGCGTACGAGACAGCCTTGAACGTCTTGCTCTCGCTGGGAAACGAAGGGCCAGCGGGGCTGGGCCAGTCGCCTGACCACGGCTCAGGATCATTTGCAGTCGGTGGCGATAGCATCGGGGTGGTGAGTCCTGGAGAGATGATGTCCATATCGCCAAACTCGGCGAGGGAGAGGAGAGGGTCCGGCATGTCTGCGGCTGCGGCCATATCGCAAGATCGCCTGCTGCAGCTGTTGCGTCACTTTAGGTACCAGGTCGCGCCATGGGTGAGTAAAACATTGAGCTTTCGTGTATGAGCTCTTGGTCGCTGAATTGCTGATGATGTTTTCGCAGCTTGACTTGTGTGATATGGGACAGACTTTTGGTCTTCACGTTTCGCGTCTGGCGATCGAGTCCGAAGGGGTTCTTCACTCGCTTCTCGCCGTTGCTGCGACGGCACAGCAGGCCGATATGCGCATCGTACCTGGCGACGTCGAATACCTCAAGTCTCTGGCTCAGGCAAAAGCTTTCCAACCAAACGGGGCGGTCATCAGCGACAGCGACCTGGTTCACTTGACACTATCTACGGCATGCCGATTCATCTCCGACATCCCCAGCGGCTGGAATAGCCTGTCCACTGTCATAGATCACAACGTTTGGGACGTGGCACTAGCTGAAGCAACTCCAAAGACCATCCCGATATTAGCAGTCTTGATTCGACTAGGTACGCCCGCTTCCTTGCTACTTGAGTGGTGCACATTGTATTTCACATCATAGTTGAACAGAATCTAACAAAGCGCAGAACTCGCCGCCGCACTCGTAACCGGCGCCCCCATATCGATCCCCGAACACTTATCCTATAACCCGATCCCACAGCAGTGGAACTCCTCCGCCATCGCAGAGACAATCTTCCAATACACCATCGAACCCCTTCTCCTCTGCGCAAAAGTAGTAAATTTTTGCTCAGGAAGCTTCCCACCACAAACCCCTGCCGACCTCGACCTCGGCGGCGTCCCACTAACACCCGTCCACCGCTGGACAATGCTCAGCGACGCCCTGGGGTCCTGGTACACCAACCGGGCGCAGGAGTTCCGCCCCATGGTGGAGATGGACGGCGGCGACGAGACGCTCTTCCCCGTCATCCTCTTCACTAATGGTGCTGCCGTCTTTGCGAACCAGCTGTATCATACGGCCATGTTGCTGTTGCTTCAGAATAAGCCGCGGACGTTGCAGGCCGCGACGGCGGCGGCGGGGAAGAAGTCGTCGTCTTCGTCGTCCACGTCGCCGCTCTGGCATGCTCAGCGCGTCTGCGGGATTGCGCTCAATAATGACCGGAGAGATAGTTGGGATCTTTGTTTAGTCGCGTCGCTGTATCTGGCGGCGCAGAGGATGACGTACGAGCCTCAGCAGAAGGCGATTCTGGGGTGTTTTGATCGTATCAAGTCGATGACTGGCTGGAACGTCGACGGCTTCTCGACGAAAGTTCGAGAGGATTGGGGGTTAATGTAGACAATCAGACACTTTGTTGGACGCGAGCACGCCGTGTCGCCCTGTGGCCAATTTCACGATTGCCACATAACCAATCGAAGTAATCATGTTGATGATGAGACTGAAATCACCTACCCATGTCGGCAATCCTGAGTTCTTTACGGACCTTGTAGCCCCAAGCGGCCTCCAGATCATCAATTCTCCAACAGGTGCCCCATCCCGTCACAGCCTCGATACTGCGGATGAGCTTCACGAGGAGAGCGTGCTCTGACTTGTGACTGAGAAGTCGGCCCGCGACCCAAAGGGGCTGGATAGCGTTGTTTAAGCAGCCCTGGTGCGGGTTCGCCAGCGATATGCCGCAAATACACTTGGCATGCCATATAGCGGACCCCGTGACGCCGCCCAGCTTGAGGTTTAGCGGCCGCGGCATGGCCCCCAGCAAGAGTGTGCAAGCCGTGTGATAGAGCTGATTGGAAGAGATGGCCGCCCAGTGCAGGAATAGGATCTGAGGGAACGGACTACTCTGGATGCTCTGGACGGGCAGCAGCTCCGGCGGTCGGTCGCGCGTCCAGGCCTGGAGGTCTTCCCAGAGGCAAACCCAGCGGTCGGTGAGCTCGTCGGGGCTGCTGCAGCCGCTTGCGTCGCCGAGCTCGAAGTAGCGCGTCCTGTCGGCGACGAGCTCGCAGACTTTGGCGCAGAGGTAAACGGCATAGTTGGCGTGCATGTCGGGGGTTCCGGACTGGCGGAAGAGTTCGCTTGCTTCGGAGTGGGAGGCGCCGCTAAGGAGCCATTTTGAGGGGGTGAGGAGGGTGCTTTCTGTTCCGTCGGAGATGAGGGCGCCACATAGGTCTGATGGGTGCGTTAAGGAGAGAGTTCAGTTATAGAACGGATTTGAGAGATCAAAACATACCCATTCGTGCGTAGCACCAGAAGACGGCTTGAAGTAGACCGCCGCTGAAGCCGTGAACGTAGAAAGAGTCAAAGAGCGCGGCGCACCCCTCGAGATGCTTCCTCCAGTCCTGAGCACTGGCAGACATCATCTCGAGGCAGCACAGAATCGTGCAGATGGGAATGATCTTTTGGTCTCGGGATTGCAGCAACGGGGTCAGTAGGCGGATGGCTTCTTGGTATAGCTCGAGGCTGTCGAACGACGTCTGCTTCCCCTCCTTTCGCTCCATCTGTCGCGCCGAGAGCGCGAGGACGGCGTAGAGGAGTGCAGGTGAGCTGCGGGCGAGAACGGGGACTTGTATGCCAAAGGCCCGGTCGCTGTCAAACATGTCGAGCTATTGTGAAAGAATGAGCATTGGTAACGATGTCCTTAGTGAAGGGGCTGACTGTCACGGAAACGTACCCATGTCGCGACCTCGCCGACGTAGTTCTTCAAATACTCCAACCTCCGTCCTGTGCCCAAAATCTGGCCAGCCTGCCGCCGTGCGGCTCCCTCGTCGCCCAAGATGGTACCCGGCGCCGCGAAACCCCCAGCAGAAAAGCCACCATCGGCTGCCTCGGGAGTGCCCTCCCGTGTAGGGGCCGCCGTTTGCGCCGTGTTGAAGATGAGGCATCTCAGCTCCTCTTGGTAGGCGAGGTAACCTGGGTCGGTGACGAACTCATCGAGCCTCCAGGACTCTGCCGGCGATGTTGATGCTTCAGAAGAGAGGTAGTGTGAGGGTGTTGGCTCACCGAGACCCCATGTTGACGAAGCGGCCGGCGTCACGGCTGAGCCGAAATGGGAGAAAACTTTGGTTTGTGAGTGAGATCGGGCATGAGATCGCGAATGAGAGTGAGAATGAGGCTGAGAGGGGGTTTGAGAGTGAGATTGTGACTGAGACTGAGACTGAGAGCCTGTGTTTTCTATCCGGTCGAGGGGTGCCGTGGTAGATTCGTCATCATTGGCCCTGGGCGAGATCATGTTGAAATCGCAGCTGATGGCGTATTATTATGTGTAACTGCTCGCAGACTAGATTCGGTCAAGTCTCTACAACATGAGAGTGACGCTCAACTCAAGTATCGTGATACTGGCTAAAGTCCACCTCATGGATCGGAAGGTTTCGGTAGGTCATGCGAGAGGAGGAAAAAAGACTGGATCTCCTCCTCACCTGTGACCTCCCTGGGGTCTCTCTGGCGTTGCCTCCATCGAAAACTGCCCGACTAGCGGATTCCGGATGTTGCTGGCGTCCAATGGCCAAGTGCGCAGGACCCTGGGGGGAGATGGGCGCATTGATTGCTGCGGGGAACCCAACTTAGCGGAACTTGCGGGGAAGTTGACCGCTGATGATTGGCTTTCGGGGGGTTAAGAAAGGGGTGTTTATTTGTCGTGGTCTGCCCGGTCAAGTGTTCAAGGACGGACCTAGACTGATATTTCGGTGAGAGGGTGCCACCGAAGGACTGCACAGGCGAGCACCGGTGAGGGATAGTGAGGAGATGGGCTCACCTTCGGCAACGATGCCGTGCTGAGCATCTCATACTCCATGTCTGCTGCGACCTTCTTTTAATAGTGGATTGTGTCTAATCATCAATCGACTGAAATTGACTTCACCTTCACCTCAGATGTCTTACCTCGGCCTTGCCTGCCTTATGAAAGCCCAAGTCGATGAGAGATTACCTTGTGAGCGAGGACACCCAAAAAGGTAGTCGCAGACCCATTGAGACAAAATTTGAGATTCCGAGTCAACTTTAGTTCATGTGAGACTCAAAAGAGTACTGCGCGGCCGGCCGGCGCGTTGTGGTCTTCGGCCTCAACTTCTCCGGCACGGCGGGGCAACAACCTCGGGGTTTCGGTGCTGATGTCACCGGCCGCGGGGTTCAATGAACTCTTGAGTCGAAAGAGGAAGCCGAAGCCACGAGCCGATCCCTGGAGGCCGTGGATCATGTTAAACATCGCCTACTCCTCCTTGGCGGGACCCTGCAGGGTAAACTCGTTACGTGGAATCCAGGGAAGAAAGATATCACAGTGTTTTAAACCCCCTTTGTCCCTTCTTTTGAGTATCGTATAGGTGTTTCCTGTATTGAAGGTGCAAAGATGGCATCTCTCAAGATCACGTCGCTACGGTTCGAGCACCATCCCACCGGACTAGGCGTTTCTTCCTCAACTCCTCGTATCTCATGGCGCGTCGAATCAGACCCTATAGCGAATAATTGGCAGCAGACATCATACGATATCAAGATCTCACGTGGCTCTGCGCCGGTCCAGGAATTCCACATCAAAAGCGCTTCAACGATACTCGTTCCATGGCCCGACACCCCTTTGACATCAGGCGAAAGGGCCACAGTCGCCGTCAGATCCCACGGAACCTCAGACGACGCCCAGTCAGACTCGAAATGGTCCCAGGAGGCGACTGTAGAAGCCGCTCTGCTCTCCCGCGATGACTGGAAAGCTACGCCCATCACCGCGCCACCGCGGACAGCTTCACATCCAGATGAGCGGGGGATTCGGCCGGTCCGATTCCGCAAAGTCTTTGAAAGCCCCGATTTAGAAAGCAGTGGCAATGCCAAACTCTACATCACCGCTCTTGGCCTATACGAAGCTTATCTGAATGGCCATCGTATCGGAGACGAGTGGCTCGCCCCCGGCTGGACTGCCTATCAACATCGGATCCAGTACCAGGTCTTTGACGTAGCGCATCTCTTAAAGCCTGGTCAACGGAACGTTCTCGCGGTGGAAGTGAGTGAAGGGTGGTATGCGGGCCGAGTTCTCTGGGGCGAGGGTTTAACCTGCTTTTACGGCGACCGCATCGGCGTACTTGCTCAACTCGACATCCACGACCATGACATGACAAAGCCAGCCTTGCAGCTTATGACCGACGAGACTTGGGAGTGTCGCCCCTCACCAATCGTCGGAAGCGACATTTACGATGGAGAGACATACGATCTCGGCCTCGAAGTTGACGACTGGCATCACGACAGCCACAGCGAATGGATTCATGTCGAGACACTGCCGTTTCCCAAGTCTGCGCTGGTTGCATCCTCCTTCCCACCAGTCCGCACCACCGAGACCGTGAAACCCATCAAGATCTTCACAGACATCAACGGCAAGACGCTCATCGACTTTGGTCAAAACCTCGTCGGCAAACTTGTCATCCCAAAGCTCGCAAAACCAGACGGCCATCGCCTCACCATCCGCCACGCAGAGGTCCTCGAAAATGGCCAAATCGGAACCCGCCCGCTCCGCGCAGCAAAGGCGACCGATACAATCGTCTTCGGAGGCGGTCGAGTCATAGAGAATTGGTCCCCTCACTTCACCTACCATGGCTTCCGCTATGTCGAGCTCGATGGCTGGGATGACGTGGACCTAGACTCCCTCTTCGCCGTCGTTATGCACACGGACATGCAGCGAACAGGCTTCTTCTCCTGCTCCAACGAAGACGTCAACGTGCTGCACCGCAACGTCGTTTGGAGCATGCGCGGAAACTTTGTTTCTATCCCTACGGACTGTCCGCAGCGCGACGAGAGACTAGGTTGGACGGGCGATATCCAAATCTTTAGCCCGACGGCCTCGTTTCTATACGACTGTGCGGGGATGCTGAGCAACTGGATGCGTGACGTACTATTGGACCAGAAGGACGCTGGCGGTATCGTGCCGCTCGTGGTGCCCAATGTCATGAAGGACGGGCCCTGGCCTTCGGTGCCACAGGCTGTGTGGGATGACGTTGTTGTTCTGGTGCCTTGGACTTTGTATAAGTGGTTTGGCGACGCGGGCGTCCTACAAGAGACATATCCTGGTATGAGAGACTACCTCAAGTCTATCAAGCGTGGTGACGATGGTCTATGGGATCCTTCTCTCTGGCAGCTCGGTGACTGGCTTGATCCCAACGCACCACCCGCCGAACCAGGTCTGGCTAGGACGGACGGCACCCTCGTCGCGGACGCGTATCTGGTTCACGTCACAGGCATCGTATCCCAGATAGCCAGCATCATCGACCTTCCATCTGAAGCCGAGAACCTCGCCAGCGAGCACAAGCGCCTAAAGCAGCTCTTCCAGGACAAGTACATAACCAAAGCAGGCTTCATCGTCGCAGACTCACAAACGGCACTGGCACTAGCCCTTCTTTTCGACTTACACGACACCCCTGCCCAACGAGAAGCCGCAGCCGCAAGACTCGCGCGGCTGGTGCAGTATTCTAAGTTTAGAGTCTCCACCGGCTTCGCTGGCACGCCCGTGATACTTCACGCGCTGTCAGAGACAGGGTACGTCCAGCATGCATACCGCATGCTCCTAGAGACGGGATGTCCCTCCTGGCTGTACCCCATCCGCATGGGCGCCACCACAGTCTGGGAGAGGTGGGATAGCATGCTGGAGGACGGGACGATCAACCCAGGCGAGATGACGAGCTTCAACCACTATGCGCTCGGCAGCGTCGCCAACTGGATGCACGCCGGCATCGGCGGGCTGTCGCCGTTCGATGCCGGGTGGAAGAGCTTTCGGGTTCGGCCCCAGCTGGGAGGAGACCTACGGTACGCAAGCGTGGAGTTTTTGAGCCCGCATGGCTTGATCCGGAGTCGGTGGGAGATTTGGGCGGATGGGAGGTTCGCGTTGGAGGTGACGGTGCCGCTGAATACGTCTGCTGTGATTCATTTGCCGAATGGTGAGGAGGAGTTGACGATTGGGTCCGGGTCTTATGTGTTCGAGCTCGATCTTGCTCCGGAACTGCGGGAGCGGATGGCCGCGTGGCCGCCCAAGGCTCTGTTGACGCAATTTGGACTATAATATCATAGTCCATCTTGAAGTACCTATAACAGAAGATTCAATGGTGTATATTTTGCAACGCAACCTTCGACGTGATTTAATCTTGGGTTTGCAACATTGTAAGACGGGCTGCTAGTTAGCCCGTTGATTACATTAACTACCTAGGTAAGTAGTAGACGTAAGGTCTACACGGCAACTAACATTACAATACTATCTTGCCACCAAAAGTACGCGTTCAATGCTCCCAGTTCCCGATGATATGTACTCGGCAACTGCCAATTGCTTTTTTCTTCATTCCCATGAGTCCGTCATCATCAGAACTGTAGGAATCCCTTGAAGTTGGTCATTTGCGTGCTCTGATCGTTAATTGTTAAGCAGAGTCTCTTAGTGTTGCTGTAGAAACCTTTACTTGAAGCTGTGACCACCGTTTAAAGCACCATCAAGAGGGACTTTGGGGACTTTGGGGGACTTTTGCGACGGACCCCTGCTATCTCTGACTCCGACCGTCTGACGGATCTCCGTGCCGTAGAATTGCATCATTGCGGCCGCTGGTGACCTTCCGAGCTCGGTTACTTGCTGACGACTTACTCGTTTCTTTCTGATAGATCGAAGCTCTCTTCCTCCTCTTCTTCTTCCATTGTCCAGAAGCCCCTCTTCCAGTCCATCCATCGACACTTCCCATCGCAACGCCACCCGTCATGCGCTACTCTCTCTCAGCCAAATTGCTCCTCCTGCTGGGCTCTTCCCAGCTCGTGCTGAGCTCCCCCGACGATCAGCGCGTACTCGCTTCCACTGCCGGACCGACGACTAACGATGCCGCCAGCTGGGCTAAAGCACCCGTGATCGCGATGAAGAGCAAAGATGCAATTGCCGAAGCACTTGAGAAATACGCCGACCCCGTGGACGCCCTGATCTCTCTCCAGCCCGAGTTGGCGGACACGCTGGCCGAACCCAGACTCATCCACGTCCATGGCGAGAAGATGGCGGAATGGATGACCGAGGGCGATAAGCTTCGTCTGCGGCGCAAGGGCAGCAAGTTCCGCGATATCACTGATTTCCAGGAGCTCTACGCCGACCACGTCAATACCTTTGCAGGCAAAGCGAGTAAGTCTAGTCCACATTACCATCGGGACTGCTCCTCGTACAATACTTGTACAAATAGCTAATAATGTCGCGACTGCAGACCTCCCTAAGATCACCCACCAAAGCCTCATTAAACCCCTCTTCCCCAAGGTCAACCAGGCAAACATGCACGACGTCCTCAAGCACATGACGAGCTACTATAACAGATACTACGGCGGCGTCACCGGCGAGGAGAGCTCTGTCTGGCTGCACGACCACGTCGCCTCCATCATCGCCGAGTCCCCCTTCCACGCCCACATCTCTCTCGAGTACTTCACCCACGAGTTCCCCCAATCCTCCATTATCGCCCGCTTCGAGCCCAAGGTCCGCGACTTTTCCAAGCCCCTGACCATCATCGGCGCCCACCAGGACTCGGCAAACTACCTCTTCCCCTTGCTGCCCGCTCCCGGCGCCGACGACGACTGCTCTGGCACCGTGAGCATCCTCGAGGCCTTCCGCGTTCTCGCGACGAGCGGCTTCGTGCCCAAGGAGGGACCCGTCGAGTTCCACTGGTACGCGGCCGAGGAGGGCGGATTGCTCGGCAGCCAGGCCGTCGCAGCCTACAAGAAGAAGGAGGGCGCGAATATCGGGGCCATGATGGAGTTCGACATGACGGCCTTTATCGCGCGTAATGCCACCGAGTCCATTGGCTTCATCAAGACGGACGCGGACGCGCCGTTGACCAAGTGGGCGGTGGACCTGAGTGAGGAGTACATCAACATCACGACGAGCGTCTACGAGCTCATGCCCGGCGCGGGGTCGGATTACATGTCGTACACCAAGCTCGGATTCCCTGCTACGTTTGCGTCCGAGGGAAACCCTGTTGCGGGCGGGTTCCCTGGAGAGTTTGATCCGTATGTGCACACGGAAAAGGATACCATGGACGTTGACGATGAGACGGGCGTGTTTTCTATTGACCACATGGCGAGATTCGCCGAGCTGGCTATTGCTTTTGCTATTGAGCAGGCTGGGTGGGATAATAAGTGGAGGTGAATGTTGGCAGCAATGACGGCTGAAGACTGGTACAAGTGCTGTTTTGATGAAGGATCCGCAACGAAAAGACCACCTCGATGTTTCAATTAGGTGTGAAGTGGTTCAATTCTAATGACAGCTGTTGATGCCTTGTTCCAATATGCCTAGATGTCTACTGAGCTAGTTCCGCATCACGACTGCTTCCTAATTGCGTTCCGAGCCAATTCCGAAGAGCTTTCACAAGCCAAGCTCGTAGTTACATCGCCTAGTAAACTTCCTCTCCCAAGACCCTAGCTGATGGCGTCAAACGAGAGCAAGAAGCTGCATAGCGCGATCGATGACAAATTGCGGGGGACTCAATGACAAAGTGCGGAGACAAACAGCCGCCTTCGGCTCCCACATGTAGTTGCTAGCTGACCAAGCCAAGTTGAAAAACCTCATGAAGTGATGTGATCTAATCTTCTCTCTTCGCTCTTATAACTAATTTACCTTAACCTGGTGAGACTCTAGAAATCAGCAGTTCTGCAGGATACAGCTTCACCTAAACGAAAGTACTAGCAACTCACCCCCACAATGGCTTCCGCAACATCCTTCCGCCAAATCGTCGGCGCCCCGCCCTCGACGGCCTCACCCACAGATAGCACACTCATCATCATCGACGCCCAAAACGAGTACGCAGAAGGAAAACTCGCTGTCCAAGACGTTGCCTCCTCACGCAAGGCCATCGCCGCCCTGCTGCAGAAGTACCGGGAAGCAGGCCAGGCTGGCAGCATCGTGCACATCGTCCACGCCACCCCCGAAGGCGCACCCGTCTTTACCCCCGGGACCAAGCTGGCCGAGGAGTTTGACGAGCTGAAGCCCGAGGATGGAGAAAAGGTCGTGAAGAAGCAGTTCCCTGGTTCCTTTGCGGGGACGGATTTGCAGGCGCATTTGGAGGGGTTGGGTGGAAGGGGGAAGAAGATTGTGTTGACTGGTTACATGGTAAGTCTCATGTCAGAACCCGCAAGAGGAGTGAATGCGATCGCTAATATGCTGATGGAAAAGGCTCATGTTTGCGTGTCTACTACTGCGAGGCAGGCTGCCCAGCGTGGATTTGACGTTTTGGTGGCTGAGGATGCGGTCGGCGATCGTGACATTCCGGGCGTTGATGCTGCGCAGCTCGTCAAGGTTGCGCTGAGTGAGATTGGTGATGCTTTCGGTACCATTGTACAGAGCAAGGACATTGCTTAGTTTGTTTGAGAACTTCAGCAAAATGAGTACGAGTTTGTTCGATCAACGCCAACGTTACTTCGTCCTCGATTATACCTCACTTGATTAAGGTACTTTACTGTTAATATCTTACGACAGCCTGTGCCTGTGATAGATACATATGATAACTCATCACCTCGAGCAATGATTGGATAATGGAACAACCGCAAGTCGATTCCGTCATACGTTGTCAATAGCATTTCTTGCTGTTCAACATCGTCTTCCTTACTGTTTGGTCGACTCCATTGATTATTAGTTCACATTTGTTCCGTGCCCATCAGTGGCCGCTTCGGTCTGCCTCCACATTCTCCTCTCTTCAAGGTTGATCTTCTACAAGTGGCCCTAACGGTGTGGTCCCAATATTCATCGAGAAACCATTTCGATAGCTCAGGATCTCTAGCCCAGCACGCCCAGGAACCATCAGACCATCCAATCCCAGATCTCAAGCTGAATCCGCCGATTGGCGGCGCCATATTGCGGAGAAAACGGCACGATGCCATCAAGGCCCTGACGATCAGCGAAGGGTACACAGAGCCTTTGAAGCCCACTAAAGAGGCACAGCAACCGCTATTACTGATAGGATGTTAGCTGGGGTCTTTGAGAACAACCCGTAGGTGCCGAGGAAGAGCTACAAGAGCCCACAGGAACCCCATCGCTGCAGGGCCGCGCAGCCAACCAACTTGGCGAAGAACGAATTCATAGCCCAAAGAGGCATCAGTGTCGTCACCACTCTGGGCTGCTCAGCTGGAGCAAGTTGCTGAGCTCTCAATCTTCCACTGGACAGCTCGATTACTTCCAAGGGCCTCCATAATCTCAAGCGGGTTTGACAGCTTGGGATTCGGACCTCGGACAACTCAGTTCTGCGAGCGAAGCATTGGCGCGCTCATCATCATATGAGAAAACCATTGCTATTGTCTTTGGACAACCCCCCGATGAAAAATGGATTGGATAAAAGGTATAACAGCCGCACAATGGGATGAACTCGCGATGGACTCGGCAACCGATTGCAACCACAAAGTACACATTCCTTGCGACGGCCAGAGTTATTAGACTTGTCTCTAGTTATTAGACCCCTTGACCCAACACGAAGCCATCACGATGAGATCGTCCGCCCTCTCCACCATCCTCTCCTGCGCAGCCGTTGCGTCCGCCGTGGCCGTCACCAACGACACCTCGCCCGCGCCGAGCATCCCCAACGTCGTCCAGTCCACCTGGGACGGAAAATGCTTTTACCCTACCCCCGACGCCGCCTTTGACCTCGAGTCTTACCTCGGCCGTTGGTACCAGGTCGCCGGCACCGTTGCGCCCTTCACCGCCGGCTGCAAGTGCATCTTTGCGCAGTACTCTCTGAACGTGCGCACACACTTTTTCTCACCCTGACGTGACTTGTCTTGACCAAGAGTGGATGTGACGGGCTAACGGCGAGTGACATTCAGGACAACGGCACTGTCAAGGTCAACAACACCTGCGAGGCCGGGGGCCGCGCTATCAATATCCTGGGCACCGCCGCGCCCGCTGATCCGTCGTACGGGGCCAAGGGCGTCCTTCGCGTCCAGTTCCCCGGCCAGCCCGGGCCCGACTGCGCCGGTCCGAATTATATTGTCCAAGGTACGTGCAATGCGTCCTAATGAATCAGGGAGGGCGACATAGGCCCGGAGATGGTCTTCCGCGTCGGTGCCGAAACGTTGGTAAAGTATTTGAGCTGACGGTGTGGTTTTACCCCACAGACTACACCCCAGACTTTGCGCTCGTGCAAGCCAGCAACTTTACGACGCTGTTCGTGCTCAGTCGCCAGCGAAACCCGGAAGACGCGGTTCTCGATGTAAGCCCTTCCTGCTCCTTTCTCGTAACAATGTGCAACGCTATACCACAAAGGGGGGTTAGATGGATTAAAGATGAATTCCGCAAGCGTTGCGACTAGTAACAGTGAGTGCAAGCATGCTAACGAAATTATTTCCCCTCGACAGGCCTGGATCGCACGCGCTGGCCAGCTCGGCTCGAACCTCGCAGACGTTGTCAAGACGGATCAGACCGGTTGCCAATTCGCATGAGACATGGGGAATGCGCCAAATGCTGCATCAGGGGATCGCGAAGAATCTGTGCCTGGCGCTTGGCCCGGAACGGAATAAGTGAGGTGAGACTTTGGGTTCTTGAGTGTCCAAGAGCGGTCTTTGGAGCCGATGATAGAGCAGCAGTGTATTTACAAAAACAGATGAAAATTCCATGCCAATGCCGGATGTCTTATGTCAGTGTCAATGTCAGTGTCGCAGCCCGGTGACATTCGCAAACGGGATCATGAAGACTGCATGGGCTCAGACCTCCATGTGGAAGCAAGCTAGAGCTCAAGATAGATGATGCCGAATCATTGGTCAATGGCCGTAGATCTCACAGGACGCCCCCGGAGCTCAGCTCAGCTCTCAGCTCAGCTTTAAACTTTGGAGCTTGGAGCTGTAGCTTCGACACCATGGCTCTTAAGCTTCCTTGTCCTTTCCCCATGTTGCACACCAGTGCAACCACTGGGGGCGCCCACGGCGCAAGTTGTGCCACTTATGCAAGGGGATTCTATGACGACACCACCATCAGCCCGAGACATCATGACGAATGTGGCCGCGTTCGGTCTATGTTTGTGTGAACGCATCTGTGGGCACCCTTTAATTGTGGAGGAAGAAGAGGGAAAAGAAAACTGGAAAGGCTGGGCCTGGGTTTTAGATCTGAGAGCGGAGGTGAAGAGTGAACGATGAATGAGGTAACTGAATTGAGTTTGATTCAAATAGCTCTCGGGTCCTCCTTGCGAGAGCATGCCCAGCGCACAATTGCTTCCTGTTATATTGCTGCGTGAACTCGCTTGTTGCTATCCTGCGAAACTTTGAAAGCTTGCTGCATCCCTGCTTAAGCATTCAACTATCGATTACTACCTCCCGACCACGTATATCATAAATCGCCAAAATGGTCAAGGCCAAGGAAGAGGTCATCTCCGAGTTCAATGAGTACGTCAACATGACGGCCGAAGACCTCGAGTCCTGGCTCAAGTCAGACGACTCCAACAGCGCAGGCTGGCCTAAGGACGACGCCGAGGGCGACGGCGAGTCGGTCGGGCACGACAGCGGGCGCAAGATTGTCGAGATCCTTCAGGCGAACCCCGACAAGAAGGAGGATGAGTACACGGACGACCAGGTTGAGCATATGCGCAAGGTCGTGGCATACTGGTGAGCGCCACTTGCGATGAGACAGGGCTGTTGGACTATGAGATGGCTCCGGTGCTAATGAGTGACTCGGAAAATAGCAAGCGACACCTGGCGCAAGAGTCAAAGTCGAATAGCGATAAGTCGCCCGAGGAAGTGAAGAAGACCAAGTCGTATGCTTCACTGAAGAATTGGGGTCACGACTTCCTCAAGGCCCAGGGCAAGGAGAATGGCGCGTCCAAGTCGAATGGAAAGTCTTCCAAGAAGGAGGAGAACGGCGACGAAGAGAAGGCTGAGTCGAATGGGTCCAAGAAGCAGAATGGATCCAAGAAGGAGGAAGAAGAAGTTGAAGATGACGAGGAGAAGGCTGAGGAAGATGCTGACGAAGAGGCCGAGGACGACAGCGAGGAGAAGGCCGGCGACAAGCGCAAGAACGCCAGTGAGGAGAACGGATCCAGCAAAAAGCGGCAGACGCGCCAGGGCGAGGGCAAGTCGACTGAGAAGTCGGATGAGAACGCCGATAATGATAAGGAAGAGGAAGCCGAGGAGAAGGACGAGGACGGCGACGAGGAGATGGAAGATGACGGTGAGGAAGGCGATGACAAGGAGAATGGTGGAGGCAAAGCCAAGAAGGGACCCAAGAAGGGCGACACTGTCAGCTGGAAATGGGGCAGTGGTAACCCCGAGGGCAAGGTCCTTGATGTGAAGGGTGAAAAGTAAGTGGTTCAAGATAATGCGTTTGTGAAGAAGATAGCCCTGACGAGACACATTACAGGACGACCATCACGACGAAGCGTGGAAGCGAGGTGACTCGCGATGGAAATCCTGAGGACCCCGCTGTTGTGATCGATACTGGAAAGTCGAAAGCTGTCAAGTCTGCTCACGAGCTGAATGAGTAATGGGAGATTATATGGCTACAGAAAAGGCGTATTAGGACTCCGTGATCGATTTAGGTGTCCTTCCTGTCAGAGGAATTGTGTTTATGAAAGGTGTATTTTAGTGTTGTTCAATAACTTCAAGCCGAAACAGATGGATACGCAGGGGAAACTAACTTTGTTTTCAAAATGTGATGTTGTACTTTTACACTCCTAAACTACACTTTACGTGGTGTATATATATGATTCGTTTTACAACTCCTCCACTCTCTCCGACTGCGAGGAGCTACTTTGCTTCTGAAACTTGGTGATGGGATCCTTCTGGGCCTCCTTAACCTCGTTCCAGAACTTCTCACCATTCTCCTTGTCATCCTTGAACAAGTGATCAATCACCAGCTTCTTGGGCGTCTCACCCATCCACTGGAAGAGAGAGAAATCGCGGAATTCATCTGCCCTGAAGATCTCGAGCATCTCGATTGGCTCGTCACCAATATTCTCAACAAAATGGCCCATATTCTTCGGCACAATACCAACATCACCAGGGACATAATCAAAAGTGCGAGCGGTGCCCTCAGCCGCAAAGATGGTAATGCGGGCCCGACCTTTGATGAAGAACGACCACTCGTCAGCATTGGGATGCCAGTGCATCTCGCGCAGCGCGCCCGGCTGGATTGTGAGGTGGGCGGCAGCGACCTGTGAGGAGCATGGGTCAGTCTTGAACACCCGTGGGAGGCGTCAGAGGTTTCAGTTTCTTACAGTCTTGGAGATGGGAAAGTTCTTGGAGTCGGTGATGCGAACCTCTCCGCCCGACGTCTGCTCGGGCTCCTGGTCGAGCATCCTGTGGGTGAAGTTGAAGCGAGACTTCTTGGCGTGCTTGCCTTTGGGCCGTTCCTCGTCAATGGGGCCCGGGAGCGTGCCTTGGAAGATGTATTTCTCGCCCTCGGGGAGGTGTTTGAAAACTTCGGGCTCGAGGTGGAAGTTCTCGGCGATAACTGACTTGGGTGTGTGGGCAAGCCAGTCGGAGAGGATAAAGGTTGACTCCTCGGAGAACCGGCCGTCGTCGAAGATGAGGAGGAACTCGGTGCCGTTGGGGCTCAGTCCTTGCAGGGAGTGAGGTACGCCTGATGGGAAGTACCAGAGGTCTGGATCGGTAATGTCTATCAGCTTCTATTGCCCTATATTCGCGAAATCGACCTTGATAGACATCGTCGATAGATCGCCAGAGGCAGAGTGTGCTTGCTTACCGCCCTTCTTGAGGTCGTCGATGAAGTTGCCGCCCTCGTAGTCAAGCGCCGTAACGCGGACCTCGCCGTCCAAGACGTACGCCCATTCAGCCTCCTTGTGCCAGTGAAGCTCTCGGATGACGCCCTCACCAAGACGCATGTTCACGCCGGCAAGCTCGACGCTGGTGGACAACTCACGTACAGTCGTCTGTCGGGTCCATCCACCTTCCTATTTTTTGGCAGATAGTGTTAGTGGTCGATCGTGCGTTTTTGTATGGCTCCAGTGCCACTCTGCCAGCTCAGTTGGACTCAATTGGCGACGAACACCAATTACTCACCTCAATCCGAATATGCGAATCCGCAAAACTCCACCGCATGTTGGGCATGTTCCCCTTGTCCGTCGAAGGCGGCCGTACCAAGTCCGGGTTCTGGCGCGAGCGCTCGCTGTTCCAGGGCCCCAGCACTGAGGCGCCGAGCCCGTTGCGGTAGGGAAGCGGGTCAAGGCCGTCGCCGACCGAATCGACGGCGCCGTCGTTGGGATCCCTGAAGACCGGGACGTAGGGGTTGCTGGTGCTCTTCTTCTTGTAGCTTGCGGGGATGTCCATTCCTCGGAGGAGGCGCTCGCGGGGGCTGTCGAAGTGCGGCGCCGCCGAGCACAGCTCGCTGGCCGATGCCCAGAGGAGCAGCAGCTTGGCTGCCGTGGGTTGGGTGAGATGCATGTTGGGCCAAGAGTGTGTGGTGATGGAGACTGTTGCGATGGGACCGGGGGATGCAGTGTGCCAAGAGGGTAGCTCGAAGTAGGGAATGGCAACGGAAGTAAATTGAGTCTACAATTGATCCTCTCTTGCTTTCAATGGCTAAGAATAAGATGTGAGGTAGGAAAAGCTTCCAGGAAAGGAACACTTCGCCCGTGACCCTGGGAACAAGAGACTATTTTATACCCCCTTTCAAGACTTCATCATCCGACTTAGCCATGCCAATACCAATGCCTTGACCTCTTCCTCGGCCTCGCCAATGTCGCAACCAAGTCGTAGTACGTAAACACGGGGGGGGCTTACAAAGAGAACCATCCATCCGTCATAGTCATCGGCGCATCACCTCACCCGCTCATCGCTGTAGTCTGCAGGTTGAACCGAACAGTGACACACACACACACACACACACACACACACACACACACACACACACACACACACACAAACCAAGATCCCACGTCTGCCACACACCCGTCGACGCACATGCCGAACCACCCCCGAGACCCAAGCTCCCCCGCAGCTGTAGCAACAATGGCAAGGTAGTAAGGTACCTTACCACACTTACCAAACCAAGCAGCTTCGAAAGCTGGCGCTGCTGCATGCCACCTTGCATGGAATGTTCAACAAGAGCTCCCCCTCACTGGCTGAAACGTGGCAGAGTGATGAGCGTGGCACCTCTCGCCCATGCGGGGATGAACCAGTCAACATACCTCCCCAGTGATAGCCGGCCTACCAGGGGAACAGAGGAACGCTTGCCGTAGACCAGGGCCAGGGAGGGGGGGAGGGGAAGAAAGAGACTAATTGTAAGAAACTGGACGCACTGAGGTGGCCTGGCGTTTAAGCTCGTCACTCAACGGACCGCAATTGGCTTTCCAGGGGAGCTGCTGAAGCTCTTCTCCATCGTTCGTTGCGACGTTGGCGGCATGTCTGCAGCAGGCCATGACGCAGGTTCCTGCGGCTTGAGCTCGACTCCAATGCAACTCGAATGCATCTCCAGGACCATCGATTGGACGGGGCATATGTCGGAGATCCTGGAGAAGAAGCTGGTCCGCAGCCAGGCGTTGTCAGGCCCCGGTTTCACTGCGTGACTGCAGTGACATTCTGCACATCCCTTCTCAGACTGAGCTTAGCTTGAGGTTCAAGGCTATTTCTGATGGGCTTGCTTGTCCAACTCGCGTTTCCCCCTCACTCTCTTGTCCAAATCCCACGCCCCCTAAAGGCCCGAAAGTCACAGATGATACCCGGTCCGTCGAATGGCCTCTTGTTATCCCGTCAGAACCGTCCGCCCAGAGATTCACGAGCGGGGATAGATCGCTCTTGGTCTTGGCTTTCTTTCGGCATTGCTTTCCGCCCTTTGGCCCATATAAACCAGGCTGGAAACCTGGAAACTTTTCGCGGGTGGACCACGGCAGATCCGAAGTGCTCGAGCTCTCGGCCTTTGGGCATTTCTTCAGTCTTTCCAAAGCACAACGATTCAACGAACATTGCGTGTCAGCACCCACCGGCTGTCTTTCTCCCCCCCATCCTCGGTACACCCATGTCAACTCGAGAGAGAGGTTTATTTATATCCGCATAGTTTTCCGTCAACCAACGTCACTTGGTCAGAGCTTCTAGTCTCTTCGAGGGGCATCTTGTTTTGAGTGAAGCTGAAGCTGCTGGTTTCCGAATAATCTCTCTACTTCGCGATCAGAAGCGCCCTACCCAACCAACATACCCACAACTCCGCAAAGATGAGCTCAACGGGCGGCAACTACGGTTCCGTCACCAATTCGGTGCCGGTCGTGAACGGCGACTCGCACGCCCACGCCGATGAAGAGCAGCCTCTCCTAGGCGGAGGCAACGGCGCCCGGAAACCGGCCTCCAAGTCTCTGCGGAAAAAGCTCACCACAGACGTCCAGCGCGACTGGGCCGATTTGGTCCTTTTGGCGTGCTACATCATCACCGGCCTGCTCGACAGCTCTTCCATCTCCATCTGGGGTTCCTTTGTGTCTATGCAAACAGGTAAGATCCCTTCCAAGCCTTCCTTGCCCACAATAACGGCCCGAAGCTTTCGCAATCCCACATTACTCACGCACCGCAAAAAACAGGAAATACAGTCTACATCGGCCTCGGCCTCGCCGCGCCCACCGAATCCACCCGCTGGATCAAATCCGCCACCTCACTCATCTCCTTTTGCCTCGGCTCCTTCTTCTTCAGCCGTTTCCACCGCTTCTTCTCGCCCAAGAAGCGCTGGGTCCTCTGCGCGTCCTTCATCGCCCAGACGCTCCTTTGCATCGCTGCCGCCGTCATCCTGACTGTTGGCCCTACGGCGGGCAAGGACGAGATCGCATGGAACGTCCTGGTGCCCATCGCCCTGATCGCCTTCCAGAGCTGCGGCCAGGCCGTCACGAGCCGTGCACTCAAGTACAACGCCCTCACGAGTGTTGTGTTGACGAGTATCTACTGCGATCTGTTCTCCGACGCTGAGCTTTTCAGCGTTCGCAACGCTGAGCGGAATCGAAGGGTCGGCGCGCCCGTCTTGCTACTTATCGGTGCTATCTGCGGTGGCTTGTTTGCGCACAGTTCCCTGGGGATTGCTGGTGCTCTATGGACTGCGGCTTTCTTGAAGTTCCTCATCGTCTTGTCGTGGTTCCTCTGGCCTGGTGAACCTTCGGATGAAGAGTAGATGTGATACAAAACGTGTATCCCACTACGCAAGTATCGAAGAAGTGGTCATACTAAGTTGTGGCCTAGAGACTTATCAAGTCACTGTAGCGTTCAGATGCAGATAGACTAAAGGGACGTTGACGGCAAGCGCAGACTCAAAGAAAAAAGTGTTCGCTGTCTCCGTTTGCGTGCATCAAACAGTATGAAAAGTGCCTTTGGCTCAGATACACGTACAGATGTGAATTAACACTCACTGGAGACTCTGACAGCCCACACATCGGTTATCGACTGAGCGGTCTAGTTACGTCCCCTCAACTCTTTTCCATGGCTTCATGTTTCTATCCCTCCATTGCCTCTTTACCGTGTATGCATTTCCTGCAATGTTCAGTCCTGAACATTAAACTCAACGGCCCAATCCATCTGGAATCCACGCTCAGCAAACCAGCTCTTGCGACTCACCTGTGTGCGAGTTCCTTGATCTTGGCCCGGTTGAGGTTGAGATACCGTCTCGTCGCTCTCTCTAAGCTCTCCAACTCATTGACAGCGTCTAGACGCGAGACTTGTGACTGCAGGCCAGGGTTGATGCAGATGTTTCTACGGAGGCTGTCCTTGGCCACATGCGAGTTCTGTGATAGAATATCGGCCTTGAAATCAGACCATATTAGGTTGTAGGAAAGTAGTCGATCAAAGCGGTCGGCGGCAATTTAAGCTCTACAATTCCTCGTACAACACCCCTGAATCAGCCGTTAGCAAATGAATACGACATGGCTTCGATGTACTGAAAGGGAAGCTGAGGGGACGTCGTACCCGTTGCGACACAATACTGGAGCACCTGCAAACTGAGGTTTGACCACAACTGTCCATGCGGGCTCCCACATTGTATCCCTTTCATGAAGAGGACATCTCTTCATCTCAATCGTCGTATGGGCCTTGATATCGTATGCTTGGATACGCGGTAGACACAGAACGTGACCACACGGCAATAGATATTCAGGAAGCTCTCTGAGGCAAGAAAAGCAAGTCGAGTGACTGATGGAGTCTCCCACACTACCTAGAGAGTAGTAGAAGTCGTTGAGTCGATACTTGTGAAGATCGGCAGCGATGATGTCCTCGCTTTGCTCGCGAACTCGTGAGTTGACATCGAGAAACTTGGCATGGTTCTGACGCAAGTCATTCCGAATCTGGTCAATCCATTGACCAGCAAAGTCTTGAAGATCAACATCTGACTGATGAATGCCTGCTGCAAAGATACGTCCATGTTTGTTGTGGTGACCTTGTGGATCATGCCCGAACTTGACGTTGTAGCATTTCCATATTTAGGATAAGAAAAAGTGCATGGCGCATGGAATTCCGCGTATCCTTCTAAGACGACATTGCAGAAGTCCACGTAGGCGTCATCTAGAAGTCTCACAGGGGTTCCTGAGGATGAACATGAAATATTGAAAGAGAGGCTTCGACATTTACCCAGGAAGTTCTGACAGACTGATTCTAGCATAATGCAGGAAAATATCATCGGCACCATCTTTTCGAAGATCCGTTGAGTCCCTCCAACTTGGGCAATTTGTGTCGAGTTATTGGTGATTTAGATCGCCAAGTTCAAGATGTTGCCACTGAAGTCCTGTGGAATGGGATTGTGCTTAAGTGCTTCCTTGACAAAGTCAAAAGGGGTATCTAGGTCGCGAGAAAAGTGATCGTAAGCTACGTGGAGGTCGACCTGTAACTTGTCCGCAGTTGCGAGCATTCGAACATGCTTCTTGGTTAGTAGAGACACTTGGCATCTTTTGTTGATCAGCTCAAATAACTTCTCCATCTGATCGTCCATGAGCATGTAACGACCGCGAGACGGAACTCGAATGACGGAGATCAAAGCATAGTAGCAGTCGATGCAGTCTTTGGTAGTGTTAATGGTTCGACCGATGTCCTGCCAAAGCCTGGCTTGCTCTTCGAATCGAGGTTCACGGAAAATCGCTCCACTAATGTCATCGAGAAGACGAGCAGTCGCGGCCTCAATGTTCTATTCATCTTCATACACATTGTCCGTCGTATTGAGGACAATGACTGCGTGGGAGAGAGCGGGCTGGTTCAGCGATTTGTCGATCGAAGCCGATCCCCATTCCAGAAGTTTGTCAAGGACAGTGGATTTGAAAACCCTAACCCAGTTAGAAAGCATTTCTTCATTGAAAAAGATGGTGGAATCTTACCTGGGGTTTCTCAGCACGAAAACAACCACGTTTGAGAAGGTGTAGAGCAGTCTGGCATAGACTTGTGTGACTACGTATTCTCTCTTCTTCGTTTCTGTTGTTATTGCCCATTCGAGGTCCCGTTGAGATGCGTAGCGCGATTCTCCGAACTTCCACTTCGAGGATGTATTAATCACACCAGAAGAACGACTAGCAGTTGATGGCTTTGGCGATTTACCTAGACCAGTCTTGCCCATGACATTCGTGACATCGCTGAGGATCCCTAGAGCCTCCTTTCCCTTTGTGCGATGGCGCAGACCTGCTGGTACAGCTTCCCCGCCATCCAAACCCTCAAAATCAGCATATAGTACAGGTGCTTGAGTGTTGTAAGATATCGGATCGGCATAGAGGTGGACATCGCTAGTTGTCGGAACGCGGTCGTTATTAGATGAAGTAACAGGCGACGGATACTTTGCCCCGCGGTCAAGCATGGCAAACCTATCAATCAGCATCTTGATCAATGTGCTCTTACGGGGCCCTAAAGGCAATCAGCCAATTGCGCCATCGTGAAAATGGTTTTTGAACACCTACCTGTTTGCCCAATGAACGACACAAGCTGAGGGTACCGATTCCCATTGTCTGGGGTTTGATTATCGCTCATCAACGTGGCGAATCGTCCATAGTCTTGCAGTATGGGTTGATTGGTTGAGTCCCGCCCAGCTGCAAACCATGTGGTATCTTCATCGGATTGGAATTCGAGTTCGTGCTCAGTCGTTGAGCGGGTGGGTTCCAGGATTTCGCGCAGTCTCTGGACCACCTGGGGATTGGACCTCTCGTGCGGTCTACCATCCAAGCCGACGGCACCCGGCCTGTGAAGCTCCCATTCGGACTAGCAATTGTCCCAGAGTGCGAGATTATTGCATTGAATACAGGCAAAAAGCTTTTTGGTCGTAGCACGACACTTGTGGCAGATTGCCGAGCGCGTCTTGCGAGCTGCGTCTGTCATGGTGTGACTTTTGCTAGAGTCTCCGAGGACTGGATGACATTTTCGGGGGAGTCCAAGAAAGAAGGAAGGTCTGAAATAAGACGGAATCCAGATCCCATCCCTTCCAAAATCTCGCAACTTGACATAAGGCTGTGAGGCAACCGGGCCGCGGGCACCATCACGCCTACCGCAATTGCAGTCACCAGTGCCTCTGGGTCATCAAAATAGGGCTCGAACTAGACTGACTAGAAGCAGTAAGGCTTTCTTGTCTTGGGCGCTGGAGGCTCTACCAAATAGTAATTAGCGGATAGACTCAGCTCTACCATCTTTCAGAGTTGTGGCGTCTTCGGCAGGAGCGGTTCTAATCCTCGTCAGGGCGGCATTATGCAGGTAGGATTCAGCTTATACCGGAACCCCAGCCTGATATGTTACGTCTTGGTAAGTAAGCTCCGATCTGGTGTTTGAACGGTCAAGCTGGTGCTATGGACTTTCTTTTCCGCGCCAATACAGATTAGAACGACACTACATGTTCAATTCTCTGATCGTATATCTGCTGTCTTCGTAGTTCCCTCAGCCACACCTGATCGAATGTCGAGTTACACTACGTACAAAGTGCTGAGGATCGACACTATTGCGTTACAACCTACATACACTTATTTAAACCAAGAAATGGCCCTACCACTCCACAGGTATATCCAGACTCGAGAATCAGGGTGCGGAAGTGGGTATATGCAGCTTTGCTTGCTGACGTCAACAAAGACATGTGCATTTGGAGTGTATTTGACATGATATTCAAAGCGATTCGCTTTAAGTCTTTTATTGCTACTAAAAAGCTCGAGCTACCGGCCTGCTTCATTTTTACAGCATAAAATAATGCCCTGTGTATGTACCTTGATTGCCAACTCAGTCATGCCTTGTTGCATTAGTATGTATTGCACCATCCGCAAACAAGTATCTTTTGCACATTACTAAAGACCCTTGAGAGCTAGATTCATTCTTCGGGAAAACTCCAAGTAGCGGTCCCAATCCGATCCTTGATCACTGCCGGCCGGCAGCGAAGGGCCGACAAAGCTCCCGACGCCAGCTCCGCCCAGAGCTTCTTCAATCTCCCAGTACTTCCCGCCGTCGATGAAGATTACCTCTCCATTCCTGTTGTTGTTACTCATGAGTAAAGCCGCCGATCGGGCCACATGTTCGGGTGTATTCAAAGCGAGTCCTGTGAGAGACACCATCTCCTCGTTGACGATACCGGACTTGGTCCAGTTCGGAGCGAGGGAGTTGAGCCTGATCGGAACAGGAAGCTCTTCCAGATGCGGAATGAGGCTACGCATAAGACCGAGCACAGCGTGCTTAGATGTGGCTATTGTGATTGGTTGTATCAGTCTTACAGTTCAAATTGTGAGTATCCTCAAGTAAACATCGCCCTCGTTGCAAGATCAAACAGATGACAATGCTGTGTGGCAAGCATCATTTGCGGGTAAATGGAATACGTCGATAAAAGTGATACTTACTGTAATCAACAGCTTTGAATCTTGACCAAGAGCTGACAGACGCAGTAAGGACTATGCTGCCCCCGGTCTTCTGCTTGCGCATATGGTGAACGGCGAGCTTGACGGTCGAAATGACGCTGAGGAGATTCGTCTCCACGCAACTCAAATCTGGTGCTTTCAACTCTCCATCAACATCATCAATCTCATCATCGATAAACCGGGTCCGGGCTCCAACTCCTATTACCACTGCCGTTAGCCATAGCCCTTGTCTGCGGGACTTCTTCTCCTTGTCCTCAATCTACTGGGTTTCATGAAGCATCTAACTAAAGTATAGCGGCCTCGGCCTCAAATCCAATGGCTACGCAGACTAGAGGTGGCAGGAACTTCGAAAGACAGTCCAATGAGTTTGCGAGGTGGGCAGACTTACCGGCGTTTGCGAAAACAGCATCGATACGACCTTCTCGCTCCACGGTACGTGTGAACACGCCACGGAGAGCTTGCCAGTCGCACACATTGCATGGCTCGAAAGTGAGGCGAGAGTCTATAGGAGACGGCTCGCCAGGCTCCGATGATTTGGGTAGACTCAGATCAACATTGGTAACTCGCGCGCCCAGAGAGAGTAGGAGGTTGACCGTTCCCAGGCCGATGCCCGAGGAGCCGCCTGATAGATCTAATTAGCATAGATCTTGGTAACAGTCGCTTTCGGAGCATATCGACTGTCTCCCTCAATGGACAACCGTGGAGTTCGAACCAATAAGTGTTAAGTACGATTCAGTCGCGGGGTGGATATACCTGTCACTAAGACAGCTTTGTCTTTGAGACCGGCGAGGTCTTCATCGTTGATTTCGAAGCGCGACATTGATCCAATATAACCTTGAGGTGTCAGGCTTCAGTTCAGTTCGTCCACTGTGATAGATGGTGATTTGTATGCCCTCAGACCTCGCTTCATATAACGCCTTGGGCGTTTTATATACATGTAGCTGATATCATTGCGCTTAAAGAACTCCGTCGGCGAATATGGGAAGACCGGATGAATGACACAGAAACCTTGTTTCATCCCTTCCGCGGCCTACCGAGGTGCCTGTCCACCCCGCACACCCCGCTTCCAGCAGGTCTCGCCACCGGGTACGGAGACTAAGTGGCTGTCAGGAAAAAAATTGAGTTTATAACGGCTGCCATTTGTTAAGAGTAATGCTGCAGTGTTCTCCGATGCGGGTGGTGGCAGAATCACCGGTCCCTTTGGGCCTTCGGGGAGATTGGGAGTTTGGGACGCTAAGAAATAACAACTAGCCCCAGCCGCTTACATCTGAGGCACTCACAACTTTCGAGTAATTCCTGAATGGCTTTCTCAGACACTGTTTCTTTCTTTAATCCACCAGACATGATATTATGAGAGACACGCTCTGGCTAGCCTCTGAAGCTGAAATATGGAAAGGAGTTTACATCCCACATCACATGCAGACAATGATGTGGTAGCTGCATTCGAGGAGCTTTTGTCTCGAGGAGTTAGTTTTATTGGCGATTACTCACACAGTCAAGATGGCCTCAAAATAAGGCCATTTAGATATTTGGACCTCCGAGTTCGTTTCCTTGAATTTTGGTCTTGATCGCTGGAGTGTCAATGTCAACGCTCCATGTCCTCACCTGAATCTGAGCAGGAACATATTCGGGACACGCGTGTATACTACTCCACATGAATTTCAGAAATCTTATATTTACATAGTATGATAGTAGTCCAAGTTGCAGTTCTTCTATTCTCTGCGGGAAGGGGCTTCGCAGCTGCTATTCTTTCAATCTCCCTATTTTCTGTACACAACAGACTACCGTGTACTGATTGTATGCAGCTTTGATCAGCCAGTCGGGCCAAACCTTAGCCCGAGGTAACATGAAGTGGACCGTGACCGTCATCGACAGGGCAGCCAGATCCGTCAGAGTCGAACTCAACCACGCAAGTAGCGTCGATACCAATAGCAATACCAATGAATTGAGTATCCTTCTGCTGTGTTCCGCTGCCAAGAACGTTGCCGTTGCTGTCCTTGACTTCGCATGTCTTGGGAGCGCCACCAAAGTCCGACTTGCAGTGAAAGACTCGTCCGGTATTCCAGCAGTCGCCTTCGATGGTGAACGTGCGGCCGTCACCGGTGTTGTAACAGGGAGAGTGGTCATTGGGGTAGGACTGATCGTAGACAGCCTCACCGGCGCCGTTGAGAATAGCGAAGCCGGTGTAGCCGCCGTTGGTGCCGGATCCGCCGGGGCCTCCAATGGCACCGAAGACGCCGGATGACCAGACGACTCGGAGATGCTCGGCGTAGGCAGATGTCGAGATGCCCAAAATCCCAAAGAAGACGGCGCGGAGGGAGGAATGCATATTGTTTGGTTTTTGCAATGTTTTGAAAATAGTATGATAGTGTTTTGATGTTTGGTTGTTCAGTGTGGTTTGTGGATTGGAGTGTGATGTGCATGTGTTTCTAGTAGTTGTCGGTCGTTTTCACACAGGAGATTTATACTCATATTCAACCTTGCCTTAGGTACTAGAAAATAATCACAAACTCCGATTTTCTAGGCACCTTCAATTCTTGACAGTCTGATGTCATAGTATCGAGTTACTGACCAAGTCGTGTATGGCGTTCTGGTTACATGTGCGAAATCAAAACACCTATCGTAAACCCACTAAAGGAATCTCTTCCTCGCAAAGGATGAGACAAATGAGTTCTCTTGCCAATTCAAGTGGGGCTTGATACCAAATTTGGAGCGAACTTGTCGATTATCCCACGATCCCGCAGGCTTAGGCACGGGTATAGTCGTTGCTTCAACTCAAGAAGGTTGCCTAAAATGGGTCGACAGGGCCCCCGTCTCCATTGATCGACAACGGTGCAAGCCTATACCTAGTCCAACTTCAAGTCCGATTGAATCCGTATGCCGTACTGCCGTATATTACCTATTCCATATAGTTTCCTTCGCATCCTTTGCTATAGATCTCTTTCACTTGTCGCCCGCATCATTATGAACATTACTCCCTCAAGTTACGCACCCAGTCGAGCTGTTAAGGACCATTACCACACTAGCTGTATCCGACCAACTGTTGTACCTGGCGCCTCTTCCGCATTCCTGGCTGAGGGATGAACTCACCCGCTCTTTCACAAAGACTTGATCTGGGGTACATTCTTTCGGTTGAGCTACCTACCTACTTAGTATTCAATTGTGTCAAGTGGCACATGTCTTGATGCTTGTTATCAACTGAGGGAGAGGCTGAATTCCCGTATAAAGCCACTGAGAGTAGAAGATCTTGAGGGCACGCGTAGGAGATATGGTGAGGTGCTATGCGACGGTTTGGCTTTCTAACAACCCATCGATATGTGCACGAGTCTACAGGAAAGGTATGACTGCAAAAGCCTCTCGAAGTGATTGGCCTAAGAACTCAAGTCAGCAGTGTCTCTCTCAAACTTTGAGTTGAATGCATTGCAACTAGGAGTGAAGATGTACTAATTAATGTAGGTCTCCATGTCTCTATGGTCGCGAAGATTATAGTGCCAAGTCATGGTCCAACACGAAGATACCATCGCTAGGCCAGCAGTGAGAGAAACCTTGGTCTTGCGCTCCGTACCTTTGGCGTCTAGCAAGCGTAGGCGTTGAGTACGGGGTTGCTTACGAAGGGGTAGGGGGCGAGGGCGTTAATACTTACCAGCATGCGATTCTCCACGGTACATGGCTTGTTTCCCATCATGTTGTGGTCAAGGTGATGGTTGTTTGTACTTTCTTGAGGCAAGCCTGATTGGGCCATGAAGCAACTTATGCCGAAGCTGTACAAGGGTGATGAACACGTCTTTTCTTAAACCAATGTGGTGTCGAGAAACGCTAGCCAAAACTCAGCTCAATACCGGTATCTGCATGCAAGGGATTAAGAACATGGTAGTCAGACCGGATTGCTGCATCGGGCTTAGGACTATCATGGGCGCAGCTGAATCCGTGCATTGGCGTGATTCACGGTTTCAACTCAGCTGGACTTCGGAAACAGTATGAGCCAGAGTAGCCTGGGCCAAACCAATATATAATTAGGTACCTAATTCACGCATAAAGGCACCAGATACGTCCATGTAGTCTCAAAACAACCAATTGATTTGGCAGACACTTCGCTTGGGGTCCAGACTCATCATGTTCTTCCATCGAGTCGCCGTGCTCATCGCGCTTCTAAGCCTGCAATGTATTAACGCGCGGCATGTGAGCTTTCCATACAAATCATCCGACACTGAACAAGTCCCTTTAGAGGTAGGCAGACTATTTCTTGCTTGATATCCTAGATACCTACAAAAGGTGCAGGCTTATTCACACTGACACACACAATGTTCCCAGGATCCCCGAATTTTGGAGGGCCTAGTCGCAGAGGCCATCGCCCACCGAGGGGACAGGATAGGGTCTGGGGGGTATGGAGACGTCTACGATGTCACCAAAGAAATAAACGGCCACCACGTTGTTCTGAAGACCATCGATCCAAAACACTCTGCCGGCCAATACACTGGAGAATGGGCGCAGAGAGAAGCGCAAAACCTCAATACGGTCCAGCAGCTCGTTGCCTGGGGTGCAAAGGGCAACCCCCTCGAGAAAGATGGATTACAAATGGCATACTTTGTTATGATATACATGGGCATGAAGCTTGAAGACGCTGTGAAAGCAGGAATGCCCGGCAATTTTCACTACCGTTCCGAGTTGACAGAGAAAGCAAGAGCTAGGTACATCAAGGAGTTCCAAATGAAATCAAAGTAAGTAGCAACATGTTTGTCTTTCCCAATCTTTTCGTCGACGTCTGTGGTTTTTCTCGATGAGCTGGTCCTCTCGCTTCTTCCTTATTTCCTCTCTTCGTTCTTCCTTCTTCCTTGACCTGTTCAACATGACGATTGAGAAGAAGCTTCTGACTTGGTCTCAGGGACATGGGGCAAAACAATATTGTCTTTAGGAAGATTTCTGACCCCGATGGTTGGCAAGCGGAAATCATTGATTGGGAAAGCGCGGAATGGCTAGGGGCGGGCACACAGCCTCCTGCGCCGCATTGGGAGACTATACAGTAATCACACAAGATCCTTTTTGGAAGCTCCGTGTGCCAAGGGTAGTGCTGCATGTATACATTGCAGCCTGTATCAACCAATAACTTCAGGACTACAACACCAGATTCTGCATCCAGCACACGCAAGACAGAAGATAGGCTCCTGTTTTTTATCGTAAACTCTTCACTTGATTCTACAATCTCAGACAGGCTTTTCATCGCTTGGCTATGGTCATAATGATGGCGAAAGCAAATCGCTGCTGTTCAGCAATTACAAGATCCTGTTTTGGTCCTTCACATCAGGCTCATTCATCAAACCTTCACCAATTGAGATCGACATCTAACATTAATTTGCAGATGAAGAGGGCACTGCTTCAACTTCTTCCATTTACTAACCAATAACCACAATGCTCAAAAGGTTGATGGGCAAATGTAAGGCAGTACTAAGTTAGGCAAGCATCAGATGAAATCACATGGCAGGGCAACTACTTAGAGTCGCGTTTTAACCGTACATGTAGAATCATAGCTTGCTGCCTTTCTTCTCCGTTCCAATTATTCTTACTTGCCAAGCTTCTCCACACACTCTGTTTGGCTATTCTAGTAACTACTGCCGGTAGAACACGTATTTCTCGCAGTGTTGAGAATGATCGAACTCGGACCCGAACTACCCAGATGGGTGATTACTAAACCGGGCTCCTTTCCGTGTCCGAGGCGGTCCCACGTACGTACGACATTGTTTGGTCGTACAGCTCAAAAGACAGGTAAGCTCTCTCATTGCAGGGCCCAAGCGAGGTCTCAACTAAGCAAGCCTGAGCTCATGACTAACACTTCCGGACTCTAACACTGACCCGTCCGGTCCGTCTTGTCGCCTTGGCCCCACCTTGACTCCGCGGCATTCGGGACGTTCGATCGAATGGCAGGAGAAGGATAGCCCCGATGGTGATGAACAAGCGGGACGGATGCTGATCAACTGCATGCCGCATGGGACAAAGTTCCACTCATGATGGAACGAAACCTCGAAACCTTACACAGCCCTTGCCCAATTCCGGTGCGGGGATGCTATCAATGCCGCTTCTTTCATGTGCGGGTGTCCCAATCATCTCGAGTTTATAATGTCGTCAACCTGTTCATCTCGTTGCTGTCGGAAGTCAAGACAAATTACCACACATCTTCTATCTTTTCAATCACCATGGCCCAAGCATTCGGAAATCTGCCCAGCGGAGTGTTGAAGGCTCCAGAGAAGTTCACTCTCCAAGTACCGGATCAGAGCTTGGACGAATTCCAGCAGCTACTGAAGCTTTCAAAGATCGGGCCGGAGACATGGTACAACAAGCAAGAATATGGCCAATTCGGCGTATCTCGCAAATGGCTCACAAACGCCAAAGAGGCTTGGTTGAAGTTTGACTGGCGCAAGCAGGAGGCCCGCATCAACTCCGTTCCGAACTTCAAAGCAAAGGTTGAGGACGCGGATCTCGGAACCGTGGACGTCCACTTCGCCGCCTTATTCTCCAACAAAAAGGATGCGCTGCCAGTTATCTTCATGCACGGCTGGCCCGGTTCTTTCTTGGAGTTCTTCCCCATGATCGATTTGCTTGTTGGCAAGTACACACCCGATACACTGCCTTACCACGTCATTGTGCCGTCACTGCCCGGCTATGGTCTGTCTGCTGGCTCCATCCCACTTGAAAAGGAGACCAAGCAAGATGCTGTCGCGCGCACTCTCCATCAATTGATGCTTGATCTTGGGTTTGGCAACGGCTATGCTGCTCAAGGCGGTGACGTGGGAAGTTTCATGGCGAGAATCATGTCTGGCTACAAGGAGTGCAAGGCAATTCACCGTGAGTGGGATCGAAAACATAAGACGACATCGAGCTTTCTTTACTAACATGCACATAGTGAATATGTTGATGCCTAGCCCTGAGGATGCTGCTGGTGGTACCGATGGTTTGACACCCCAGGAGCTTGAACAGACTGGAAGGATGCTGAAGTGGCGGGCGACTGGAATGTCGTATGCTCTGGAGCATGGTCTCCGGCCAGCAACCATCGGGTTGGTTCTGTCAGCAAGTCCATTGTCATTGCTGGCTTGGTATGTTGCCCCTTCTCTCACCATGTTTTGATCTTCTTGAACTGACAGGAAATTCTCAGGATCGGCGAAAAGTACCTGGAGTGGGTGGATTCACGTTACCCGCTGCAACTGGAAACCATCCTCGAGCTGGTGAGTCTCTACTGGTACACGGATACGTTCCCCAGAAGTATCTACCCGTATCGTCCCTTGGCACAGGCCATGTCTAGTGAAGGCGGTGGTTCTTCATCTATCCCTACCTCGAAGGAGACGCCGTTAGGATACTCGTGCTTCCCAGCCGAGATTGGTTTCATGCCGAAGGCGTGGGCCGAAAAGTCCTTCCCCAATCTCAAACTTTATCGTACGCATGAGAAGGTAAGATGCAACTGAGTTACTCTATGTATCAATTTAAGGTGTATGGAACAGCTTACTGACCTTCTCTCCAGGGCGGACACTTCGCGGCACTTGAGCAGCCGGCGACGTTACTGCAAGACGTGGAGGATTTCTTGGCTTCTGTAACAGCTACTTCCAAGCTCTGATCTCGACTAGAGAATGCAGGGTAGTAAAGAACCTTCGATGGGATACATGAAACTTAATTTATGGGAAAATGTATTCCTGAAATGATAGTCACATTCTCAAATTGCGCCTTGGAGATGAGGACTTCATATCATCTTCTGTCATGCATTCGTTGGGGTCGTTTAGGCCTGTTAAATATTTCTCCCGTGTAATCCCGAAACGAATACCTTCTCCACGACTTGTACACAAGTCCGATAGTCTCGCCACCGCTCACTAGCTTGTATTTGCTCACTTTGTGTACACATTGACTACATTGACTTGAGCTTGCTTCTGATTCTTGATGGGGTCGTGGAACTCCGTCGGACGGAAGTCTTGAATGTAAGACACTTCGCCGTTCGTCCTTGAAACGGGGGAATATCTTCTTTTTCGCTGACAGAGCCTGCAATAGTTAAAATTGTCAGCTTTTCAACTTATCCCGGGGACAGTTCAAACTGAGGCTGGAGCCTGCGGAAGACTTACATGCAAGCACCAATCGCAATAGCCAACACGACTACACCGGCACCGATGCTGACACCGACAATGATCTTCTTATCAACACCGCCAACCTCACCCTTGAGGACTCCAGGAGGGCCGGTGCTGGTAGCAGATGCACTCGGAGTCGGGGTGAACGATTTCGGGGCACCACTCGTCGAGATCAACGACTGCGCGTTCGATCCGAAGTTGATGACGTTCTGCACAACAGCCTGCGTAGCCACCGGGAAGACAGCCTCGACCCCCGATGCGACGGCTGTGATGAATGTCTCCGTAGCGACAAACTTCCGCAGAGTCTGGAGCTGCGGCGGGCAGTTGACCAAGCCTGTAGTCAGGCATTCAATACCGGTATACGTCGCCTTCTTACTCAGAGTCGTCGTGGTAAGCTCCTCTTGACGCTTCGCTCTACTCGTTGCACTGGCAGAGACGCTCGCCACTGTTGTGGATGGGACACGCGAGCTAGCACAGACATCCCCGAGCGTGGTGTAGAATAGCGGAATCTGGGTGTTGGGCACCGGACCCCAAATGCGATCACCGATCTGTACCGAAGCACCTGCAGCAGCGCCCAACGCAAATTGGTACGCGTTGACGGCTCGCAAAATGCAGCCGTCCTCGTCCGGAGTCGACAGAACGGTGACATTGGTGCTCAACTCGGCAATATTTGCAAAGACGCTGACCTCGATCCCGGCCGAGGCGCCTGGAACTTCGATGGTGTTGTTGAATAACTCAATCTCTTTGCTATCGACGGGGGACGAGATCTCAATGCCTGCGCTGAATCCTGCGCGGAGGATGGCCTTGAGCTCTACGCCTGCGCTTTCAACGATGACGGGGAGGAATTCGAACTGGCCACCCTTGCTATAGTCACTAAGTTAGCAATAGAGAGACAGCTTGGAAGACGAGGAAACTCACAAGTTGACTCTGGAAACGTTCTTAGAAAAGAGGGCAATGTCAAAGCCGACTTCGTCATCCATACGGAGGTGGAAGCCGCTACTCATCTGGAGCTCGCTCTCGACACTCAAGATGAGGTCGATGGAAAAGACAACGCCGAGAAGCAAGTCATCTCCAATTTTTGTGCCCAGAGGGGTAGTTGACGTGTAAAGGTTGAGCGTGTACGACAAGCCAGCGGATAGAGTAGTGTCCAACTGCATGTAGACCTCCAAGTCCTCAAATCCGAAACCTAGGCTTGCTTCGGGAAAGGAAGGCACTTCAAGGTCAAATGTGATGTTCAACGGCGGGAAGTCAAAGTCATCGGCGTCTAGGCCGTCGGACAAGTTATCCACCACGCCGGAGACATAGTTCTGGGCGTATGTTGTGATATTGTCAAAAGTCTCTCCAAATTCGTTCCCAATATCAGTTGCTACCTTCGTAGCATTGAAGGTGCCATCAATCGTGAGGTGAGCGATGGCTTTGCCTTTGATGTAGCACTTGGTGCATACAACCTCGATGCCGGCATTCGCTGTGACGTTGGCGACACCAGCCTCTACCTCTTGCTCACTATTAGAAGTATTGTTAGTGCACGGTCTCCAGTAACTTGACTGAAAAGGAAGCACTGACTATTTGAAGAGGATTGCATTGTCAAATCCAGTGTCGAGTGAAGAGTTGTTGCTGAACTTAGTTTCTCTTCCCTCGAGCCTCGCGTTGGAGAGATATCGACGGATGGCCAGCAGTGTGTTGGAAGCTGTCTTGCCCGGGCTGTTCCGTACAACCAGATCTACTAGAGCTTCATGTGGGCTCGCAGTAACAGCACAGAGGACGGTAAGTGTCCAAAGAAGAAGTGGTGTGAGTCGTGGAAACATTGTTGAACTCTCCTCTTGTCTTGGGATATTGAGAAATCTACTGGTTTCTCGAGTCTAATTCCATCTTGAATGCGCGGAAAGGATGCTCAATTTGACTACTTTGCCATCCTTGATGTAATGGTTTGATGTGCAAAGGGGTTCATATCCCCGACGGAGAATCCACGAGCCTGATTCCCAAAACGTGAAGTTTGTTGGTTCAGCCCATGCAGTTCGCCGGTCAGCGCAGCAGACCCCGGCTTGAGTGATGTGTCGGCCGGACGCAGGGGGTCTGGTGCGGCGATGACTGCATGACTAGGGACATGATGTTCCCTGGATATTCCAGAATGTCACTACCTTACGACAGGCGGAGAATGATAACCAAGATAAGGTTATAAGTGCTTAGTTCTAGTCAAGGATTGGCTCATCTTAGCTTAGCGATGGGCCAAGTTTACGTGCAGCAGGTTAGAAACGAACGAAGAGTGACGGCGCGATTGAGGAACCGTTGAGGTTCCTTTGTTGTTACGAGTCTGGATGGAGTGATACAATATTCCAGAAGAAATATCATTGTAGAGACGTTGAATTTGAAACATGGACTGTTGACAGGCAATAGCTTCTCGAGTCAGGTTGGTTCGTCACAACTTGTGTGTCGTGACCATCCTAATCTGTGTTGGACAAGGCCAAGAAGGGTGGCTTGCTACACCAAGACTGCATGAGGGACACTCCCCCACGGGCCACATGGGATCACTGCATGCGCGCCTTCAGCCGAATCTTTTTTTAACCTTAACACCATCACCAAGCTTCGCCCCGACGCGTCAACCATCGCGACGAGAAACATTTGGACTACCTTTTTGAAGCTTCCAGACTATTCGCGATGCCAACATGAACGGAATAAGACATGGAGAACGCGGGAAACGACGTGTCCAATGGCAAAGCCTTGCGCACAGCCGCCAAAGACTGGGGTATCCCACACCACACTCATGCACCGGCTCGTGCCCCGTAGGAAGACATGCAGAGAAACCAAGCAGGGATGTCAACGACTCAGCGTGTCCCAGTAGAGGTCCCTTGCTGCCTGGGCTATTCCGCAGGCCGACCTTGGGTTCCCCGTCACCCGGCCTGAGATCAAGGTATTCGCCTTGAAGTTGCTTCACTGCTTGCCGCCCAAGGGGACACCCGTGGGCTCAGTAAGAGATGGAATGACCTCTTTATAGGAAGACATCCTACTATTACGGTGAAGTCGTCGAGGAACGATGGAAACAGGTATAAGAATGCGAGGCTAGCAAAGACCCGGGCAATGGGAGAGACACGGGCAGAGTCTGGAGCAAGGACAGAAGCTGGAGCAGTGGCACAGGTTGGAGCAGGGATAGAAGCCGGACCGGTGGCAGAGGTTGGATCAGTGTCAGAGGATGAATCGGTGGCAGAAGTTGAAGCAGTGACAGAGACTGAGGCAGAGGTTGATGAAGAGGTCGATGAAGAGGTCGAGAAGAAGGTCGAGGAAGGGGTCGAGGAAGAGAATGAGGCAAGGGATGAGGCAGAGATGGAGGTAACGGACGTTGAAACACCAGCTGGCCAAAATAACGATGAGGCCATGGAGGTGTGGAAGTCATGACGGCCCCCACGTTGTGTTGGTTGTTTGATTGTGACCTGCCGCAACGATTTCTTGGCAGGATCAAGGGGGCACATATGCATCTACATGTTTCAGCCGTGTTTTTGCAGGCTTGGTGGTGGCTCATGAGTCGCGACCAACGGAACCAACTGCATGAGAAGCGGGCAGCGAACGCTGCTATTAGAACCGGGTCTAGTTTTCGCAATAGGATATCTTGCCGACAGGGGAGTTCAAATTGATCTTCTGACTGACGACCAACAATCTAACTCTGATTGGTCTAGGACTACCATATTTCTAAATAAAAACGGGCTAGCACAGATATTATGATGCAGCAACGGCTTTCGAATTGATAGGAAGGTCAAATACTTTGCCAGGGTTCATAATCCATCTAGCAACTAGTAAGTATCCTACATCAGGAACGTGTAGCTTATCAGTAGACTTACTTCGGGTCCACAGCCTGCTTCAACGTCCTCATGAAATCAATAGCATCAACGCCGAGCTCATCGACAAGACAATCCTTCTTCCCGATACCGATAGCATGTTCTCCCTACAAGGTAAAGTCAGCAAGGCCGAATCTTTCTACCAAGGAACAAGAAAACTCACAGAGACGGTGCCCTCCATCTCCAAAGCTCTGCCCATCATATCATGAACACACTTGGCAACTGAAGCTCGCTGCTCTTCGTTCTTGGGGTCATACATGACCGCCTGGTGAAAGTTGCCGTCTCCGACGTGTCCAATGACGCTCGCAAAGAGACCGAGCTTTCCAGAGTCTTCCTTGGATAATGCTAAGTATCGTATTGTTTAGTGAACTACCTCAGTCTCAAAAAGGTACTCGAAAAGCTGCAAAAGTTCCAAAGACTTACTGATGATCTCGGCCAACCTCGAAATTGGCACAGCCACATCTGTAGACCAGAGAGAGTACCCCTCGGGCTTGATCGACGTCATCGTCCAGAGAGCTTCCTTTCTCGCGGCCCATAGATCAACTTCTTCCTGCTTGTCTCTGGCGAAGAAGACCTTGCGCGGCTTGAACGGGTGCACGATTTCCTTGACCCTAGCAATATCTCCCTTGATGTTGTCTGTGGTCCCCGAGAACCTGCGCATAAAAAGATCAGCTAACCGGGAACTATTTCGGGGCATAAAAAACCCCAACATAACTCACTTCAGAAACAACGTTGGACTCTCATCCCACGCAGTCTTGCGAACAGCCTCACTCCCATGCCGATTGATAACCCTCATCTGCACCTCATCCAAAAATTCCAGCGCCCCAAGTGGCACCCCGCTCCTTATCAACCCTGTCGCAGCTCTCGCCGCCTCCTCAATTGTTCCAAACGACACCACGGCCACACTCGAATCCGCCGGCGCGACCGCAAGCTTCACCGTCGCCTCCGTCACGATCCCCAACGTGCCCTCGGCGCCGACGAATAAGCTCGTCAGGTTGTACCCCGCCGAGTTCTTGCGCGGCCGTCGGCGGGTCTTGATAATGCGCCCATCGGCGAGGACGACGGTCAAGTTGACAACCCAGTCTTTCATCGTGCCGTAGCGGAAGGCGTTTGTGCCGCTGCAGTTTGTGGAGACCATGCCGCCGATGAGGGCTGTAGGCGAGGGATCTAGCGGGAGGAAGAGGCCTGAGGATTGGATTTCCTTGTTGAGATTTACCCAGTTTACTCCTGGCTGGACGACGACGTCCATGCTAGGTAAAGATTAGGACTGATGGTCTATGTGGTAAGGTAGAGGAAAGAGGGGAGGTACTCGTCAGGGTGGAAAGCTATAATCTTGTCCATGTGCACAAAGTCGATGCAGATTCCGCTGTATGGTGATGAGAAGCTTCCCTCGACGGAAGAGCCGGCGCCGAAAGGTACTAGAGGGCCTGCTTAGCACTCTGATGATGGCGGTGACAGTTCCGAGATCAGGAGGATACGCAGGGACCGGAATTCAAGAGGGGACTTACCCATTGGCACATTGTACTTGTTGCAAATCTTGGCTATCTGCGAGACATCTTCCGTCGTCCTCGGATAGACGATAGCCACGGCGCGACCGCTCGAGTTGGAAGTAGACCAATCAGAGTGTCCATGAAGCTCAATCTCATCTTCATCGAAGCTGACTGCACCTTCACCTAGAGCATTGGAGATCTCCTGGGCCGCCTTGATGACTATTCAGTACAGATCCTCACGGTTCTTAGTCGGAGGATTAACCGTACCTTGACCATTTGCTTCCGGCTTGCGAAATCTACATGCGACAACTTCCCCGGGCCCTCAGCTTCCGGGCCCGAGGCACCGGAGCGGCCGATGAGGTACCCCGCAAAGAGCGGGACTGCACCGAGAATCAAGAGTTGAAGAGGGATGAATGGACCAATTTTCTTGGGTTGTGGTGCCGTGTGAATTGATCTGAAGAACTTGGCTTTCGATGAGTTGGTTCCTAAACCGATCGGTCGGGATGGTGCGCGTCTAACGGTACCACTCAACAGAGCGCGACAGCGCGTGAATGCGCGAAACGCCATTTATTCGAATCGTAACTGCCAAAGGTTGTATCTCTCAGTAACTACCGGTTGAACACGTGATACTATGGTTAATCATGCTCTGCGTTGATGAGCCACGATATGATCCGCTACAGAAGGGCCGAAGAGAACGAACGCGCTCTGACGAAGTTCAAGCGCAGGTTCCCCGGCAAAGACAACCAAGTTGACTACGCTCGAGAGTGACTATTTCATAGAATATGATACAACCAACTGCAGGTCGGGTCAACCTCGTCAATTGTTTGATGATTTCATGTGGCAAGATGGCGACGTTGATGCGCGCACGCAAGGAGCTACCAAGCGGGAAATCTCCCTCCCCGGCCTCGGAAACCGGACGCGGGTTGGGCCGAGGCAAGCCGCATGGGTAAGAATGAGAGTCGGCCAGACAAATAAATTCAACAACTCCAGGACGTCCCCATTGAGTATTGAGGAAGAACAGAGACGTTCTTTGCACGATTTACAATATTGCGATATTGGATTTTGGGATGTATCAAGTTCTGAAGAAGGAGTTGAGCGTGACAGCATCGATACTTGTGTGACTTCAACTGGGATGAGAATCCGTCCAGCTGCCGCAAATCCGCTCCAATGAGACGCCGAGGTCATCGTGAATAAGCCAACCAGAATCCCATCAACAACAGTGACTCACTCACAACCTCTCACAACATCTCACGATATATTATTGCACACAACGCGACTCATCACCACAATCTTACTCATCTCATCTCATCTCACTCATCTCATCTCATCTCACTCATCTCATCTCATCTCACCTCACACGTGTCATACCTTAACCTTATAACTCAAAACTATCAATGACCTCAAAATGCAACCCTCAACCCCTCTAATCCTTCCAAAATCTCATCCCGACCCTGCCAAATTCCAAACCCTCCTCAACCGCTACAAATCCTTCCGCCTCTCATCCCTCCTCCTCTCTCCATCCTGCTTCGGCTCAACCCACGCCCGCGAAGTAGTCTACCCCCCAGAAAAATGGATATCCCGCCTCACAGACCCGCTCGCGACAACGATAGTCATCTACAAGGACGCCTCTCCGGCCGGCATTCCCACAAGCGTTGACTCGGCTACGTCCACCGCCTCATCACCATTTCTCACCGATAAAAATTCGCTCCTAGACAACGCTCTCACCGCAGAATGGCTAGCAACACTAACGATAAACGGCCCCCTCGACCCGCAAACCCTCACAACATCCCTCCACCTGGATCCCACCCTCGTAGACTTTGGCCCAACTCACCAAACATCACCAGACGCCCCTCTAAAGCAATACGTCATAAACGGCATGTTCGTAATACCTACCGCCCGAGGAAAGCACCTAGGCACCAAACTCCTCGAATACGCCAAAGCCCACGTCGCAGCAAAAGTCCGAGCTCAGGGACAGAAGAAGGGAGGGGCGCGGATCTCACTCATCGTCGACTACGATAACGAACCCGCTCGCAAGACGTACGAGAGATCTGAATTTGAGGTAGTGCATCGGTATTGGTTTAAAGATTACCGTGTGGGACGAGAGTCGAGGACCGAGGCGGCGGTTATGGTGCTTGATCTCTAATAAGCATGCTCTTATGGTCGTAGACTCTCAGCCGCGGCATCACCAGGCTCTTTTTCTTCAGTCTAAAAAAGGCCTCGCCGTTCTGGCGAAGCGCTAGTGAGGCTGTGTTACATTACGGAGGTTCAGTGTCTTTTTTAGGCATGTTTTTCCTAAGGGAGGTGAAGTAACTCAATGAGCTCACTTCGGTCTTGCTTCCTTTCTCCTTATCATGAGGCCTACGGGGCAGGTGGTCAAGCGGATACGAAGGAGTCACTGCGCAGTTCCCAATATTGTTTTTAGTTTTTCGTTACAAGCATGATTTCGGTCAGAGTAGAATGTAGAAGGGCAGCTATCTACTACCGTCGATGGACACAAGGAGAATTATCTGTTCTAAAATGCGTATCATATCACAAATTCACTTCATCGGAGGCATTGATACTTTTAAGTTGAATATTATTGGTCAGACTTAGTCTTTCACAGCCTAAGCATGAGCGTCCCGCCTTCCGGTATCCATCATTACGATTCAAGCATTCCATCGTCCAGTCAAAAAACAAACCCCTTAGAACAGACGTTCAGCAATAGCCAAAACCTTTTGAGCCGTCTCCTCTCCCAACTCCCCCTCGAGCCAAGTAACCGCCTTCTCCTCCAGCATCTCCCAACTGTCCCGTTCCTTTGTGAGAACCTGACGCAGGAAAGCAATAACTACAGAGGTAGACATAACTCTCTCTTCATCAACATCAAGGCGGTATAAAGCTTCCTTAACCACCTCCAAAGTGATGCCAATGATGTCGAAGAGTTTCTTTGAAGAGTCCCAGCTGCCGTCAAAGTTCTGAAGCGATACTATGGTAGAGAACTTATCAGGAGGCGGTGGCACGATGCCGAAGCCCGGTGGCACAACGAAAGGGGAACTAATGCCCTTTTTGCACCTCTTCTTCATCGAAAGGTCAACAGTCGCAGCGACAGCAGGGACTGCAGCCGGGGAAGCTTCATTTTCCCAATCATCGTCAGATATCTCTCCATGGATGGACATGCATGTAGCTTCATCCATCTCCCGTTGGTATTGGTCAAGCAAAGCTGCATCAACCTGGGTCGTTGGAGGAGCAAGCGCGGCCGCTTGAACGATGGGAGGTTGTCCGTCAGACCACTGGGGAGGTGGGCTTGCGCTACCAAAGAGACCTCCGCTCTGGGGCTTGGGGGAGATGGAATTGGCAGCCTGGGGTTGACCAAACAATCCTCCATGAGACCCATTTCCACCAAAGAGTTGAGATCCTGTAGCTTCCTTACGGGCTGGGGCTGCACCGAATGAGCAGGAGCCAAAGAGACCACCAACATTTGGAGTAGACGACGGAGCAGGGGCTGTAGGGGCTGCGGGATGACCAAACAAGCCTCCGCCAGATCCACCAAAGAGCTGAATTCCTCCACCGGTGTGGCTTGCAGGAGACGGGGCTGCGCCAAAGGCACCAGTGCTAGGAGAACGAGAGCCAAAGAGACCACCGGCAGCTGAGGTAGACGACGGGGAATGGGCTGTGGGCTGGCCGAACAAGGATCCGCCGGGCTGGCCGGAGCCGAAGCTCCTAGGTGCTGCGCGCTGTTGCTGTTGCTGTTGCTGGCTGTTGGAAGAACCCAATCCGCCGAATAGACCTGAGCCAGTGAATGGGACATGAAGGTTCGACGAAGCCGTTGAGGATGGCATGCCGAAAGCTGATGCGACTGGTCCTTGTGGGATAGTGTTGGATCCGTCTTCATTCAAGTAGGAATCAAAGTCAAAATCGTTAAGCACATTACCACGAACAAGCGGATCAGCAAAAGCCATGGAACTAAAGTCTTCCATGCCTGTAGACCTTTTCTGGGATCTGGACACCATTCCTCCCCTAGCTTTTTTCATCACTGCATGACTCTGCCGAGTCAGATCTGGCTTGGATGTTCCAGATTTGGCTTGCTTTGGGTTGGCAGTACCAGTCTGCTCGATGTTTCGAGTGTTGTTCTGCTCAACCGCAACGAAGGAGCACCACTTGCCCCCAACCTGGAACTGGATACTAAGTCGGACGGCCTCTCGCTCGACCATGCTGGGGAAGCGGCCGGGATGTTGCGTTTGGAGAAGGTTGCCGTCTCTACCCTTTGCGTGATAGATCCACCCACAACCTTCTTCCAGTTCCTTGACAGCCTTGCGAGCAGCGAGCTGATGAATCGTCTTGGCCTTCTGATCAAGCACGGTGATGGGGATCCGGAGCTCCAAAGGACCCTGAGATGAAGTGCCACGCAGAACCAAGGATTCTGGGGTCTTGGATCTCAGCTCTCTGTCGGGGGAAAGCAGAAGATAGACGCTGGTACGGCTAAAAGGGAAGAGAGGCGGGATCTGGAAGGGAGCTTGAAGAATCTTGGGCGGCTTCACTGTCGGAATATGGGAGTACCGCTCTAGACCAGAGTTGTCGCCTCGAGGCTGAGCATCTTCCATATCAACATCATCATCTGCGCTGTTATCGAAGAGGGAAATCGGTTTCTCAGGTTCCTTGATGTCGGTAGTCTTCCCGCGAACCGCATCCTCGGGTTCGATGATATCAAAGTCGTCTTCAGGCTCCGTCTCAGACTCGGCATCGGCATATTTGACTTCGAGGGTATAGTCATTGACGTGAGGAGTGAGGGCTCCCTTTAGCATGCGGACGACTTTGCCAGACATCTTCTCATTCTCAGAGACAGACTGAGAGAAGCCGTTGCCGGCTCGAGCAAGGCCTTCGATGAGAGAGTGGCTAACGTCTTTGCCTACACCCAGGGTGAAGAGACGAATCGCGCCCTTGGACTCCTGAGTCATTCTATCCACCATGCCAAAGAGGCGACCTTGATCCCAAACCTCACCGTCAGTGAGGACGAAAGTCTCAAGGTCGAGATCGATGTGGCGTCGCTTGAAGGTCGTTTCAATGGGGTTGTAGATCTGGGTGCCTCCGTAGTTGGCGGAAAAGGTATCAATGTGTCGCATGGCAGTTTCCAAGGTGCTCTGGTCATACATGACAGACTTCGGGAACAGGAAATCATGCCTTGAACCGAAACTACAGATGTTGAACATGGAACCGACAGGCAAAGACTTCATGAAGATTCTGAGGGCATTTTTGAGATCCTCCATCTTATTACCCTCCATGGAACCAGAGCGATCGCAGATGAAGACGACTTCGGGCTTGGTGGCAGCAAGCTTGAACTTGGGCACAAGGGTGGCCATGAGGGCTTGCTGATGGGGAATAGTGGGGTGTGTCTCAAGGACAGCAACAGGGTTGGAGGTGTTTGTCGCAATGATCTGGATAATGAAGTCATTGTCTAGTTGAGCAGTGCCCAGGGAGAGGGTGGCACTCGCAAGCTGGAGGGATGGGGTGGCATTGGCGTTCATGGTGGAAGTTGAGCCGACAGAAACAGAAATGGGATGCGAAGGTGACTGAATAGACTTGATAACGCTTCCAGTTGGCACCTCGGCATCAACCACAATGCGGATTCCGTCCTTTGCAGAGACGTTTGTGGGCTTGGCCAGCAACTCGCCGGGGAATGCGCCATATCGTGGTGCAACGGAAGTGGGAATGGTGAACCTGATGCCGTCAACTTCGGCATCGTGCTTCAGCTCGCCAAGGTATTCGATATCGATTGCAATCTCGGCGCCAGCTGGGACGTTGCCGATGGTAGTGGTGAAGACATCGCTTGCGTCGGGGAGTTGCTCCAGGAGGCCGGCTGTCTGGCCCTTGGCAACGGCCTGGTTGTATGTGTTGCGGGCTGCGGTCTTCTCCTGGACTACGCCGCGAATGACACGATCATTGTTGATGGTGCAGGTAAAGGCAACTACGGAGACGCCATCATAGAGGGGGAAGGTGTAGCGAAGCTCGGGGGTGGGTTCTGTCGGTGAAGGGTTGATAAAGGTCTGGGTGAGGGTGGTCCGAGATGTCGATGCAATGATGCGAGCATGTACCGACTGGGAAAGTGTGGGAAGATATTGCCGCGTGGTTTGCAGATAGCGACGCGGATCGATGTAATAAAGACCGCAGATGTGAATGTGTGTAGACGGGACGGGCTGACAAAACAGGTTGTGTCCGGCAGTGGCGTGGGGTCGACCGAAGACCATATTGGAGATAGACTCGTCGGTTCGAATAAAATTGGTATGGCTGAAGATGGAGACCAGTAGGTATAGCTAGCCGTAGAGTGCAAAAGGTTGAGGTTGTCTTGTGCTGGCTGCTTGGGATGTCTCGCTCGTTGCGTTGTTGTCTGAAATGCCCCTAGTGGCTGTCGTTGTGCCCCGGGAATGTTCAGATGGATATGCGTCGAGAGATGGCGGTGATGAAAGTGGTGTAGAGTTGAGATGGAGCAAGAAGAGGAGAGACTGATACAGACCTGAGAACCTGAGGATTCTTATATGCATCCATCACCAAAGGCAGGACCGGTCGTTGGCGGCCGCTCCTTCTCGGTCGTTCGTCTACCGTCACCTAGCGCTGTCAAAGTACCTCGCCAAAGAGGCATAGCCGCACAGCACCTCTTCAGGCAATTGCAGGCAACAGCTCCCTGGCTCAAAAGGGCCAATCAGCGCTCGCTTTCAATTGAGAGATACGATCTGATTGGCCGAGGTGACCAGCTCCAAAGCTGCCTTTGGTAAGCAATCGTGACGCTAGCAGGGGTACAAGAGGATTTCCAGGGGTAGCTCTGCCCCATAATCGGCCGCCATCTCCACCTTTATCCGCCAGAACGTTGTGCGCCGCTGCGTATTTCGCCCAGGCTGACTTTCCACCACCAAGAGAAGCCAATCAGACCTCTTATCTACGATCTGCTTTGTAATGGGCCTACATTCTTTCAACTTCATCTTTCCCTCTCTTGTCGACCTTTCTTCCCATCGACGACATTGATTCGCCAATGGCTTTCGTCTAGCTGCTCAGGCTCCCAGTTAAGCATAAACCCGTGTGGTTGCCTGACAGGTGGAGCACAGAATGACTCACCCAGCGCATTGGTGAGTCTTCCAGCTTGCTTCTGACGTTCAGCAACACAGCCAAGAAAGACATGACGCTTCTCGGGACTCTTGGTAAGTGCCTTATCTTCATTCAGGCACCATTGTCAGTCATTGACTCATTCTATGCTAACTAAGGTATCATAATCGTTACACCACATCCCGAATCTCAACCGCCAAATCCCAAGATATGCCTCTCCAACTCCCCAAAGTCGCCCAGATCTTGCCCCGTTAGAGCTAGATCCTGGTTATGATAGATCAAATTCCAATTGAACGCATCTTCGGGCAACAAATCCGTCATCCCCTCTGCCTGGTCAAACGCTTGCGCATCGTCGGCTCCAGCGGGCTGCATCCAAAGATACGAAATATCGTTCCACAGACTCGAGTCGAGCAGACTTCGCGATCCCAACTGGCTCGCCCTGCTACTCCCCGAAGGCGTCAAGCCCCCTCTCTCGACTGATCCCCGCATCATCGACATATCTCGGAAGCTCTGCTGACGTGCTCTGACATCTTCGCCAGCACCTTTATCCGACGACGACGTAGACACTACCATCGTCGCGGGAGACTGCTTCTCAACCGCGGCTTCCGATCTAGTCGCCGCCGCGGGGTGCGAACGGAACTCGCTCGGGCTGTTCTTCGGAATGTCCAGAAACGTCGACAGATGGTCACGCATCCGTCGCACTTCTCTGGCGCGCTGGAGCGCGAACTCGTTGCCGCGGCCCACCAGGTGGTCGAGAATCTCCAACGCTTCTGATAATCCCGGGCTGGGTGCTAATTTCTGGCTTTCGTCACACGTCGAGTCGATTGTCATTGTCAAGATCATAATAAAGGCCGCCGAGAAGATTGCGTCCAGATCGAAGAATCCGAAGGATGCTATGGCGCAGTCTTGGTCAGTCACGATTCGACAAAGAGCCCCTGGATGGGGCACTGTTCCAGACGTACTCAGGATGTTCCTCTTCCTTAACAATACCAGAACCTCCAAAAGCCGACGGGCTGCTTCTGAACACGTTCGGCTTAGTCGTCCGAGTGGCGAGGACCCCAAGCTCAGACTGTCTCCGCTTTCTTCGTCAAATATGAGTTTCGAGACGTGGAGCATCACAGGTCGTATCGTCAGGAGAATCGCCTATCCAGGTCATTAGCGATGTCGAGGCACAGTGCAGCAGAAACAGTCTACCTGGTATAGCATCATGTGAAGATATGCCGAGGTTCTTAAAGAGACGTCGCCTTCCATGGACGGCATATCAGACAGCTTGGGCGAGAATTCGCCCGGGATCTCCTTGGCGATCCAGTACAGCGACTGCACAATTTCTTGCACGTTTGGGACGAATGTCTCTTCCGGATGGTTCCCTGGTCCATAGATGGCTAGAGACACGATGATCAGCAACGTCCCTATTCTTTGGTTGACTCTGACCTCTTACTTGATAGGATCCTTCCGGTGACTCTTGCGATTTTGATATTGGTTCTTAGCGGCAGCGCTGGCGGAAATCCCGGCGAGTCCGTCGGCATGTCAATTTCAATAACGTCGTCCAGAATCCCAGCAGGGTTGCCAGTTGCTGCTGCAAGTCGTCTGCACATCATGTCAGCTCATACCTCGTCTACACCTCAGCAGCCCGGTCCTCACCTCTCCTGCATATACACGGTCCACCAGAGACGGTTCAGATGGACCTTCTCCGACTGCAACAAGTGCTGTGTCCCAGACTTGCGATGGTACCCATGCGTCGTCGCCAGTCGAAGAGCTGAGCTGATCTACGCAGTTTAGCTGTTAGCAGCCCCGCACCGAGTCCAAGGGCACAGGAAGAACTCACATAGAGATACGCCTCCTCCTTACGATTCGCATTCTGCAAATACACCGCTGCCAAGGCATGAATCTCAATTCCTAACTTGCCCAACCCATACAGCTCACTCAAGCTCGGCAACCGGGCCTGTACATGTGCAAACATGCTAGCCCCAGGAACAGGCAAGCCCCCGCCCTTCTCCTCCCCGTCGAAGCCGCCCGAGAAAAGCTTCCCAATGGCAAATACGAGCAGCATCTCGAGGTACCATGGCATTTGCGCCTGCGATATGGCCTGCGAGTTATCACCCAGATTGGCATAGAAGAAAGCAAGGCGGTCCGAGAATTCACGCGTGTCGATGTGGTGCTGCGTGTACCCGATGAAAAAGGTCATACTCTCGAAGAGGCGGCGAGCTTCGTCTTCTGAGGGGAGGGTGATACCTCCAGCACTGGTGCCGCCATCGTCGGAGGGTTTGAGAGTCGTTGTCTGGGAGAGGGAGCGGGCGGGGGGTTGCATCGGCTCTCGACGGCCTAGACGGGGATGCTCTAGAAGATTTTGGAGGCGTGAGCCGAATGTGTGACTGGAGCTCAATGATGAGTCGGCCGCGATGGCTGATTGAGATCTGTCAACATCGGTACTAACGCGTTTCCAACAAGTGTTAGACTTACCAGAGCTCGGGGACGATGCGACGTGGTTTCCAATACCTCCAGATGGTGGGTTGGTCGGTGTCGGAGAGGTGAGTTGATCCAGTGCTAATCCGAGCAGAGTGGAAGCGGCATTCACCTGCGTCGCGTTATCCGTGGGCGTCTGCCCCGTAGCCCTCGTTGGTGGCCGATCTGGCGATCCTGCTTGGGCGGTTTGTACTCTGACAGCATCATTGTCTCGTGCTGGAACATTGTCAATAGGTTTGGCGCAATAAATGTGGCAGGCATCACTTACATAGCGTCGGCCCGAGGCTGAAACCTTGGCCTTCATACCGGGCGAGCCTCTCTTGGAGATCCTGGATTCTCCTATCAAGTTCGTCAGCACACCTACGTACACGTGCATACAAGTACACATAGAGTATCAACGAACTCACGTAACAGAATATACCCGCTTCTTACCGGGCTCCGGGAACTGGCACTCCAGATCTCGCTTGGTGCAATACGTGCACGGCGCTTCGCCGGAACACTTCACCTTCTTCCGTCTGCACGTCAGACAACTGCCATTCACCAAAGTCGTCAGTGACCCAAGGTTGACAACTCAATGCACGCAAGGGGAACCGATCGAAAGAATGGGTCTCAACGTTCCAGGCTCTCTCAGAGTGGTGCTCCCGAAGTGATCGAGACCGCGTGCGCGGACGTGACGGGGGTTGGAAGGGTCTCGGAGACTCACGCCGAAATGGTCTTGGCCGCTTCACGGCTCACACCGTGCCTGCTGCTCATTGACAGGCGCCGCGGCGATGCATGAGATCCCGAGTCCATCATTTGCAATGGTTATTCACCAAAATTCCGACAGCGCGTTGTATGGAATTCTGATCGAATTGTCTTCTGCCTGCAGTTGTTGTCCCCGAAGTCCTTGGGGATGTCTTGCAAGTGAGGGGAGATACGCAAGGGAGATAAGGACGCCGCCGCCGAACTTCGGAGCGGGGAAGTGCCGGCGCTAAAGCCCCTTAGGCTTATCGCTTTATCGCTGCTATCAATAGAAGCACTTCGTTCGCATGCCCGGAGTCGCAAGCTTGATGGGTATCACAGGGCTCGTCTCAGAATTGATAGTTGAGGTATGAATTAAAACGCGATAGCACAGATTGATGAGATTCTTACACTCTCCTGACGAGAAAGCTCTAACCATTGACCATGTCTGGTACGATCCGAATCGAAGAGAGTTGGTTTCAATCATTGCCACTCCTTCGATCCTCCATTCGAGCCAACGATAGAAGCGTCCCCTTCAACATGGCCAAATAAAGCAAGCCATCGGCAATAATCAAAGCAATAGCTAAAGGAGCTGGCATTGCAAGAGAATGAACTATTGGTGTCGCATACCCTCACGGACACGCAGCGCTTTAAATACAAAATCAATGGCCAATTTCGCGGGGCCGAGATGCCGAGGGGACCATCCGGAACCTTGCCTAATCGGGTAATCGACCGAACCGAAACATGCGCGCCAGCAATGAACCTCTCCCTCTTCAACTGCCTCAAGTATGGTGAGATGGACCCATTGGACAACAGATTGCCTTCCAACTTTCCAAGCATTTGGGAGCGGAAAGAGGGAAAGAAGCCATGACCAAACTTTAGTCGTTTGCTTGTGCATCGAGTCGCTCTGAGGTTCTCCTGGCGAGTATCTTTTGGAACTAAGACGACGAGGAAACTCTCAGACAAGTTCATGACTGATGAAGCCACATTCATTAGCCTCAGTGATTCTAGACGTGAGGACCATGTTGGTATCCGATTTGCACAGCGTATGCTGCATTGCATCAGTCGAAAAGCCAAGCACTCAGATCCGCCAACAATCGACACCTCTCTCCTCGACCATCCTCCCACTTATCCCCATCAACAATCTTCAACACGGCTTCCAGCGGTGAATTCTCGGCATCGCCGGGAGTATAGCTAGTAATGTTCAAACTAACCATGCCATCAAATGAAGTCACCTTACCAACCGGCACTCCACCAGTCATATTCGCATTCAACATATTGGCAACTCCTCTCCCACCCTCTTTCCACGCCGGCCACACGGTCGCGTTGCCTCCGCCCTCGCCAAGAACTAATTCCTCCCCGCGAGTAATAAACTGCCCCCAAGCATTCTGCAGCGCCCGCCGCAAAGGCATCGTCACCGCCGTACCAGGCGTATCAACCGGCGCAAGCAACACATCAAAATCCGACCCCGAACCAACATCGACGCCGTGGTACGCAGGCGGCACACTATACTGATACCGCCACGCTTTCGCCCCCTCCTTGGCGGCGTACGCATTGGCAAGCCAGTGCGAGGGGCACACAAACGTCGCCTCGGCGTAGAAGTTGTTGGCAGCCTGCTGCCAGCCCGTTGCGTAGTCCGATACCGTAGTCGCGTACGGCGACTCAAGGCCGTTGGTGCTGAACCCGGGGTCCGTATTATTCGCATCCCTCGAATTGGCAGTAAGAAAAGCCTCATGCTTCTGCGCGTAGGTCGCGAGCACCTCGGAAACATTGCCCGCCGAGAGCGCGGGGAAGTTACTCTCCACAAACGAGACAAAATGTGCCTGGGTAGTAATGTTCTGCCACGTGAAGTACGGTCCTTCATCCGCGACGTTGCTGGTGAGTACTCTACGCCCGTTGACGCCTGCTTTCCCTTGTGAGAGCTCCTGCGCGAGGGTCTCTCTGACGAGTTTGCCGTCGAGGACGGGCCGCCATTCCCATTGGCCGTAGCGGCCTTGGGTACTTACCCAGTCACTTGCGTTCTGGAGTGTGAGGGAGTCTGCTTTCTGGAGGCAGGAGAGGAGGGATGGCGAGGTGGTGTTTGTGGAGCAGCCTATGCGCTCTGCTAGGCTTTTGTATGCCCTCGTCGGTCTGGCGCCGTCGTGTTTCCTGTCAGATATCTAAGTCAGTACTACACCTCCATCCATATCATCATCCTTTAAGAACAGGGGTCAAAACGTACGGCAGAGTAGTCAAGTACGGACTACTCGCAATAACACCATCAAACAGCCCAACAGCCTCATCACTTGCAGCCAATAATAACGCCCCTCCCGCACCAGCAGACTGGCCCGCGACAGTCACCTTTCTCGGGTCGCCGCCAAACTTGCTCACATGCGTCTTCACCCACCGTAATGCGTGAACCACGTCCCACAACCCGGCATTCGCCACTCCTCCGCCCTTGACGAGCTCCTCTGAGGAAAGGAACCCAAACGCCCCGAGACGGTACTGGATCACAACTGCCACGTAGGTGTTGTTATTCGTCGTGATTTGCGAGGAAAAGTCAAAGGAGGAAGCTGAGTCTAGGCTATAGCCGCCGCCGTGAATCCATACCACCACAGGAAAGGGGTTGGGCTGTGATGTTGCGCCGGCGGGGGCGAAGACATTTAAAAAGAGGCAGTCCTCGTCGCCGGCGAAGGCAAAGCTTTGCAGGGAGGCTTCTTCGGCTGCGGTTTTGGGATACTGGAGGGAGCGACGAGCCCATGGGCATCGCGGCGGGTTCGCTGTGGCTGGGGTCAGGCTGTCGTTGTTTGAGTTGGTGCCGCTGGATGTTGGTTCTTGGGGGAGTTTCCAGCGGAGGTCGCCTGTTGGAGGGGCTGCATAGCGGATTCTAGGATGAGGTAAGATCATGGAGGTTGATATGGATGGGTTATGTCTGAAAGTGCTTACCCTCTGAATATATTGAGATTCGAGGTTGAGTTGAATGTGCCTTGATATTTCGCATACTTCAGGTCAACAATGGGACCTTCGGCAGCGGAAGCCGCGGTCGCCAATAGAGGCACGGCGAGTTGAATGAGTGAATGAAGCCGCATCGTCGCAGCCACTCTCATGAGTTTCGGCTAGATAGCGACTGAATATCCCGATGATGTGTGTCTCAAGTGGGATATCACCACCTCAACGGAAGATGAGACGATGAAAAAGCGACACGGCGAAGGCTACCACAGCTCCGGAAACAACTGGTGAGGCAGGCAATCGAAGTTTTACCCCAACTACCGGCGAGTTCGGGTAAATCCATGATGATGGACGTGGGGAACACGCAATAGAGTTTGAGTAGCTCATCAAACGCACTACAACCCCGGCCAGGATGTGAACAACTCAAATCCGCCCGAATCTTGTGTTTACCTGTCGTTAATTCCGCCTTACTTTGTATTGGGCGGGGAAAGAAATAATACGGCAATTAATTGCGAATGTCCGTACTCCTTATGGATAGCTCCGTTATGGGTCTCGGGTGGCGGGGGCTATGTTGCTATATCGAGCTCTTAACACGCGTAGGCAGCGGAAGGACTAACATAAGGAAAAACATCGTCATATTCCGTATTACATCAGAGTAGTTAGTTAACTTTGCCGCTCGGTCGCATAGGTCGGCGGTGGCTTATATTAAAACAGGTACGCGTACGTACTATGAGAAGAGAAATTAATACTGACAAGGTGTTGGTTGGTATGTGTAAAACCTCAACCTGAATCCTTGAGAGTGAACTTGGGCATGGGACTGGTAAGAAGTATGAAGGTTTATCTCACCCGGAATATAGCAGAAGCAAGCTGAAATGCAAGTGAATGAATGATGCTAGATTATCCTTGTAAAAGACCTAATGACTCATGACAATCCCTTCCAATCCATCAACATACCCTGTGTCTATGATACCGCAACTCCATGCTTAGTGCCAAGTGTATCTGTGTTCCCAACCTCAAGTACCCGTACCATCCACATTCCTATCCCATGTCATACAAAGGAAACCCCGTGCAAAGTGTCTGATAACACTCCTTGTTACGCAGCTTCTAGATAATCACCCTGAGCAGTCTAAGAACTAGCACCAGGCGACGAGGGAATAGGCTGAGGCCGTCCCTGGCTTGCGCTCTTGCGGGTATCAAACATTCTCGATACCCGGTTCTGGTGCAACGTATGAGCCGTCTCGTGGATCTTGTTCAGATCATAGTGACGGATCATGAAGCTCGCAAAGAAGGCAATCACAGCCAGCGAGACATAAACACCGTGCACGCCCTTGAAGCCGAAAGCATACGACTCCAAGACAGCATCCTTGAAGGTACCGTCGGGCAAGCCCTTGATGACGAGAAGGTACTCCTCGGCCCGCTGAGCGATGTCCTGAGCGATGCCCTTGCGCTCGAGCTTCAGAGCCATGACGTTCTGGAACGTGGTGGATCCTACGTTGACGCCAATGGCACAGCCGAGCATGCGGAGGAAGAGGTACATGGCCGCGGCGTGACCCGAGTTCTCGGGCTCGACGATGGCGCCCGTGACGAATGTCTGGGCGTTGAGAACGAAGCCATGGCCGATACCGCCTATGGCGAGGGTGACGATGTGCACGGGCAGGGAAGTGTCCACGTCCCAGTAGATGAGGAGGCCGGAAGCAATTGACATGAGGGCCCAACCGATCCAGATGGACCAGCGGTACGCGTTGAAGCGGGAGACGAGGATGCCAGAGATGATGGAGCCGGGGAGAAGGAGAAGGGTGACGGGTAGCATGGCCACACCGGCCATGGTTGAGCTGTACTGCGAGACGGACAGGAAGTAGAATGGGATGTAGTACAATTGGCCATAAAGCTGTGAAAGGTTAGCCAATGATCATCGGAAAAGTGTTCGTGTATTGTACGTACAATGAACCCCTGGAGGAGGCCGAGGACGTAGACGGTGATGGCGCTACGGTCGGTGAATAGAATCTTCTTCAAGAACGGGTATCTCGCATAGCTGTGCTCGTAGAACAGAGTCACAGTCAAACCAGCAGCGCCAATGAAGACGGGCACCAGGGTCTGCGCGCTGCGCCAGGGGAAGTCGTTGCCACCCCAGGAAATACCGACAAGGAATGTCACCATGGAGCCGATGAACAGAAAACCTCCAAGCCAGTCGACACGCTTGAGCTTCTCGCTGAAGGTAGCCGTAGGTGGCTTCAAGGTCAAGAGAATAGGGATGGCCAGCAGAGAGTAGCCGCAGATGGGGAAGTTCAGGTAAAAGATCCATCTCCAGGTGGTGTGCTCGGCAACAGCGCCACCGATGATGGGGCCGGTGAGGGAGCCGATAGCCCACGCCATTTGGCTAGAGATGGTGTCAGTGGTAGTTCCATACGCGGAACAGATCGTTACTCACATGATACCGTAATACTTGGGGCGATGGCGGAGTGGCACAATGTCGGTAAAGACAACCAAGCTGAGCACATACATGCCGCCGGCACCGATACCTTGTATGACACGACCGCCGAGAAGCAGCCCGATGCCATTTGAAACGCAGCAAAGAATGGTTCCAACAGTGAAGAATGCCAAGCTGCCAATGAGGATGATGGGACGGCCAAAGATGTCACTCAGGGAAGCCAAGAACGGCATCGCGACCGCGCAAGATATCAGGTAGGACGTGCCAACCCAGAAAGCTTGCGTAGATGTTCCACCAATATCTTGAATGATGGACTGCGCAAGAGAAGCAAATTAGCACCGTCCTGCCAGATATACCGTGGTCATTAAAGCCAACTTACACTCAGAGACGTAACAATCACGTTCGCATCCAAGGCAATGACGAACGACATGATGGATAACGTCGTGATGATAACCATCTGATGCTTGGAAGGCTTCCATTCTGGGATGCTGTCGGACTCGTCGATGAGCATGGGATCGGAGATTCCTCGCTGATCATGTTCCTTCGGCTCTTTGATGGCGGTATACGAAGCCGCGGCCGGATCGTATGCCGTCGAAGAGTACGTCGACGTCGAGAGGACGCTGTCATGTTGCTGTCGGTAAGCCATCTTGGGCAGTCGTGCTCAAGACCAATGCCGCACAAAACTTGCAAAGAATATCGAGAGAGTTGGCAAGCTGAAGACGAAGGAAACAGACAAATGAGGACTACAGGCGCTCGCCCTTCTTTAGTATCTTGGGCAGCACATGCCCAGTCGGTGCTTGCTTCGCATCCCAAGGTGGCAACCAAGCTCAAGGCCCGAATTGCCGTGCGCTGGCATCTGCATCCCACATTGGCGAGGTACATAACGGCTTACGCCCCACCGCAGACTGCAGAATCTTGAGCCTCAAAGGGTATCACAGTTCGGGCCACAAAGGGCAGTCGGGTCCTCGGGGCGAGTTGTGGGCCACCGTCGCCGGGCTGCGAGCCTGATTGCCTGCGGCTCGGCGAGTACTTTACTGTCGTTTACACTCGTCGCTTTCTTGTTTCATTGGTTGTCGCCGCGTTCATCAGTGCAGAATAACGCCCTTTGACACCACATGGACAGCCCAGGGCTGAAACTGATATGGGAGGCGGTAGCTGTGGGTGTGAGAGGATGTACCGCTAGTTCTGGTACGGGTGATCAAAGAGTTTGAAATCCTGGTTCCAAGGCCTCGGACCCTGGCCACTGAGCGTCTGGATCCTGGAGATTGGATTGCTCGGAGGCTTTGATAAGATTAAGCTGATATCTTTACGAATAACCGTTGAGAAGCTGTACCCACGTCACCCGCAGCTTGCTTTGTCTTCAGATGTTGTTGAATATCTCTTAGAGTGCTGACAGTGACACCGTCGTACCCTTGTCGAGAAGCATGGTGCTTCTTCCGTGGCGTGGCGGCCATCCTAATCCATGCTACTCTTTTCAGGCCCACCAGTGTAAGCGCGATATTGCACCTGGAAACCAGGATCTGGCCTCGAAGGGCGGAAAGGTGCTAGCCCGGGTAGAGATGTCGTACCCGTACCCGACATACGGGACCCGTGCGTGCCTCGTTGGTGCATATTGGTTTTAAGCTATCAAGTGGCGGTGCTTCATCGCGAACTGTCTTGTCGGAATGTCGGCCTAGACTGTTGTTCTTTTGTCTCTGATATCAGACGATCGGGCCGGGATCTCGAACAGACATTCTTGGAACATACCAGCCGCATGGGATTACCGGCAAAGGTGAGAACTGATGGCATGTGCCTTTTCATCAAATGTGGCTTGGACCATGGACGGCGGATGACTGAAAAGAGCGGGCGGTCGCTTCCATGCGCCTATTCGATGACAACATGGCTGCCTAGATGTGGATGAGATTTTGGGTCGATGCGGGTAAGTTGTACAAAGATAAATGAGGGTGTTTGGCTCTGTTGGTTGGTAAATACTGTTACTAGCGGGCGCCTGTCAAGCGGAAGAGGCGGTCAGCTTGCAGGTTGATGTGCGGCCCAATTCTTTCAGTCAAACTACGCTTCGTCCATTTCTGGCGATTCGCAAACGTGTTTGCTGACTGTGGATGCCCGACCATATCGTCTCACGTCACTGATATTCAGAAACGAAACACAGCCACTGGTACTGCTTGAGCGAGAGGATCCTGCAGAAAGTCCTACTTTCCCCGGTCGCCAGTCGTTCGAGCGTGCGCGCGGCAACATGCACCATTAGCCTTTGATAGCCATACGTACGATGTTGATCTGATGTTCGGGCGCCCGGACACTAGTCGAGGTTTAGCGCTGTCAGAGGCGGGCTTTATATTCGACTGCCGATGCATGACTTCTGACCTGTCGAGTGAGAGAGCTGTGGTTTCTTTTATCCCATGATTTGATGTTTTCCCCCGGACTGACGATGTCTCCCAGTCCAAATGTAATGATCGATGTGAGTAAGTCAGTAAAACGACCCATGCATCTTATCATTATTGATGGTGGGTAAAAAGCCGTTGGGTAGAAGCTCAGGGCCACAGACAAAGATGATTCCAAGGCCGGTGCGCAAAGCTTGGCAAATGGCATCTTCAGATGAAAAGCAACGCCATGCCAGTGCGTGCAGACAGGTTTCACTGCGGATTGGGGTGAGCGACAGTGGGGCCGGCGAGTACGAGGCGCAGTTTGGTATTCATTGTAGTCGCCGAATGGCGCTGGGAGTGCAGGTATTTTCATTCAGGATAAGTCGGAAAGCAACCGAATACTACGCAGCAGAATTCTCAACTCTAGCCGAACCATTCTTTTCCCCTTCCGAGGCTGAGTTGGTCCAGTGGCGGAATTGTCGTGCCGGCAGCCTCAGCTCAAACATGCGATCGATTTCGGCCGGCGTTCGTCCCTTCATCTCAGGTACCACGAAGAAGGCAATGACAAGCCCGAGGGCACAAAGACCAGCAAACACGAAACCGGTCTTGGCTTTAAGGTTGCCTTTGTCGGGATTGAAAATGTATGGCAGCACAAATCCAAAGATGGAGTTGTTTGCTCCCGCGGTAAACCAACCGATAGCTTGGGCTTTGGACCGCAAATGCAGCGCTGAGGTTTCGGCACCGACAACGTGTGAGGCCGGCCAAACTCCCAGACCCGCCACGATAACTACCGCTATCAGGGTCATTGATGTGTACCTGTGACAGTCAATTAGGATGGTTCTCACGACCACGGGGTTGCTGTAAACGTACCATGGTATCACTGGACCTGACCAGCAACCCGCAATTCCCATGGCGGTCCATATTATCGACAAGACGGATAGCGTGCTTAAGATGAGTCGCCTGCGTCCTACCCTCGAGAGAACCCACACACTCATGATGTTGGCAATCAAACCGCAAACGAGGCCGAGTATAAGAACGATGACGCTCAGGTTGGCCTTCATACCAACGACTTGCACAAAGTAACTCGACTTTGACAGCAACGTCAGACCAAAGACGTTTGGCAATGAGTTGGAGAACATGATGATCAAGGTGCGCCTGAGGTTGACACCGCGGAACGAATCAACGTAGGTCGCATTGGTCAGTCGCCTTTCATGCTCGATGTTGCGGCGGATGGTGTCGAGAGTGTCCTCAGGGTCGGCGCCTGCCGGGTCCAGCCTCGTTTGAGCCCGGTGAGCCTGGGAATTCTTGTTCCTCCGGATGAGATATGTCGGACTCTCGGGGATCAGCAACGCCATCAACAACGGAAGGGCAGAAAACGGCCATTGAGATGCAAAGCAAATGGTGTACCCATTGGCCAGGTTGAGGCACGCGAAGATGACAGCGGCACCAGTCAACTGGCCAAGAAGCGTGAAGATTGGGAAAAAGGCCAGGAGCGGTCCTCTAAGATTTGGCGGTAGAATCTCCGACATGTACGTCTGGGAAGTCGTCATGACCATGCCGATGGCCCCGCCTTGGAAGCCTTTACCAGCGAGGAATATGATGCGCCGGGTATGGATATCAGGAGAGAGGTTGGATATGAAGCAAACAGCAACACCAATGGCCGACAGGAAGGATCCCAACGCAAGCGACGCTCGCCGACCATATCTGTCTTGGAAGACACCTCCAATCAAAGAGCCAATCATGGAGCAGCCTGGGCTGACGAAGTTCCAGAGGCCGAGCCAAAGCGAAGGCAGAATCCACTTGCCATTAAGCTGTTGACCAAAGTCACGCCTTGAAAGGTTCTGTTAGCCCAACGTGTTGATGCCAAGGGCATGGAGCCGCAAATGGCAAGGAGGGAACTGACTGAAAGCTGGGCATTGCTGAGACTGTGCCGACAATGACATAGTCGTAACCGTACATCAGGATGGCGGAAGTCATGCCGATACAGAAGAGAACGACGCGACGCCACTTCTTGATTGACTGCCGAAGAGTGAGGTGGCCATGTTGGTTGGCCTCTGGTTCCGAATTATTCGTACTTGCTATGCTGTTCACGGCGTTTAAGCGGCCGACGTTCACGGACTTGACACTCATGTTGTACAGATGGCCAGTGGCATATCTCGTTGGCGGATCCGAGCGGTTGGGTGAGGCTTCGACGGTTTCTCGAGGCGTTGTGAAGTGCTTGTGATGGCTTGTCTTTGGTCCAAGGACTGCCGACAATGAAGTGGGTGTTGTAGTAAATGGAAAACCATCTGGAAGCTGAGGGGATGACAGCATTTTCATTCAAGAGGGTAGCACGCCTATTGCGCCCACGACGCTGGTCGAATACAAGCTAGGCTGGCATTCTGAGCTAGGCTGGCATTCTAAGCCGCTTCCAGATCTTGGCGACTCTGCTAGGTGTGATCCGCATGTGTCCAAGACATTCTCAGGTTGCATTGCACCACCGCCAAGAGCACGTATTTGCAACTCGAAGTCCGTGGCAGGAAAAATCCCCTTATGGGTGATGAAGACTGCCCAAGAACTTGAGGCGGATGAAATTGGCATGCTGGCACCCGCGTTGTTGAGCTGCACTAGGTGGGATTTCTTCTTTCGCCTGCGACACGCAGAGATGCCGAAGTGGAAGTAGAAACGAAACGGGACGAACCGGCCAGCTGATGGGAGGGGGGGATCGCCCTCTTTCCACCGTCCAGCACGTCGTTTGCGGGTCGTGTTTTCTTCCGCTTACTTTTGACGAGGTCGATGGCGATTACTTGATTTCGCTGGCTTAGGTGGACTAGCAAGCTGTTTATTGTCGGCTCGACTGCAAAGCTTTGCGCCAAAAGATCCGGCTCATTTAGAGTTGGACATTGGCATTTTGGCCTTTTGTTCTCCTCGCGGTAGCGCATCTAACTTCGGATCCGCAGATGGCGCATTCCCGCGATTCGGACGTTTGGTCACCTCGTAGGTGGCCGTAGCCCGTTGGCGACATAGGTAGGTCAGGTAATTATCCATCGATGTGGTAGACATGGAGATTTTGCAGAGCGAAGTTGCCGAGGCGTCCTCGGCGATCCTCTACCACGCGTGCCTCGTACGAGACATCTTCAAACGCCTTGGAAATCGGTATGCTGAAGCGATAAGAAACGGTTTTGATCTTCAGGGTGGGTTTGAAAATAGTCGAGCATTCGGCCGATAGCATGGAAGACCCATGCCATCTGATACAGGTTAGTTGAATATGTGCAAAACGACGTCCAGGTTAGGGAAGATTCGAGTGCTCTTCCATCCATGCTGCACACCCTCTTGGGCGAGATACGTCCGTTAGGATGAAGGCGAGTCCACTTGAGCGGGCCATTATGCACGTGGGCGATGTGCCAGGGCCCAGAGTTGTAAAGATGCGGGGAGACTGTCACGGCGCTTGACGGGGAATGCCATCCGGGCCCGTCGCCGATTGTAATCACGGGCACGGAGTAGTGAGGTATCAATTCCGACTCCAAAGCGCTTACGATGCCGTGCGTGCGTCGAGAGGTCGTGCTCCAAAGGTGGAATGTGTTGGCAAAGGAGGGCTGAGAGAGAGGCACGAGGGCGATTCGTCGAGATGTCGAGTGGCTGCTTCGGAGGCTTGGGGGACTGCAGCCCATGTTGCACTCTTTGGCAGAAATTTTCTCAAGTGCAACGGCAGCGTGGCCGTGAATGCGCCAAGTCTGAAGTGCTGGTCGCGCGAAGGGAAAAAGCAAAAATTCATTTGCTGGGTAGATTGGAGGAGGAGAGAGAGGAGCTGGGTGAGAGCCTTGAAGCACAGGTACGTACTTCCAACAAGTACCGGAGGCCGGAGGATTCTTCCCCTACCTATCCCCGGTGGGACCTGGTCGGGACGTACCTTACCTAAGGCACCTCAGAAACGAAAGCAAAGGAAGGTGCAGCGGTAGCCCTGAGAATTTCCATGGAAATCGGGAATCATGATGAGGAAGTCTCGACGCGATGTTCCCAACTTCCTTCCCTTCGAGTTTGACGTGGCCATGATCGCGTGGCCTGTGCGTATCGATTAGGCACGGGCCAGGAACGATCTCGTTCACAAGCGGGTGGTGGGTCTTGGTGGGTCCATTTCGTTGACATCACCACTAAGGGCGGCGATGGTGTCGGCAACGTGCTTTTCTGCATCGTCAATGCTCTGCCCCTGGATCAGCGACAGCGGCTATGCAGCGTTGAACTCACCTTTTTTGCCTATCCACTTACCTTGATTACTTTGTATATGCCTCATATTGAAGCTACTTGTCATCGATTTCACACGCTATTGCACGCGATCTGTCTTGCTTGCTATGGCGAGAGCAACCCGTTCGAGTGCTCGTTTGGCCTCGACTGCCACGAAACCGGCAGAGACCTTTAGTGCTGGTAATGGCACACCAAGACATGGCCGATCTACGAAGCAGACTTCGTCGGACAAGGAGAACACGCCTCAACCAGAAAAGAGGAAACGGACAACAAGCAAGGCTGCAAACTCAACACCGGCCAAGAAGGTCAAGACGGAGGATGCAGACCATACGGCATCCCCGGACTTCGCCAACGTTCCACCCCTGACACCACTCAAGAAAGAGAAGATCAAATCCGAAAGCCCAGACACGAAAGCAAAGGTCCAAAAGTCCCCGGCAGATTTGAAGTCCAAGAAGCTCAAGGCCTACTCTCAGTACGCTGACAAGTCACCCTTCCCCGATTTCCCTCACCCAACACCGGAAGAGTGCAAACTAGCCCATGGCATTCTGGCCAAATTGCACGGGAAAAGGGAACGGCCCGCCGAGGTCAAGGCATCCTCAACCCGCGCTGGCTGCGGAGACTCGCCGTCAGTCCTCGACGCGCTGGTCAGAACCATCCTGAGCCAAAACACGAGCGACACAAACTCCACCCGCGCCAAGAGGAGCATGGACGACGTCTACGGCGGCAGCGATGAGTGGGAGAAAATTGTCGAGGGTGGTATTCCCAAGCTACAAGAGGCCATCAAGTGCGGAGGGCTGAGCCAAGTCAAGAGCAAGGTCATTGTCGGCATTCTCAACCAGGTCAAGGAGAAGTACGGCTCGTATTCTCTCGATCATCTCTTCAATGTTAGCAATGAAGATGCAATGCAGGAGCTCATTAGTTTCCAGGGCGTCGGGCCCAAGACTGCCAGCTGTGTCCTTCTGTTTTGTCTGCAGAGGGAGTCGTTCGCAGTGGACACTCACGTATGGAGAATCACCGGTCTGATGGGGTGGCGGCCAAAGAGCGCGTCGCGGGACGAAACCCACGCTCATCTTGACGTCAGAATTCCAGATGAGGACAAGTATGGGCTTCACATCCTTCTTGTGAAGCATGGCAAAGTGTGCAGTGAGTGCAAAGCTGGTGGTAAGAGTGTTGGGAAGTGTGAGTTGAGAAAGGCTTTCCGCCATGAAAAGGTCAAAATTGAAGAGGGGAAGTTTTGCGATATTAACGCCTAGATTAAGAGCTGACCACATTTCATTCTACACATAATACACGTTTTTGTGAGCTGAATTCTGTTTGCCGATTATGAATAATCAGACCTGCATCGATGAGTCTTGACTGCACTTGTCAATGATACTAGACCATATGGCTGTTACCCTGGCTGTCACCTGTCTTGAAAGATTGAAGCGCCATGATACATTCCTCACCAAACCGATATCCCTGTCTTCAACAAGTTTTGATGAGTAGAAGAGGCCTCACATGCCTAAGAGCCTCGTTCAACCGCTGTGTATCATCTACCAGAACAGGTGACCAGCAACTGGGTTTCCATTTAGAACCTCTCACCTCCCGTGTACTAAGATTGAAAGGCTGTCGTATGGTCATCATACTGGCATCAATATGCGAAGTAGGACCGATGGCATGTAAGAAGTAGGAAATAGCATCGAGACTCGCGCTGAAATAGGCACTGCGAGCGAGAGTAGGTCTCGCAGATTATGCAATCGACAGAGGTCACGTGCCGACTGGTGAGGCCACAGATGGTGGACGCCATCGCGACAAAGGTTTTATTCCCGAACCCTGATCAATTCCCATTAATTTTCCCGGCTAATCTTCTTTCACATTCGTAGTTACAGCTGAATAAGCTTGTAACATGTCTCACGATGGGGGGTTTGGGCTTTCGCTTCCTTACAAGAATCCTTCGGCCAACTGCTCTTGTAAGCCAGCCGAACTCATCCCATCCCCAGAGACAGGTAATTCGTGCATATGAAGCAGCGAGTCTAGATCCTGGTCGAAGACTTGCCTGACCTCGCCACGCATCGTAATATGATTGAGCTCTGGCTTTAATTGAATAGATGCTTATGAATAGCTCATATATAGAAACGCCAGGGGCCTCACATTCAGTACTATCTAGTTAAAGATGGATTTAACATATTAGACCTTATCTGAACTTGGCATCTTGAAGACAATCAGTGCGCGCGTTGGATCACTCGAGAAGCCGTATCTCTAGGCCATTCTACTGAATTCTGAATGAAATCTTCTCGCTCTCATGCCAGCGTCTTAGGGCATCGACTTTGACGATCGGAGGTAAAAGTCTCTGCATACCAAGGTCCCTTGGCTTGCTTCTCGAAAACCACATCCACGGTCAAGTGAAAAAGACTAATTGAGAACATGAAGTGATAAATGAGGTTCACTTGGATTTGTGATGATTCAACTCATTCCCGCCTTAAGTTCCGCGTTCATACAGGCAACGACTTGAAGAAAAGAATGAATCCAACGTTCAAGGGCGATTGCTTGTGAGTAACGTCGCAACTCGAGATCGTACTTCTCTAACTTGGGAGCGCAGGGTGGCCATCAGCATCAACAAATATATGCTTCTCTTTTTTTTTCAAGGTTTTTGAAAACAGATAAGTTGACGTAACCGAAACTTGTGTAATTCCATGATATTTCTTAGCACAGCGCTTGTAATCTTGAATTGGTCGAAAAACACTACCCTAAGGAAGATGCCTTGGCTCGATTTAGGATCCCATTTCAAAACCCCGTTCCTTATCCGCCTGAACCCTGAAATAATAGGATGCAGCAATATGCCGCTTCTTGGAGAGGAGATCATGAATCCTCAGCCGGGGACCGCCCCTAGGTCCTGGGCCAGTGAACACCAATTTGAATGCCTTGTGAATCGGATTCTTCGCTTGGTCTTCCACCAAAGTAATCAAGCTGTCCATGACAGTGTCCATCCCGTTTTCTGTATCATATGGACCAACAAAGTCAATGAAACAGGTAAGTTCGAGTTCCAAGGTCACTTTATGAACCAATAGTCCGAAAAAGTTGCACAGGTACCCGATATCGTCTCTCTTGGCGCTTTCAAAGGCCAGAACTTGGCCAGCTTCATCTGGGCAGAATTTTCTCGCGTAGATATCAATAATCTGATAAATTAGGGACGTCATCATGATCAAAGCAACGATTCCGGATTTTTCGCCTTCTTTACGCGCCGTGCCCCCCATAAAGAATGCCAGAGAGCCTACGGCCTTTTGATCGTGGAATTGACTTCGCAACTCATTGGCCAATTCGCGACACCATGCCGATAGTTCAGACGCATGGAAGCAATCCCACCACCACTTAGAGTGCATATCGCAATCGACGAGTATTATGCATGACTTTCTGATTGCTTCCCATGCTCTCAGCTCGCGTGTGGTCCTGATTTGGAGCCAAAGTGGTGAAGCAGTGGGAAGCGACGCTTGGGACATGCTGGCTTTCAGGTCTCCCACCCATTGAAGGTCCTGCTCGTCACGGCCTATTAGCCACTGGATGTCGGCACGAGAATTGTCGGTAATCATTTCCAGCATGGAATCCCATACTCCTCTCTCGGAGACGGACATCGGAGAGACCGGAGATGACATGATAGTACCTTAGGCTATTGAGAATATTCTGGTCTTGTTTGTCAGTCTGTTAGAACATACGGAGACATTAAAGAGAATTTTGCAGCGAACTCACTACCATTTGACTGGCGTCAACTTGTCTTCAGACAAAATTGAGTTTGAAACTGTAATGGTAGCTGGAACGTATAATAGCGTTGGCTTTCTAACACTTCGAGGATGAGAAAGCAATTGATGAGTCACCTATCATCAGCGGAAAGATTGGTAAGCCGTGAGGGTTTGAAACTTAAGCGTTAAGAACGTCTTTAGTGGCCGTGAAGAGATAAGATGATTGGTGTTCAATGATCAAGATAATTCCAGGGATCGGTTGCTGGAAGCTTACGGAAAGCTCTCCTTGAAACCGGCTGTTCTTCATCCTACATATACTAATTCCCGAGCTGAACGAACCTCTCCGCCTTGAGCTACTTGGCAAACGGCGATGTTTCCTCGTGTCTCGTCATTGAACATAAACCTTTGTCAACATAAACCTCTTGATCGTCTACTTGAACGTCTGAGGCGGTAATTATTTGATAGAGGGACATTGTGATCGATCTACCCTTGAGCCAACCTCGTTTCCAACAGTATCAATTTGGAGGCGGTTATCATTCTTCCGTAAATCGTGCAACAGCGCAATCCATTGTAAGCCCGCATTCGTTCTTAACCATGCTAACCTTTGCACGCTATAGGGGAGCTTGCTGTCCCCGGGGTGTTTCTGAGTGCAAGGGGATCAAGGTTGCGCGGTCTCAAAAAGGCCATAACGCGGAAGCCATTTCCTTTGAGACTGTGTTGATGCTGTCTTTGGAATCGGTCCATACTACTCGCGTGCACAAGTTGGGGTGATACCTGGGCCTGTCTCGCAAGGGACTTCAGTAATAAGGTATTACTCAACAAAGATAACAACTTTTTAATGTGTCTTCAGGAGTGGTGGGCGGTAAAAGTTGAGGTTGCACGACATCTGGCCCATTGAATCAGAGGATGTGGTAATAGCTGTTTTGTTTTCAAAGAAACGCATTGATCCAGAGAAGAAAGCGAAATCTCATAGTGTTACAACAATGACGCCGTTATCTGCAGGCACTAATTGATTATCGTCATATATAAGTACCCTTTGACACGGTAAACCCGCCTAACTTACAGGGGACGGATGCCATTCATCCACCTTGAATTCAAAGAACCAGCCAAATACAAGCTCAACTGGGGCATCTGTTTTATCTCATGTAGAATGCCATCCTCAAACCTGTTTCTCGGCGAGAAAGCTTGTCCTTGTGACAGGCTGTATAAGAATGCTTTTAGTCTTAACTTCACAGGCATCAATTCGCGTACCCTCGAGCACGATGTCGCTCTACTCCTCAACTCGTGCTCGAGCACGCATGCCAACATGAGCCAATTCTCGAGACTATATACACCGCTTTCTACGCTTATTTTGAAGACGCATCCTGAAGTTCGTCACTGATTGAGAGGCTGTCACTTTGTTGCCCTGATCAACAGGAAAGGTAATCTTTGCAAGGCCTTCTTAGCTATAATAGAGGACGGATCGGCCGCAACTAAGACAAATTGAGTATGCAATTGCTGTTCTTCGCGCACTGTGTGGCATTCTACTCACAGGGACAACCAAAACCATCCCCAGGTACTAGACGAAATACCGAGGAACTAGAGCACACCGATGAACACAATTGCTTGTTCAGTCGAGTAGTCTCAGCTCTCGAAGCAATTGCGCCCCTAACGCGATGATAACTCCATTATCGGTGGCGGATCTCGACGAGCTTAACAAGATGTCATTGGTGCGGTAGTGACCTTTTAGAACCTTAGTACTCAGTTTAAGGAGCCCCTCATTTTGGTTGTAGGTAGGCGGTAGGCAGCAGCATGCCTTACTGTACTGTGAGGCGGCGTTGGTTATCATGTAATGCTATTGAGCGGGGTCGATTAAGCCTATCTCGACCCTCAAGGCAGCAAGTTGCCTTCATCATCACATGGGCGCCTTAAATCAATGAGCGGCTCATAGCATCCATCTTGGAATATAAAAATCCGACTTCCCGAAGGACAGCGTAATCACTCAGACTATCAAGTAGAAGCTAACTACTATTGCCCTCCAATCTCTCCCAGTCATCGAAATGCTAACCAAAGAAACCACCGACAAGTTCGTCAGCATGTGTCTTTTTAAGACTGAATAGGGCGGGCGACGTGTAAAGACAAGCGATTGCGGGCAGACCGACTGCGTCAACTCCGGGATATACGTCAAGCCAAAGAAATAGTAAGGCGTGATGCCATTCTTCCTCACGAACGATATCTAATGAGGGCTTTAGAGTATTACACTAGCATAAGTCAGGCCTTTGGGGGTTCGGAGTAATTTGGAATAGCTCATGGCCCCCGTGACCGGTGCTAATCCGATTACGGTGGTGGAGCATCTCCCTGTGCGCCTGACGATGCATTGGGAGATCCATTTGGTTCATGGCATCACCTTGGTTCACATCTGTTGCTGGCATAAGCCATTTCTGGATTAAACAATCAGTTCGAATCACTATTAAAACGAGTTCGTGCGCTTAGAGAACCAGAAGATTCTACTTGGACAGAGCCTGCTTTTGGCACATACTGTAGCTGTAAATTAAGCTTTTCCAATATTGATACTGACCGTGTCCGCAAAACCTTCCGGCGGAGCATTTACGGTCCAGACTCTGCCCTCCGACATGATGTAGTTGGTCAGGTACTTGATGCCAGTGGCAAAAATACTGACCGCCTTCCTGTCATTGTTGTTCTGCAAGACAATGCCCTTGCAGGTGTACGTCCAGACGTTGCGACCGTTTTGCTTAACCCAGCCGCCGACCATTCGGAAGGAAACAGTCACTCCTGCGAGCAAGAGGGACTTGGCGGTAGCGACGCCGTGGGGGACGATGATGCCGTCGATGCGCTTCTTTAGGGCCATTGAGGGTGCGGAGAGCTCATCGTCAGATTTGTCGACACTGCTTCGGGATCAGACACGCACCTCAAAGATGAACACTACGGAACGTACTTGACAATCTCGGAAGACTTGACTTCGGATCCAACGATCTGGACAGAGCTTTTGGCACTGCCCGCGGCAGGAGCATGCTCGAGGGGCGAGACAGCCAGGGCCGAGACCGCCGTGGCGAGGCCCAACGCTGCAAGGAATTTCATGGTTATAACTTTGGAGAAAAAGCGTAGGAAAGAAACAAGAAGAACAAGGGCGAGGATATCGGTGCAGGCGAAATGTGGTTGGTATTCAATCCTCGAAAGACGGAAAGCCCCCAAGCCCATATATTATCGGAAATAGTTGAGAACAGCACTTTTGCCTGCAATATAGAAGTCCGCAAGACTTCTGCCTCTCACTACCTTGGAAGTAAGGTGCCGTTAATCAATGATACTTTTAATAGGCTGATCGCCTGGAATTTGCGAGAAATCAACTTCGCAAGAATCAATTTCGTGGCTCAGAAATGACCATATCAATCAACAATTGCGAGATGATCGGGGACTTTAACGACACATCATAGGACGCACTGCGCCCGAGCCCCTTTAGAGTTCAGCGACCATGTGGACTTTCCTGCGAGTATAATCTCATTTAACTTTCGATCCGGACAATATATTCTGGTCATGTATTCAGCCATACTTCATGAGCCGGAAATTGCAGAGAATTATCATATCCTCGAGCCTGCAAAATGTCGCGCATGTGCCAACAAAAGCGCTTTTTCTAGGTTAACATGCTCCAGGGTAGATGTACGTAATCATGTCAGCAGGCACACAATAGGCTTCGAGTCTTGAAGCTAACATATTCGCCAACGTTTTGCTACAGGCTGGACCGGACTAGTGGATTCTTGCTCTGCCCAGGCGATTCTGCCCACGACGACCGCCCTCCTCGCGGAAGTAGCACGAGTCCTGCTTTCAATTCCTTTCCTCCTTCAGCTTACATTCTCAATACAGATGTCACTCCTACAGGGGCACTGACGTTCAAGATATGGAACATATTTCAAGGCTCTGTCAAGTGTCTACAATTCTTTGTTTTTCTTATTAAGAAGAAAAAAAAAAACTCAGCTCAAAGAGCTATATAGAGTCTCTCCAAAAACATCTACCGCTTGCAGAACCCGTGGCCAGACTTTCCAGTAATCTTCGGCTGAGTAGAGTCAATGACATCATTAGCCACGGGGTAGTATCCATCACGAGCCTGCGCTTCGCATACTCGGTTCCAGTCATCACCATCGACGCGCTTATGGGAGAACCATTTGCACTTTAGATCGCAAAATATTAGCACTAGAATTCATTGTCACAAGGCTCCGTCTACTTACCCTGCCCTGGCCGTGGTTATAGTTGGCCTGTCATAACGTTAGCTAAGGCCCGCCCTCGCCTTGAAATACAGACTTCGTAGTACTTACCTCGCCCTCGTAGTTGTTCTTGCAGGCGTTGAAGGTCAGCTGCCAATCGTAAGTCCAGCCCCTGCCGTTCCAGGTGCTGCAGGAGCACTCGTAGTGAGGGTCAGCGGCGACGCCGGGGGCGAAGAAGGCTCCGAGAGCGGCGACGACGATGGAGGCAGAGAACTTCATGCTGGCGACTTGGTTGAATCGAACAGATTGAAGAGACAGATGGTTGTCTTGTGATAATGTGCGATGATGATGCTGATGTTACTGACAAGAAGTGCGCGATAATGGAAATTCGACGTCGGAGAATCGAGCTTTTATGTACTCCAAGACTCAGTCATATTGCAGCAGGACGAGAATACCTATGAAAAGTCGCGAAGAATTTATTAGAATGATAGTAAGTCAAGAGATTTTGGTCAGCCTGGTTCGATGATTACAAGTAGCACTTGCACCGGAAATTAACTGCCAGATCAGAAGTGGGGTCCCACAATTGCGGAGCAGTTGTGGCGCCTCATCTGACATTAACATACTATTTATGGGGCTGTTGACAGCCTCGTAATCCCAATGATCATAATCAATAGTACAACTTGTAGAACACGAGGCCAAGTTCTTTATTTCAGTTCACTACCTCACACATAATCAAACTTTGTGAAGGTTTTAACATTCTGTCGACTCCTGCTGTTCATCACGGTTTGAAACCAAAGTCTTCAGGGTTAGAATATATTGGCTGTTCCTTGTGATCTGCTCACTAATATTGCACAAGTCGTTCTAGATCTCTCCCTTGAACTTACTGTCAGGTATCAGTAACACGCTCTGGCGCAGAACCTACGTATGCAAAACAGTTTGGAAGACCACTCAAACCTTAATGTATTGAGCTGGTTGTCTTCATGAATCGAGCGAGGCCTAGGTCTGTTCATTGATGCGGATGACATATGAACGAGTATATTGTAAAGCCTCGCCCGCCCCATTTGCTATGGCATGATAGCGGAGATGAAATTATGCAAAAGAATCGTCGCATAGTCAAGCATTTATGCATCCTCATCTCAATAATATGACGCTAAAACGGACACATCTGATTTATTGCCCGTGGCAGAGAAAGTCTCTCATAGGAAGCCGTAAGAGTCCAGAACCGAACTGGTCGTATAACCTAACACATACGTCAGACCACTGCCATTAAAGGCGTCGACGATCACAACGAAGGCTGGTGAACAGACATATTTGACTGAAATAATCACTTCTACGGACTAGACCGGCCTGAGTCTAACCGGGGTTTGATATCTCTCCAGGCTCGCCGGATATGGGTAATATGCATATGACTGCTGGGTGTCGATGATCTTAATTCTGATCAAGTACTCCAAGTCAGAATCTCTCCGTGTCGCCCCGCCAGCCTATTCCGGCACACTCTCGGGGAGTGAGCTTGGTCGCAACATGGATGGAATGTTCTTCGCGCAGGAATATGGCCATAGTCCTGAGGCCGTCTATCAGAACGCTGACTCTGATTCATTTACTCTCTTCCTTCGACAGCATCATTCCATCAAATTAAACCTTGGTATAGCGCGTTGTTCGTGACTCTTCTGCTTGAGTGAAACCTAAAAATCGCGCTACCGAAGCCTACTGAGAGCGACATAGCATAGACAACCCCCCTGGAAAATAATATCTTGAACGCTCAGATTTATTCTATCCATGAAGCTTTCCTGCCATCAAAGCAATACGGTAATTAAAAACTCATCGAAATTTCCGGAGGTGTTCATTTCCTTTCTTCCTTCAAATTTCCTTTTCCATTTTCTCGTCTCTCTCCCTTTTATTCCGGCAGCATCTTCGAACGAAATCAAGAAACCATTGTTCTTCTCAAGTCAAATAACTCTGCAACTCACCACAATAAAGTCCAACTGAATCTACTTAACAATATTCAATATGAAATTCTTCTGTGTTCTTGGTGTTGTGGGTGGACTCTCTGCCTTAGCCATCGACCATACCAAGGGTCCTTCTCATCCTGATACAGACATCACTCCCGAGTTGAACATCGAACAAGCTGGCTCAGACCTGTATGTTAATACATCCTCCCTACGTACTCATCTAATTACTTTCAGCGCCGAGAGATCCGAGAATCATGGCTCAGGCCTCGAAAAGCGCGTGTGGGACGAGATCCCAATTCCCCACGGAGTAGAGAACCCGCAGTCGATCGTCAAATTGGGTCTCGTGATATCTTTCACCATGGCTGGGCAATGGGTTCGTCAAGGTGCTCGCAATGTGTGGACATATACGTTTAAGGCGGTCAAGTTCAGCAATGGGGGAAATCTGCAAAAGACTATCACCGTCACAAGTGGTTTGGTCAATTATATGGAAAATCAAGCTTTGCCCGCGCACAAGGCCATGGCTGTGAAGGCTATGCCGGGTGGCTTTCAAGACACGATTGATGTCAACATCAATTAGGAGTGCACTTGCATGGGGGATGACTGGGAAGGGTTTCTACCAGATTGATGGACATATAAAGAGCTGCTGGGCATAGGCAAAGACGATAGGCCTATTCCGTCGACTACCTTTGTCAAGATAGCCGTACCTAACATGCTCAATGTGTCTGGAAGAAATTGAAGTCTTCTTCGCCTGACTTCAGGATTCCGAAATAGGCGAAACTTGGGAATCACTGTATGGTATTGATGACAGTAAGATATAGTGAGCTATAAACTTTGGGAACGTCTTGATAACGGTAGAGAAGACTCGGTTAGCTTCTTTATGTTCCATCGATAATAGCCCGTGGGTCTTGTGTGAAAGTCATTGTCGAATCGCCGAGAGACTGTATAGTATATTCATTCGACCGGTAAGTCACACAGCGCGATATCTCTTTCCTCTTGTTCGCTCTGTGTCTCGTTAGTAGACCGATGGCCCTCACACAATCTAATGTTCGCAAAGGGCGGTCATTAGTGCATTATGGGTTGCCTGTCACCTGATTATGGCTACTTGACTGCATACGCAGCTAGTACTGTATCATTGACTCGCGGAACAACTCCTAAGAGCGATCTACACATGTGTCTAATGGGGGCCAGTTTGGCTGGTTCATCGTATTAAAAGCCTTTTACAACTTACACGATGTGTCACGGGTTGGTTACGTACTTTAGTAGCTTGGGATTCGGTCTCCGACTGAGCATTGCGCCTTTTGGCTCGCTGGCTTAACCGCGGGATTAGTAAACCTAAGCACTGTCGTTTCGTTACGATTTGTTATATCCAAACCCTGGCTCGCTCTGTCAGACTCTTGCTACCTCGCGTTTTCAAGGACGCTAGCCAAGTATAGTAAGTATTTGCTTCGTTCTAGTTTACTGCCCGCCGATGAGTGTATATAGGCTGTTCGCTGGTGTTTGACAAGACCTCCTGTGTATACACATACATGGCCGTGAACGGTGGCTCAAGCTGCTGGGTACGTGGACCAGGAAATACGATTGTGACGCTAGAAGGCCGATTTAGTGCTATAATTTTACGTCCGCTACAGTTGATCACTGTGGGCGCGTTCGAAAGTAATATAAATTTCTTTCACATCTTTTCGATGGAGAACAAGAGCTCCATAATTAGATGCGGACGAACCGCGCTTCTATACGTACTGTTACATAGGCAGTAAGTAGTTTGGCCGGCGGGCGTGCTTTGTATGGCCGGCCTACCGGGTTGTGTTATATATATATAAATATTTAAAGATAGAAAATCGATCTTTACTTACTACCTATAATAAGATGAGAGATTTCATCATGATCGAAGCAGTCTTGCCTGATTCCCTGCGGTGCCAGTACGATCTCATGAAGAACACAAGAGACTCGGGACCGTAATTATCCTTAACTTGGGGTTTATCCCATCGCATCCGACCGATCCAAACTTGAATGAAGCTCGATACTTGAGATACTGCAAACATTTTTCCACTGGGTATCGTCCATGTCAATATTGAGGAGTAAAATGCCTGGAATTTTCTCTTCCATCCATTATTGTATTTCTTGATTCTCCCAATATTGTAGAAACAAAAGTTCACTATTACTTCCGGTGTCTAGCATTATCTTGTAGGTCTCGTCTTCCACCCATTGAAGACCTTGGTCGTCGCGGCCCATGAGATCTTCTACGATTGTGTAATGGAGTATCTGGTTCTGGATAGAGCTCCAAATCCCCTTTGGATTAGTGTCGGATTATGCTTCCATTATGATGGGTATCAATCGAGAATGTCTTGTTTGTAAGATATACGTTCCAGGTCAGAGTGCACAGGAAATCAAAGGCGTAGGCTTTTTGACAGCAAGCTCACCAACAGCAACTAAGGGTGGTCTAGGTTCAGACAAGATGGGCTTTCATGTTTGGAAATGTAACAAAAAGTCCAACTCGACGCTGTAGCTTCGTCGCAGTTGGTGTACAAGAGGTCTGTGATCGCGGAAATTCTTTTAACATCAGCTGTGAGATTGGCAAGCAAGTAGGCTTTATATACAGAAGCATCGAGGATGATGCATTGAGCGACGTGAAATAAGGTCATATTCTAAGAGACTTGTCAAGCAAAGTCCACAGGTGGTCGACCATTTAAGGATTTAAGGAAACGCTCTCGTACAGTCTGACGACTTATTATTCATACTACGTATAATATATTTCAGTCATGGTATTCGCATCCTTTCTGTTTGACTTCATTTGGATTGTTACTTTGTGAGATTTGATCAACCAAGTTTCATGACGGAATTGTTTGTCGTGAACAGCTTCTTTGCATTGGTTACCTACCTAGGTGGTGATTGCCCATCAACATGAACTTGGGGCCGACGATCGGCGGATCACTCATTCTGAAGTGAAGTCACGGCGCAGTCCTTTGTTGGCTCCAGCCGAGTCTCAACCGAATGGACCTTCACTGCCAAATGAGCTTGTGTTGGCTGGGATGTTGTCGACTCCAGGAAAACCAAGCGTGCAAGGTCCCAAAGCCCCCATTAAGACAGTCAGCTCCCGAGAGATTGTGGTGAAGCCATCCTATGAGTTGGTGGTTAGGGAAGCATGCGCTATTAGGCATAGTGTGATTACTAGGATTGCTGATCAGGGATTACAAAAAAAGCCGGGAATTTTCAATGTTCAACCTTCTGGCCAGAAGGGATGACATTTCTTTGGAAGTGTCTGCGGGAGTCTGCGGGCGGTAGAAGTTGCAAACATCTGGGGCAGGTAATACAGTACCTATGTTCTGCTCAAAGGATTAAATGAACAACCAATGTTCTGCCTCCTCGACTAAAAATATCGATTTTGTCTTAGTATGATGACAACCGGTCACCAACCGAACCGACCACAGCTTCAGAGTACGCATTTCCATAGTTACATCAGGGAGAATTTGTGGATTGGCTTAAGGCTTCATGTTCCTTACCCCCAACAGTCTAGCATCCGCAACTGTTTACTTCAGACGGGTCGATTACAGATTTCTTTGTGTCGGCACGTGGGTGCCTGTGAGTGGCTGAGCTTTAACTGCCGGTGGCTAGATAGCTGTGGCTGTGTTGAAACAACCTTAACTTGGAGCCTGTGAGGCCATCCATCCCCTGTTTGTCTACACATTTGCAGACTTGGCAACCGCCATTACCATTTCTTGCCCACGACAGTCTGTTGTTGCAATGGCTTGGTGGAATGATCTACCCAATGAGCTGAAAAACCAAATCTGGGGACATCTCCTCGGGTGCGGTAGCAACGAGAATCAAACACTAGCACGATACGCTTCCATCTCGTCCGAGTGGCAGAAAATCATCGAGCCCTTCACCTTTGAAGAGATATCCGTATCTCTTTATTCACAAAAACCAACTTCAAGCCGCCGCAGGGTTTCCCAAGCCCGCAAAATTCTTACCAAACCACGCCAGAGCGCCCTAAAGCGACTCCGTGTCCGCATCGACTATGACGCCACCAAGACTTCCAAGGGCTACAGGAGGGCGTTTGCGGGGGTCGTAGTCGCCCTGTTCGACCTGTTGCAGACCTGGAAGGCGGGAGATGCCAAGATAGACCTCGAAATTATCGAAGTCCGGCCTTGCGGTCCCCCCCTATTCACGTACGGAGGAGAGCTATTGCAGCAGCGAACCTGGTCAATCGGTTGCGTGCGGTCGCTCCGCATCGTGAAACCACAATCATACATTTCCCGCAGCACTGGGCCCGAGCTTGCCGACCTCGTATTGAACGGACTTGCCCCCGGTCTGGACATGTTGGAATACAACTACGAAATCGGTTGCCGCCCTGGACATAAGCACAAGCTTTGCCTTCTCACGGATTGGCAGATTGCTCCAGTGGAAGTGAAGTCGCTGACTATCCGAGAATCTTGCGACCAGAGCAACTTGAACACGCAACATGATTGGGTCGAATACATTCGCACGCATCAGGGCATCCCTGAGCAACTGTATCAAAAGAGCCGTGGGCTAGAGGAACTATGCGTCTCGTTCGCCATAGATGCGACTGACTTATTTTCCCACATGATGGACCAGCCCATGAAAGAGCGCCCATTCTCGCAGGCCAGCACCGTTCTCCCTGATTGGCCTGAACTGCGACTCATCAGTCTGACGTCTCATTCTATCTGGGACAAGGCACCCGAGATGACAAACAAGCTCCTATTATCGGCCGCTAGAGCTGCCCGACGGATGCCAAAGTTGAGAGTGATGGAAATCTGGAACGCTCGGGAGCAATACATCCTTTCGGCAGGCTGTTTCCGTTACTCTACTGGGGAAGACGCTGTCGCAACGTTCATATGGGAAAGCACATGGGACTTTGAGATTGAACAAGCCACAAGAGTGGCATGGGTCGATGCCGCCAAGTCGCATTCCGCTCTTGGTCTGAATTTTGACGTGCGAAAAGTTCCTGCTGAGCTACCATGGCCCTTCTCACCTGCCCAGGCTCATGCGGAAGCGTTTTCCTACCGCAGCGCCTCTCACCATCCTTCTAGGTTAAGCACGGAAACAGCTTGAGCCTGCTATGTAGTTTAGAATTGAACTAAAATACATTTTGATTTCAAACTTCCCGACGCTGAGTGATTCCTGAACCTTCTTCCTAATACAGTGAGTTAGGATCGTAAACGTATTTCGAATTCCACTGTTGGTCTACAAGAAACAATACCCACAATTCAGTCAATTTTGCAATCTCATGTTGATACTGACCGTAATGGACATGCCCCCTTACAGCCCACCGGTTCCATCCCATTCAAATAGCATTCACTCAGTGTTGCGATAGCTTTTGGTTGCCAAGACGACTCTGGTCCCAACCACAGCTAAAGGTTTGCATCAATGCCATCATTCTCAGCCGCGACCCCAGAGCTTCGAAGCGACGTCGAACGAGCGCGTAGCCAAATGGCACACGGAACTCTCGACCTCTATGCTTGGCTTCCAAATGCCCAGGAAAGTCTTCGTGATTAACCTTTGGAGGTGCTAGTCAATGACACTAAAACCAAGCCACAACGGCTCATGGTCACCGTCTCTCGCCAAGTCGGTACGCTTTGCTCGGATTTAGATCAGCCACAATCGCGCTAAGCTGGACAGGTTGGGGGCCTCCAGCTGGCATCGTTCTGGTTGTTCTGGACCGTGCTGTCGCGTTGCCGGAGTCGCGCTCGATACGAACGTCTGTTCCCGCATCATAAGCGGGCTTTTCCGTGTTTGTCTTGTTTGTGGTGTAGTATTGAAGGATTGCATTCCGGCTTGGGTTTCGCAGGTCGATGTTGTTCGTGAATTAAGGTGAGCAGGGCTCCTTGCTGATCACATCGGCATTTGCATATTGGCCATGGCCCTGCAGGGATAATTAGCTTGGGGGTTCTTGAGATCCACGAGCTTAATGGTACCTAAAATAATACCGGGGCAGATAAAGTGCCAAGTCACCGAGTCGCAAATAAGCCCGCGATGCGAAGCAGTCATTGCGGCCGACAGAGAAGCCAAGGGAATTCGATTAAAGCCGGAAGCAATGTTTCTGTTCATCAAGAAACATTGGAAGTGACGTCAGTCAACTGATCAAGAGACACTAGGGAAAAGGGGCACAAGTCAAATGCAAAACCGGCAGACTACCTATGCCACAAGTTGCATAACCCAGGACTGGTAGCTCTAGTGTGCATTGTACATTATACCTCGACCACGGTGAACAAAGGATATTCTAGTCCAGGTTGCGCGGAAACGTGATTCTGAGGAGAGCTTATCGCCCACGGACATTTTTATTGATTCCTCTTCAACATGAACGCACGGCCAAGTACAATACTTGGAAGCCGCGAGCTGTGAAAAAGGCCCAAATTGGGCGTTAGCGGGAGGCTTCGGTGGGCTTTCGACGGCGCCGTTGACATCGATGCGCCGCGCTACTGCAGGTCCTTGGCAAACGTGAGCCTCCAAACATACAACTTAACAGCACTACTCCGGGAACGAGCCAGGCAAGCCAGGGGTGACCACAGAGGAGCTCAGGAGCTCGGCGGTGAGGCTCTCATGTAAGTTACCTAGCTGCAGGTTTCCACGCCCTCGGACCATTCACTATGGCAAACATAACGTCCGGCGCCCATTCCGGCTCGGAGTCAAATTCTTCCCCGTCAGTTATGCAGCGTGCCGTCCTAAGCTCCGGAGGAGGGGTTAGACGTATTCCCACTTTTTCTTCTCCCACTAATGAAAAGGGGCACTCAGATGCTTTTTCCAATGTCTTGTTTGCCCCTAAACCATCTAAGCTTGTTTGGACACGGGACTAATGACGGCGACATGCATGTTATTAACCCTAAGACGTCGAGGTTTGAGAGCCGTTTGCTTTTCTTGCTGGTTGCTGAGGCGCTACTAGACCCATGTTCCCCTTGCATAGTGTGTTCTATCTTCCCTAAGGTTGACATCCCACGCGGTAAGGTAGCTCAGCCAGGGACAAATGCAGAGATATAAGATGGACGTGTTGGCGTCTCTCACTTCAAGATTGAGAGGGGACAAGGCACACTGAGTAACATCTTCATTCTTCGTTCTTTCACTTGCTCTCAAGGTCTCTTGTCGTTTTCGACCACGAGTATCACAGTCACTACAACACCACACTCACTCACTCATTCTTTCAAGATGAAGTGCTACATTGTTGCTGCTTTCGCTGCCGCGGCTGCGGCCCTCCCCGAGGTTGCCAACCTGGCTGGTCGTCAAGGCGGCTGCAATGCTGACAACTGCCTCCGCGCCGTGCGGGCAACTCGATTCGGAACTGCCACCATGGAGCTTCGCATGGCAGAGTGCAGCTCGTTCCTCGCCGTGACCCAGATTCCGGCCACCTCGTAAGCTTCCTGAAGCAGTGTCACTCTAATCATTCAGGCTGACAAACCTGCCACAGCACCGTCTACATCACGGAGAGCAGCATCCAGACCATCACGGCCAACGCTACCAAGACCATCTTCCAACGCCAGGCAGCCGAGACTCCCATCTCCGCCACCAAGGCCATCCCGGCCTACGCTTCCGCCTGCGTCGACGAGAGCCGCTACAGCTCCGCCTGCTCCTGCTTCGGTGCCACAGCCGCCACGACCAACGCGCCGACCCCCATCGTCACCTCGACTGTCACCTTCGTCTCTACCACCACCCTCGCTCCCTTCGTCAATGTCACTCGCCCGGCTCTTGAGTGCAGCAACACGTGGAGCTGCGGCGACCGCGTCATTCCCGTCTGCTCCAGCGAGAACGGTTGCGTCTGTTTCCAGACCGTCGAGGGCCGCAAGGTTTGCGCCCAGCCCAATGACTGCAGCCCGTCCTGCGACACTACCAACGACTGCAGCAACGGCGAGGTTTGCATCAAGCAGAGCTGCTGCTCCGGCGGTACCTGCATGAAGGTCGACGTCTGCCTCAACCAGGTCTTGCCCAAGATGATGTTCAAGCGACGCAACGCCGCTTGGGTCAAGAAGGAGGTTCGTGGCGACCTGCACCACCTCAGCTTGGTTCCCCACGACGCTGAGATTGAGAAGCTTGAGTAATTTTGGCTTGCCATACGCAACAATCAGGAAGGTTGATTGGGTGGTCCGGGAGATGTTTGGCACACCCTTGTACATACATGAGAAAACGAAATACCCTTCATAGACTTGCAGTTACCGAAAAACTCTGTTTCCGCCCGCACTGGCGGCCTTCGGGGTTTCTTTTTCCAAGCAAATGATCAAGAGACATTTTGACTCAACAGTCCCCACCGCCACTCGAGTTCTCAACTGTGAGTCTGTGACATGGAACTAGGTTATCGGAAAGATAAGCTCGGATCGATTCCGGTTTGTAGGGCTTGGAGGATCCATTCCCTTCATTTCCCTTGAAAAAAGAAACCTTTGCCTTGGCTTGGTTGCTTAAGATTTCACACCTGGAATTCCTATTTGCCAATGTGCAGAGACGGGAAGTGATCGTTCGCGGCGACATCCGTAGACCAGGGCTTTTTCTTCGTTGTTTGTTCTTCATCTAAATCTGACTGATGCATATAGTAAGCTGCATTAATTAGATTCTAAGATGCCTGGCGCTAGCACGTCCAACTTTTTATCTATTCAACCTTGGTGTTGTCATTCTTTGCCTCTATGTTGCCATCGCCGCTTGGACTAATTTGTTTGCGTCAGAGCTGCGTAATCATGCTAGAAGTATGGCGCGTCTGTCTTAATGTTTGTTTGTAGACAAACTGTCCTTCAATGCACTTTTTAGGTGGCAACCTACTTTGGGAGGAGAAGCTCTGCTTTTCGGCTCCCTGCAGTATCAAAAAAGTGGAAGCCTACAGATGCTACTTAGACACTCTATCTTATAAGTGACACCACATAGCCAAGAACCAATAGTCATGATCCAGAGAGTCTGCCAAGAAAAAGGTTTCCCAAATCAGGTTACGGAATTGCCTTGAGCAGAGTCATATCCTCGGATGTGAAACGTCTTTTCGTGCGAAAGACTGGAATAATGAATATCGCGCGATTGAAGAGACGCTATAAGGGATGAAGATGGGTCAATGATGTCTCAATTGATCCTGTCAGTCATAGCTCACCGGCTCAAGTCTTGGAAATGAGGCTTGGCAAATTGAGTATGGTATCGGAACCACTGACTAAAGCCTCTCAAGGCGGAATCATCCTATCTATATCGATGCATATGTGTAACACCTTACTTACCTACTTTCTTGTGCATAAGGTAGCTAGGTAAAGGATGCACAATTAGCCTATTATTCATTCAAATGGACACTGGAGATTTATGATCCGATGTCACGACAGGTAGCCTGTCATTACACGGGTCTGATCGGTTGGAGCTTCCCGCATGGTCTACCTCTCGACCATGAACATTGAACAGCTGCGCGAATGTTGCAAGTCCCGGGAAATAGTCCCCTCTCGTCGGTTTATAAATACTCTGAGATTGTAGTGGAAGTAAACTATTGTCGATCCCATAGCATGCCTACTGTATGTACTTCACCACGTTAATGTCGATTTATAAGTCCGTGCTTGTTCACCTCGGTGACTGGAAGGTGCCTCCAATCATTCTTCAATCACCCTACGAGATCTCTTTCTGCTCATGTCATAAAACACGATTAGCTGATCAATATCATTGCTCTGAATCAAGATGCAGCACGTGGCAATGAGCTTTCTTTGAAGTCATGTCAACCTCTTCCAGTGCCTTGCTCAGCCCTGTCTCGCCAGGCGGAAGTGCAAGCAAGGCTTGGATTCTTTAAAGGAGCCTAAAAGCCTCCCCCATCTCCCAGAAATGTTCCCAAGTAAGTATGTGTAAAACATATATCCCCTTAATCACTTTCTTGTCGGCTCTTGATGCTGCAAAAGGCCTGCTGCCCGACGCTAGACATGGGGCTGATGCAAACATCAAGTGTCCATCACCAACACGATGTCAAAGTGACGCGCAGGGCCCGGAGATACTTCATCTTTTCATGCAGTGTTAACCACTCTTCTTCTAAAGCTGCATCAATTATCATATGAATTCGCTTGAGCAGCAAAACCCCGCACTGATGCGGGAGACTCGTCTCCTGGAATCCAGCATCATTCTTGAAGGACTCGACATCACCAAAACCTCTTTTATCAACAGTCACTATTTACAAGTTCAACTCTCCACACAACACCAAATACTAAATAAGTTTGCTTTGTGCTTGAAATGCTTGTTCTTGTCGCTGGTGTAAGTGGCAATATCGGCCAAAAGCTGGTCGACGCTCTCCATGCTCGAGGGCATCAAGTCCGTGGTTTAGGCCGCAACCCCGCGAAACTTACGGCTACCCGCCGCGCCAAATTGGAAGATTTCATCCTTACCAACAAGCATTATGACATCGAGGCCCTTGACAGAGCTTGCAAAGGAACTGAAGCAGTCATCTGTGCGTATGGAGTGTTTCCGACCGAGCTACAATTTGACAGGCAACTTTTCCTCCTCAGGGCGGCTGAGCGCACCAACATTCGTCGATTTGTTCTCTCGACATGTAACAATGACTGGATTCGAGATCCTTTGGACATGCACGAGAGCTAAGATCCTTTCATTGCTTTCCGCCGCATCGCCGAGCTAAGCTCGCCCATCAACCCGATTTACATCTTCACAGGTGTCTTGGCCGAGGTATTCTGGGTCTATCCTGATCATTCTCCTGGAGATGTCGAGCTGAATGGCTACTGGGATGGTAGAGACAAGTCCGCGAGTTTCTGGGGCAACGGAGATAAGCCAATGCCTTGGTCCACGGAGCGCGACGCAGCTGATTTCACGGCTGCAATAATTTCTAGAGACAACACCGAGGAGGGTGGATGCTGGAATACAGTCTCCGGTATTCATTCCGTCCGAGACCTTCCCACAGTGTACCAAAGGGTAAAGGGAAAAGAGGTCAGCTTCAAGATCAGGGGTACTGATGAAGACCTCAAGTCTATTACATTCGAGGCCCGTAAGTCAGCTACACCGAGGGACTTTTTCCAGTATATGTCGTACTTCTATCAGTTTTATACTAATAACGGTATTTGGGATATGGCAAAGATCGACAACGATAAGCTTGATGTCCGAGCAACGTCTCCGGAGGACTTTTTTTTTTTTTAGATAATGACATCTAGTTCTGACTACGGTGGTTGCATCGGATCAACGCTTTTTCAAGAACTGGAGATAGAAATCACCAGGTCTCATATCAAAGTTCTCTGTCTTAACGCCTGGTTTCTCGCTCACCGATCAAGTCTCTATACCAATTCCAGATGTGCAGATGATAAACCACAACACTGACCACATCACACCCGCTAGCCATCATTAACCTAGGCACTGGTCTCATTCAACTCTAAGTAGCTCTACCTTCCTGAGTCACTTCAAAAGACTTAAATGCTTGATTTAAAGCAATATATGCTAACGCAACCCTTCGATGCTGATGGTAAACATCTACGTCAAGTATGAGAACTCTTGGTCCATGCCGTTAGTACGCATCGAATAGGGTTTGGCCATGTTGTCCGATTTTCAGACCAATCCAATGACATCGCATTTAGAAACCTGGGTAACAGATGACATGGTTTTGGCTAAGATGTTCGCCATCGTCTCAATAGCATTCGTCAAACAAGTGATTTGTGGTAATTCAGGCCGAGCCCGCGCTGTAAGGACGAACTCAATGTTGCGCGAAATGAAAGCCTCAAGGTGTCGCACAATGCGGGGTCTAAGCGCAAGCCAAAAGGCACTCAATTATGTGTGACAAACATGAAGTAGTACTGCACCGCGTAATTCATCTCGTCACCATATAGGCGTGTTGGTAAGTAAAGAGGCGGCATCTGAATCTACACT